CATTTTCTCTTCTTAATTGCCTAAAAGTTTTACCCGAATTATAAAAAACAGAGTTGAGAGAAGAAGTGGTGAGTTCAGGTTTCCATGGTGACACTTGGTCGATTCTACTCCGGGACGTTTTTTTCTGTCACGTATGCTCTTCCTGTCCACTCAGTTTAATGAAAATTTGGCATTTAAAAAATAAATAAACTCTTCAAGCGTAGAGTTATTAAAACTTTTATTGTTTATTTGCGAACAACAGACGGAGCTTCAGCAGCAGCTCGTTTCTTTTTTCCTTTGTGACCCACAGCTTTAAATACCAGTAGAGCTGTTAAAGAGAAATCAGGGTTTTGATTGAATCTTTAGCAAATATTCTTGGTCTGTATTTTGATATGTGCTTAACTTGGACCTTGTCGCCCCCTAGTGGTGCAGTCAGATATTTCAGAATTTTCTCTCAGTGTGGCTGCCAATAGTTTTATGGATGAAAATGTTTCTTTAAATCTGCAGTACATCAAAGTGGGCCTAAATGTTTGGCTCAACTGGACAGTTCACAGAGAATTTGAAACTGTTTGAAACATGAATGGAGGATAAAACCGTGCACAGCAAGTTGGTGGACATCAAAGAATATCAAACAATGTTTTAACCCAACATGTCGCTGCTCTTAACCGATAGATTGGTCTATACGTGTAGCTTGATGTAGCTGTAACCGACTGTTCAGCCTCCATCAGGCTGTAAATCTGCCTGTGAGGCAGCGAACTGCTCAACCGGCCAGAGCGAAGGAGAAGTGTCAGCCGACGAAGCGATGAACGATCCAGCTGGTCAGTCAGTCGGTTGTGGGAACAGCAAAGTGTGAGATTATCTGGAGCATGTGGTGTGTGTGTGTGTGTGTGTGTGTGTGTGTGTGTGTGTGTGTGTGTGTGTGTGTGTGTGTGTGTGTGTGTGTGTGTGTGTGTTTACACCTGGCGTGCTCATCTCCACCTGACATCCTCTCTCTCTCTGCATCTCTTCCCCCTCCCTCCTCACGAATGACTCAGACTTTCATCTCTCTCTCTCTCTGAGAGACGAAGCGTCTGGATTCTCTACATCAGTGATTCATTAATCTGCTGATTCATTCATTCATTCCTGCAACAACTACAGTGTGTTTACAGCGTTGAGATGTTCACTATCGGCCACCGCTGACAGGCAGCAGATGGTGTTTTTGCCTGTTTGTTTTGCTAATATTTCTTGAATAGGTTTAAATAAATTTTTATTGGATTAATCAATGGTTGAACATGTGACTGATGACCTTTTAGCTGACTTTACTAACATTATTAAACAGAGCAACGGCTACAACTGATTGCATTATAAAAATAATCTGTGCATTTGCAACAGGCTGGATTGTTATTTTATTATTAGCCTTTTATCAAATTAAATGTGGGAAAAAGTGCGGCACCACCTGCTTAGAGAAGCTCATGATGTTGTTTTATTTCCTCATGTAGCTTAGGACATTTTAAATGGGTTCTAGAAAAATCTTTTTTTTTTTTTTTAGAACTGGAAACTGTTCTTTAAACTCTATAAAGCATATGAACCTTTGCCAGTGCTTAAAATGGCCCAGGATCCTTGATAAAAAAGTTAAATCAAACCTCACAATGAAACCCTACAACGGTTTGCCCCGCCCACTCAGCCAGGACATGGATATTAAATGAGCTGTGAGCTTATTTCACCCTGATATTTCTATGATACTGCATGAATCTAGAAACTTTGTGTGTAGCCGTGTACAGTGTCGAGATACCTAGCTCGGGCTGGCGTTAGCAGCGCTGCTTTGCTGTTATCGCCACCAACATTTATGTATTGGCAAACTTGGAGTGGGTAGGGTGATGCAAATTTAGGAGTATGTGCCTGTGCCTATGACGCGCTGCCTCAGGAAACAATTTCTCTGTGGCTGATTCAAAATTAAATATTTGCAAAGGAAAGCAGGTTGAAACGGCAGACTCATTTGACACCACAAGCTGCCTTTTCAACAACAAGGTAAATGTGGTGTTGAATTTTTGGACCCCTTTAAGGGTTTTTAAAATATATTCTCTTATTTTTTTTATTAAAAGTGTAACAAACAAGTAATATTTTGTCATGAATAAATACTTATTGAAGCGTGATTTAGTAGCCTGTCGTAAGAGCATTAGTGACTCTTCTAAAAGCTACATTTCTCACCCACCTCCACGTTGGCCTCTTCAGGGACGGCGAGCTGCACACTTTCAAATTAAACATCTGATGCCTGAAAATCACTTTAGTGCACACCGAGAAGCAGGTGTTGTTCTGTAAACATCAAGTTCTCTACAGAACCCAGTCAGCAGCAGCTCCGCTCACTCTTTTACTGTCAGTGACAGACTTCTTCGGAGATACAAATTCCTTCTCCTCTTCTGCTTTTGGCAGCAGCCATTGGTGCTGAGGGACGTAAAAGCAGCGGCGTTTTGATACGTTTGGTGTTTTCACCCACAAATTCAACATTTGTCTGTTTTTTAACACTTACTGTAATTCTCTTTGCTTCCTGCAGTTCCTTTCCTAATCAGAACAATGCAGCCAAAGAAATCAATCAATCAATCAATCAAAGATTTGTTATTAATCCCAGAGGGAAATTAGAGTTTCAGTACACACAATTCAGAGATCAGACATACATGGGCAAGACACATGACAAGAATTGGTGACTGTGGTCATTCGCAACCCTGAGTCGCACTACCTTAAGAGATCAGAGGGTTTTACATGAGGATTGGTTCAGGTGGAGGGAAAAAAAGGCACTTCAGAGTAGGGTTGTCACGGTGTGAAAATTTAACCTCACGGTTATCGTGGTATTTTTTTAAACGTGTTACATTTTCAGACAACTACATAAACCCTGTCTATCAGGAAAATATAGTCCTCAGTTTGTCTAAAATTTGCCTAAAATGTGTTATTTTGTAATTATGTTGTTTATTTGTTTACATTTTTCCCCTTTAGTCTTTAAAATACCAATATTTGCCCATAACTTCTTATTTTTTGTCTGTTTGATGTCATCATTTTAAAAATATTACATCAGATGACACTCCGTACTCAAGTAGCCTTCTAATCAGATACTTTTTTACCCTTACTTGAGTAATAAACCCTATATCAGGTAAATATTGTCCTCGGTTTGTGTCCTTCCAGTGAGCTTTGCAGATGTAGGAAAATGTCATCAGGCAGTAATCGTTGTTAAATTCATAATTATTCTCGGAGAGAGACCAACTCTTATCTGCTCCTGGGAGCCCCATAATGCATAGCGTCATTTCAACATGGGGGTGTCCGCGACACGGTTTATATGCAGGTAGCGGCGCTGCGGCTGCTTTATAGAGCGACTCGTTGCATTCTCCCTCAACCCAAATCCTCGGATCACGCATTTTAGCTAAAGCGCTAACGCTAGCTTGCCTTGCGTTGACTGTAGAGTTGTGGGTGACGGTCACGCAGATGTGTCATGAGATTTGAAGCGTTGCTGCCTTTCACAGACACTTTTTCTGCACGTGCTGCAAACAGGATAGCCGTCTTCTATCAGCTGTCCCTCGGCATTCTTCAAATATACAAAAAATGCCCGTACTTCCCACTTTGTCTTCTTTGAGGGATAATAAATGTCCTGAGCACTGCCGTCTCCTCCTTTGGCCATTATTTCAGCTTTAGCTTCAATAAAGTTTTGGTTGTAAACAACAAAGTGCGCATGTGCCGCCGGTAACTTCAGCAGATGATACGGTGGCTGGTAAGGGTCACCGCGCCTACACCGCAGCCACGGTAATCCACCGAGATAATATACTTTTTAAAAAAGACGGTTATTATTATTGTCTACTTTTATCGGGTTTTACCACTACACCAGTTACCGTGACAACCCTACTTCAGAGTCCCCCCCCCCCCCCCCACCACCACCACCAGGAGGGCAACTTTGCTCTGCAAAAAAACACCTCAGACAGATATGCAACAGACTTCAGACATCACAACACAAGTGTCCACTAGGTGGGGTGGTGGGTTGGGATTATCCCCACTTCAGTTCCTGCAGCCACGATGAAGCAGCACGTCACCTCAGTGTGGATAGGTGGAGGAGAGATGTTTACAATGAAAATGAGCATTCATAGACTCACCCGTCTTGGCTCGCGACAGGGAAGCTGTGTTGATTTAGCATCAGAGAGAGAGAGAGAGAGAGAGAGCAAAGGATGTCTCGACTAGCAGAAGCTAACTGTTAGCATTAGCAACTCCATCACACAGCAGAACTCCTCCAGGCTTGTGCCATTTGTGGAGATAAGACACCAATGATCCAGATCAAACAGAGTCGGTGGTAGACCTGAAAAAGAAACACCAGGGCTTTTGTACCTCACAGAGGTCAGCTCAAGGCCTTAATTCCTAATAGAGACCACCTACAGCGCAGGGATATGTCCTGGAGATGGTTGGTCATGTCAGACATCATATACAGATTCACGACCAGGTGGTCTTCAAAGGGCTTCTCTCTCTCTCTCTCTCTCTCTCTCTCTCTCTCTCTCTCTCTCTCTCTCTCTCTCTCTCTCTCTCTCTCTCTCTCTCTCTCTCTCTCTCTCTCTCTCTCTCTCTCTCTCTCTCTCTCTCTGTATGGAGAGTATGATTCAGCGTTAGAGGTAGTAACAACTAAGGATGGGTGGTTCATTTAACACAAAGAAACTCTTTGTCTCACAACAACGACCCCTCCTGCTTCTTGTGAATGAGATGAAAGATTTAATAAAGTTTGCATTTCAAAAGGTGTTTTTGTTTAATGTTCCTGCCATTTGGTTTAAAAAGCAGATAAAGACTTCGGTTGTTCTTCGGCAGATCACACCACACATGAGGTGTGAATTTAGAAAGTGTTGCTGATCAGGAAACATCATAATCTCAGTGTTTCCTGCTGAGTCTCACTTCATTCCTTATTAGCTCACGGTCTAGACGAGGCTAATTGAGTGTCCATGGTGTTGATTCAGACTATTAACCATCTGTGCCTCTTCCTCCCTCCCTCGCCCCCTCTGTCCTCACCCTTATTTTCCCTGTAGGAGTTTGCAGGTCGAGTAGGATGCTGAGTATCTTTCCTCCTCGCCACTGCTCTCAACCCTGCTCTCCATGACCTGAGAGCACCACCACAGCGGGAGGACCCAAGCACCAGAGAGAAAGAAAGGAAGAGGAGGGCAGAAGGTCGAGGACAGAAGGAAGAAAAACACTTTTTTGTTGTTATTATTTGTTTTCTCTTTCTGAGATGGAGGCGACTGAGGCCAGTGCGGCGCCGGTGGTTCAGGAAGACGGAAAAACTCCCGAAAACAAGCCGGCAGAGGCAGAACTACCGGCCAAAACTGCAGACTCAGAGACTGTCGACAGTGAAGGTGTGGAGAAAGATGACACGGCTGCCAACAGCGAGGTGGTCGAAAACAAAGAGACTGTGAATGACACAGGTGCGGCGGCGGCGGGCACCGAGGAGGGCGAAGCAGCAGCGGGTGGAGAGGCAGCCCCTCCTCAGAGCTCAGAAAACACCTCCTCCTCCACTGAGCCCAAGACCTCGTTCCTTGACTCCTTCCTCAACAAGAGCGGCCTTGGGAAGGTGATGGGAGGGAGGAAGAAGAAGGAGCACAGTTCCGCTGCAGGAGGAGAGGAGGGAACTGCTGAAGGAGGCGAGAAAGAAGGAGAAAAGAGTGAGGAAGCTGCAGCTGCTGAGGGAGGCACAGAGGGAGGTGGAGAAGGGGAGAAAGCAACAGACAAGGTTGTAGAAAACGGGGAGAAGGAGGAGGAGGAGGAGAAAAAGGGCAAACCTGCAGACACAAAATCTACAGTTCGAGATTTGATCAGGAAGCCGGTGGCAAGAATCTTCTCCCATCGCAGTACCGAGAAGAAGGATGGAGCTGCCGCAGAACCCCCCAAACCAGTAAAGGTCCGATCCAAGTCCCTGGACCGTCTTGAAGACCCTGAAGCACTTAACACCACTGCAGACTCTACTGTCGAGGAGGCCGGAGCAGCAGGAGGAGCAGAAGAAGAACAGAAAGCCTCGTCCTCCTCAGCAGCCACGAAGCACATGAGGCGCTGGCACTCCTTCAAAAAACTCATGGCTCAAAAAGCACATAGGAAGACTGGAGGAGGTGAAGAAGGGAAGGATGATGGAGTGGAGGGAGAAGGGGGTGGCGACTCCTCCACCCTGGACTCCAAGGAGTCTGGTCATAAGAGGTGGAAGCTGAAACGCTCCTGGACCTTCCAGGGCCTGAAGAGGGACTCATCTGTAGTAGGAATCAGTGGCAAGACCAAGGGTTCAGAAAAAGAGTCCGGTGAGAAGACAGAGGAGGCTGCGGGGGAAACCGAGGAAGGAGAGGAGGCCAAGGCAGACGCTGGAGCGGAGGAGGTCAAGACAGACGGAGGGGAGGAGAAGGCTGAAGGAGGCGAGGAGGAGAAGGCCACAATAGCGGGTGGAACGGTGACGCAACACGCCAACGAGATCTGGACCTCCTTCAAGAAGCGCGTCATCCACAAGAGCAAACGCGCCAACACAGAGTGCGCCCCCACTGGAGAGGAGGACGCCACTGCAGCTGCTGCATCAGGTGAGATGAATGTCTGACGTCAGAATCAGAGATGAAGGTCTCAGAACCTTATTGCTGTCTGGGTTTCAGTTTCTCATTGGGCAACAAACATGTTCAGTCCCACTGGAACGCTTCAAAATTCAGCTTCCGTAAAATCCAAGCATTGTGAGACAACTTTGGGAGGGGTTGGAGACTGAATCGTAATAAAATCAGACAAAATAAAAATGATTTGTGACAAAATTGTTACGAGAAAAATGTACAACTGTTGCAGTTTTCTTTATAATTGTTCCCGAGCCTCGTGTCCCAGCCAGGCGTATACATGTCCCTAAAGTAACCAGTGCAGTGTCATTTCAGCTCACAAAGGACTTTGTCTGAATCGTATCTCTAGCGAGTCACGCAACTGTTGCAGCCTTGTGAACATCCCACTTCACTTATAGGTGCTGAAACCTTGACTGTTTCAGTTATTGCACAACTAAAATGAACAGACAAAAGCACCTGAAACTTAATTAGTCGCCTTGTAAGGATTGTGCATCCATAGAAAGACCAAAATGTCCCACCGTCCCTTCTGTTAGTGTTCACCCTTGTCCTGGATCCCTCAGTAAAAACACACAGTGGCCACTTTTACATTTTGCTCACTTTACTGTCAGGGACCTCTGCAGCATGTTGAAGATCTACACGCAGCCACACCAGCTCCTCCCCCTCGTGCAGGTCACCAGCTCAGCCCCTCCCCCTTATGCCGGTCGCCAGCTCAGCTGTAATTATGTTGTTTATTTGTTTACATGTTTCCCCTTTAGTCTTTAAAATACCAATATTTGCTCATAACTTCTTATTTTTTGTCTGTTTGATGTCATCATTTTAAAAATATTAGACCAGATGATACTCGGTACTCAAGTAGCCTTCTAATCAGATACTTTTTTACCCTTACTTGAGTAATAAACCCTATATCAGGAAAATATTGTCCTGGGTTTGTGTCCTTCCAGTGAGCTTTGCAGATGTGGGAAAATGTCATCAGGCAGTAATCGTTGTTAAATTCATAATTATTCTCGGAGAGAGACCAACTCTTATCTGCCCCTGGGAGCCCCGTAATGCATAGCGTCATTTCAACATGGCGGTGTCCGCGACACGGTTTATATGCAGGTAGCGGCGCTGCGGCTGCTTTATATAGCGACTCGTTGCATTCTCCCTCAACCCAAATCCTCGGATCACGCATTTTAGCTAAAACGCTAACGCTAGCTTGCCTTGCGTTGACTGTAGAGTTGTGGGTGATGGTCACGCAGATGTGTCATGAGATTTGAAGCGTTGCTGCCTTTCACAGACACTTTTTCTGCACGTGCTGAAAACAGGATTGCCGTCTTCTATCAGCTGTCCCTCGGCATTCTTCAGATATCCAAAAGATGCCCGTACTTCCCACTTTGTCTTCTTTGAGGGATAATAAATGTCCTGAGCGCTGCCGTCTCCTCCTTTGGCCATTATTTCAGCTTTAGCTTCAAGAAAGTTTTGGTTGTAAACAACAAAGTGCGCATGTGCCGCCGGCAACTTCAGCAGATGATACGGTGGCTGGTAAGGGTCACCGCGCCTACACCGCAGCCACGCTAATCCACCGAGATAATATAGTTTTTAAAAAAACAAGACGGTTATTATTATTAACTTTTTTACCGGGGTTTACCGCTACACCGGTTACCGTGACAACCTTAACCTGCATTAAAACTTTCTCTCACTGTCACTCCACCCACAGGCGCAAAGGTTTGATTTGGTTATAAATCCTATTATTTCTGAAGAAATATAATTCATGATTCTCCTCTTCAGGTGAGGAAGCTGCAGCAGATGAAGGTAAAGACGCCAAGTCAGCCAAAGCTAAGCGCTCACACTTTGGCCGTGCTGTTTCCCTGAAGAACTTCATCATGCGAAAGGGTAAATCCAGCAGCGTGGAACTGGGCGAGGGCACCAAGGAGGGAGAGGAGGTTGCAGAGGGAGGCGAAGGAGCAGGGGAGGGAGGCACTGATGGAGAGCCTGCTGCAGCGGCTGAGGAGACCAACGACAAAGGTGAGGTGCTGGCCGAGAAAACGCCAGCAGACGAGAGCGGCACAGAGGCACCTAAGGAACCAGAGGAGACAGAAACCGAAGCTCCGGTGGCCAACGGGGAGAACGGCTGCTCTAATGGCGCAGCGGAGGAGAACGCCACACAGAATCACCAGGAGGAGGAGGAAGAGGAGAAGACGATGGGGAGCAACCCCATTAAGAAGAGCAAAGAGGCCGGAGGCATAAAAGACGAGGCCAACGCCAAGATTATCAACGCCACAGCAGCTGTGAACAGCGGTGAGTTCAACCGGGACTTTGCTTCAAAGCTTCAAAACAGCTGCGGCAGCAAAGATGGAGATACTAACAACAAACAGCAACAAGCACTAACAAACAGTAAACAAAGTAAAACCAGCTGTTCTGATTCAGAGCTAGCACTAACCGAGATCAGGGAGGAGGAGGAGGAGGAGGAGGAGGAGGAGGTAGAGGAGGCTGAGTCTCCACTAAATGGAGGTTGTCTTGATGGTTTACTGTCATGTGATCAGGGAGAGGAGGAGGAGGAGGATGAGAAGAGGAAGATGTATCTTCGAGAAGCAGCAGTTGCTATTGTTCAAAATGTGATGTCGGCAGCAACTGACCAATTAGAGAGGGAGCTGAGCGTCGACAACGGGTTCAACGGTCGTTTCATCGAAGATTTTAGATACTAAACACACCTTTCTACACACGGGGTGACACGCCTGTTCAGACGCCCACCTATAAACACTTCAATGTGCCAAATAAAAGTTTATAGCATGGGTTAAACACACAAGCACACACCATCAAGGGAAGTCCGGAAACGAAACCCTTCTGATGCATTTGCATGTTAAATGAGCAAATCCTGAGGGACACCATTAGTCTTACACCAGTGAGACACGCAGGTGGGCTCGCACACCCGTGTTTACAAGCTCACTTTGTAAACTAGAAGCAGGAAGAAAAGCTTTATTTCCGACAGATTAAAAAGTGTAATACTGTTCAAATTTTAAGCACCAGCTGTCCGTCGAACATTTCAATTCAATTCAAGTTTATTTCTAAAGCGCCAAATCACGATAAGAGTCGTCTCAAGGACCTTCACACAGTAAACATTCCAGTACAGGTCAGGTCATTAAGCCAATCAGTGAAAAGTTTCCTATATAAGGAACCCAGCAGGTCGCATCGAGTCACTGACTAGTGTCAGAGTCTTTACAGCAATCCTCATACTAAGCAAGCATGCAGCGAAAGTGGAGAGGAAAACTCCCTTTTAACAGGAAGAAGCCCCCAGAGGATCCTGGCTCAGTATTGACCCTTTGCACATGACGTCACGCCACTCATGACACCGCCCCCTTCGCCATGATGGACGGCAGAAAGACCGTTTACACCCGTAGAAAGTCCAGTGAAGCTAATCAAAACAAGCCAGTTTGTAGCCTTTTATGGCTTTTATTGAGTTGATTTAACAGTAAAATGGTTTTAGCTTGCTGCGTGGTCGGCTGCACTAACAGACAAGGACGTGAACTCAACTCGTTTTTCTTTTTAATAACTCTGATGGAGACTGAGGACGGAGATGAACTGCAGCGATCAATCAAGTGGACTAGCAGGCCTCAGATTAGCAGCGAACATGTTTTTACCGGGTAAGATTAACGTTCATTTATTTCACGAGGAAGACAGTGACAGGGATAAATGTGATGTTTATACTAGTTATTGATAATCCTGATGGACGGGTATTTCACCACGGAGGATGCGCTCCGTCCACTGTAGCGTAAAGCGAGACAATTATTAACAATATTATAGCTCCGATGTATGATTACGTGTGTTAAAATGACGTTATTTATTTATTTATATGAGCGTCGGCGTTCAGAGATCTTCTCATTCCGGTGTGGGAGCAGCAGCTGAACCCGGTACCACCACCAGCAACAGAAGCTGGCAGGGATCCGGACTTTTTAAAAATCAGCTTTGGTGTGAAGTGAAACGCTGTTTACAGCATAAAGTTATAAATCCAGAGGGGTGAATTTAGGCAAAGTCAGCAACATGTTTACATCGGTGAACAGCTGCAGAGAGAACGTGAGCTAACGTTGGTAAGCTAGTTAGCATACCGCTGCGCTACTTCGTCTGATAACTGAACTGGGCATGGACTAGTTGAAGGAATGCTGGAGGAGTTTTGTTTTTGTTTTGATCGTAAAAACAATTTCAGGCTCTATTTTACCTTTTAGTACTCGTGTCGCTCACTGTTTACATGCTTTTGCCGTCCAGCATGGTGGACCCACGTGATTAGGTGACGTTGGTGCAAAGTGTCAATAAGCAGCCATCTACCATGACTCACTGGGGATGGAGAAGACAGCACACACACACACACACACACACACACACACACACACACACACACACACACACACACACACACACACACACACACACACACACACACACACAACATATATACCAAGTAGTGTTTCTATGGTTACATTGTGATTTCTTAGTAAATATTCTATTTGGTGAGAGATAAACTTTATTGTATTTATCCTAGTGGATCTATAATTAAACGGGTAAACTAGTAGTAGCACATTCAATGTCAAAGAAAGTAAAAAGTTATTATCAGGAGAGGGAGAATGTTTAAGTGGTCAGCAGCAGTGTGCTAGACGATGGCCCCCTCCATGAGGCCACCACAGCTCAGCAGAACATCATTGTAGCTTCTTCTGGGGAGAAAAACACTTAGAGAAAAAATAAAGATAGAAAAATTGTCCAAATTTCATCCAGCTTTACCTGCAATAACGTAAAAAACCATCAGATACCAGAACACCAGTTCAGTAATGTAAAGTCCAGTGTCCTGTGACCCGTTTCGGAATGAGGTTTCTACTGTCAAGTCTACCTGAGCTGTAGAGCTTTAAAGGGGGTGGGGCATTCTCACCAGGTGCATTTACATGTAAATCTCATTGATGTTTATGTGGGAATTCAATGAATTTTCCCTGCGTCGTCTACGTGCTGCGACCAAATATTATAACACACTGTTCCCAATTGCCTCTCACATTTTCATTGATAATTTTCACACTATTTTAGTCTTAGCAGCAGGGTGTGGCACCTGGGAAAATATTGCAAACAGAGTAGTATTACTGTGTTTAAATGTTAATTCTTTGGCACCTATGTTGAAGGCAGCAAGTGACTTACAAACGGAAACATAAACACAAATAATCAAGTTTGACTGGAATATTCTACATGCTAAAAGAGACCAAAATAACCCTGAAAATTATGGAGGTTTTCATTCTTTTAAAGGGCAACTTGACTTCCCAAACAAGTTTTACTCATTGTTTCTGATTCTAACGGGTCACTCTGAGTGTGTCATGCAGGCTGAACATGAAAATAGTCTCCTACACCTATCTCCTGCATTAGCTTCTGATAGGACAGATCTAGGTCACACGGTCACCCAACATTCATGGACTCACCCATCTTGACTCACGACGGGGAAGGCTGTTGTTGGTTTAGCGTCCAGGAAACAGCAGAGAATGTCTTGGCTGGTAGAAGCTAACCATTAGCATTAGCAACTTCACCACACAGCAGAACTCCTCCAGGCATGTGTTATTTGTGGATATAAAACAAAATGTCAAGCAAACAAAGCTAGTGGTAGAGTTGCAGTGGTGTTAGCCAATCAGAGGAAAGATTTCCAAATAGCAGGAAATAAGACTCCAGAACATGTTGTCCGAAGCTCTCTTCTGATCTTGCAATCTTCTAGATGCTGGAACAGGAGCACCAGAGCTTTTTTCCCCAGAGTACAACTTACAAGGCATTCGTTCCTACTAGAGAACACTTCAGATGTAATAAAAAATATGAGCAAATTTGACCTTTAATTCCTTTATTTTAGGTGTGCTGAATAGGACTTCTCTTCCTCGGGAATCTCTGAGCCTCAGTCATCCGGTTATCCTTCATGAATTGTAATAACATTTCAAATTATAAAAAAAAACTGATGTGATAACTTTGAAAAAAGATGTTTATTGTGGGGTTTTGTGCTAAGCTAGGCTAATCTTACCTTGATTCCAGCTTTAGGACCTTTGAAACAAGATGTTAAAAGTATTTCTCTAAGTTTTACAAAGTTACTGACATAAAAAAGTGAATCAGGTAAATGGGAGTATTATGCACAAAGCAGATAGATGGAGAGAATAATAGAAGCATGAACTCAAAATAAAAAAGGATTCTACTGTAGCTTCATGTTCACAAACCAGAGAACATCAACAGGACGTCAGGCCTCAGCAGCCGTAACAGAATGGGTCAGTGTTCCTTTAAAGAGCAAGTCACCCCCTACCAGAGTATTACTCCACTCCCACTTCCTGTTTGAAAAATGCAACAAATGCTGTTGCCTAGCAGACCGAGAGGGCGGAGCCACTAACCAATAAACACACAGGCTCACAACAATATTGTGACATCATATGGTACCAGCTAACGTTCTAGGGTACCTCTTAGCCAATAGCGATGGCAGATTTAAATTCAAATGCAGTGCAGAGTTTTTACCTGACAACGGCACAACACTGACAGTTTTAGGCAGAAATTTTTTATTTTAACTAAAATGCACTAAAGTGCAAAACTATTGACTACACGTGTCTGCAGCACGATTAGACACACATTTATATAGTTTATCAGAAAAAACATCATTGATTTGGGGGTGACTTGCTCTTTAACTAGAGTGCTCCGCTGAGCGTTCCCGCTTTTTTCCTGCTACGCCGTTTGAAACATTACCACCTACTCTGAGCTTCTGAGCGACCGGAGGTGAACCTCCTCCATTATTTATCGTTCCCGCCTCCTCTCCATTCAGGCGCTGCACGAGGCTTAGCGTCCAGTACCCGGCCTGCTTTGATCTCAGACAGCCCGACAGATGCTCGCAGAGAGCCGGGTGGCTCCTGCTGCTGCCGTACAATTTACCGGAGGCCTCTTTGAAGCGCCGACTCTTTTCACTAAACTGAACTCTGTTTAACACAACTTGTTTGGCAGGAAACTGCCCCGAACGCCTCGTCGTCAGGACAACGACACAAGAAAAGGAGCATTCCGTCAGATGTGTTTGATGTAATGAGATGAAAATGTTTTAAATGAGCAGCTGTGTGACTGGTGGTTAGAGGTACTCACTACAGATTACTCTGCGGATTCTAAAACCCTTAAAAGAGGAATTTTTCTTCATTCATAAGATTCATTTGGTGAGAAAAGTCTAAGCAACAACACGTGTAGCACCTCTCAGCTCAACAAGAACAAAACTGTTGGGTTCATGTCAATGGGAAGTACATCAAACCGCTTGAGGAAGCATTGTGGAGTCCCGTTAGGTTTGAATATTGGAAGGATTGAAGCGTAGAAAAAGTTCCAAAGAGTTCATTTATCCTCAAACTACATTGTCAGAAAAAATAATCCATTTCTAGAGAGAAACTTTGTTCTAATCATTTAGAAATAATGGTTTCATTTAATCTGCAATGGATCAACATTACATTTGTACTGATATAACCCTTGATTCAAATGATCTAAATCACTTTAATAAAAGCAGATTTACTGATTTTGATTCAGTTATTTCTGACATTAGTCAATGATGATCACATTTTTGTAATGAGCCTAAAAAGATTTGCTCTTCAGGTTGGTCTAGCCCAGTGTTGCCAACTGTTTTCGACTGAAAGTAGCTGAAGTTCCCCCCAAAAGTCGCTAGATGTTGCCAGATGACGTCACATGTTAATTTACATATTGATGACGTCATCACGCCACATTGCCGTTCACTTTCCCCATATATATATACATATATATGTATAGGAGTAAAAGGGAGGAAAATAAAAGCTATGTTATGTGTTAAAGTTCTTAAAATGATTAAAATGGCCAAAATGGCCAAATTGCTTATATATGTACAATAAATTCCAAAAGTATCAATAAAGTGGCATTAAGACGGATACGGTGTGGTGATCCAAACAGTTCTGTTGTAGGATATAACTCAGACCTCCTGCTCTCCTCATTCTCACAGACATTTTCCTAAAAAGCTGTTTTTTTACACCTCATAGTTTCTCAACTTCTCTGTTGTGTATTCTCTCCATCATGATAATAACGGCGCTCCGAGCAAAAGGGAGCGGGTGTCTCATAGTATAACCATCCCTGTGTCACTGAAGGAAATTCAGATGAGCCACAGAGCTGCGTGTGTAAACGGGACGGTAGTTCAAACTCCCGTTGACTTTATTTACCAAATGCAGGAAAAACCAAAGTGTCTGACGGCTGCAGAACCAGAGATGGCAGGTTGACGCCTGCGCCGTCTCTAGTAGAAGCGTGAGTCTGCAGCAGCAGCAGACGTAAATCGGTGGTCTCCAGCTCTGAAGCTGTACCTTTGTCTTCAGCGAATCGGCCCGGCCGAAAACGGTTTATGATTGGTCAGTCCTCGTGCACATGTGCAGATTATCGTTCTCTTTCCTTACTCCCGGAAGAACGGTTCAGAGTGCAAATGGTTTCTTTGTTGCTAATCTGTGGGGAATATCTACAAGAGAGTTCTACAGAAAGTAGCAACGGGTCCTGAGAAATGTCGCTAGGTTTGTCGCTAGGCGCCTTTTTGAAAAAAAAAGTTGTTGAGGGGGGTCGAAAAGTTGTTAGGAACAGCGACAAAGTCGCTGAGTTGGCAACACTGGTCTAGCCACACACTGCTGTAGCCTCAGCAGGTCTACCAATGGAGCGAACAATTTTGGGGAAAGCCAATCACAGCGCTCTTTGTTTGTAGAGGGGCCTTGGGTGGGCTAAACACCAGAGCTGTAACAGAGAAAAACTACAAAGATGGCGTCAGCTCAAGAATAGTGCTCGAATGGAATGTTTTGGTATCCAATTTGGACGATTTAGACTTGAGCTTTTCTTTGACACGGCTAATTGGAAAGAGGGTATTAGCTTCTTTTTCGACCGTGTGTGGCGGACTGCCCCATTGAATGATTTCCGTATCGATAAACGTCATTTTGTTTGTTGCTCTGATTAGTCCCAGCCCTGTTCCATTGTGTACGGAGACAATCTATGGGCTATGGCCAGACTATATTTACATATTTAGGAGGTCTTGTCAGGCTAGTTTTTTGTTTTTCTGATTACGAGTCAAACATCAGCCCAGAGATTTGTCTTTTCGTTTTGCAATCTTTAATCTTATACCAAAGTAAATAGTTACAAAAATGAATTTAACTCTTGACCAGGTTGAATAAACGCTGTGATGTTCTAAAAAGAGATTCTGGTTCTTAGTTCAGGGTCAGTGTGTTAAAGTCATTAGTCCTGATTCAAACCAGGAACACTGCACTGAGACTAATCAAACAAACAAATTTGCAGAATGTCTTGCGATGGATTAAAATTTCTGCATGAGTAGCAGGGCCTTGCTAGCATCTCTCAGCCGCCTGGACCCTATCTTGAAAGCACAAAGTTTTAACATCAGAAATTATCTGATTAAAATATAAAATATTAAGAGATCAAGTTTCAGGAACTTGCAGTTACTTATTTACATTCACTTTATTTATATAGCGCCAAATCACGACCAGTCGTCTCAAGGACCTTCACACAGTAAACATTCCAGTACAGGTCAGTTCATTAAGCCAATCAGTAAAAAATTTCCTATATAAGGAACCCAGCAGGTTGCGTCGACTCACTGACTAGTGTCAGAGTCTTTACAGCAATCCTCATACTAAGCAAGCATGCAGCGACAGTGGAGAGGAAAACTCCATTTTAACAGGAAGAAACCTCCAGAGGATCCTGGCTCAGTATGAGCAGCCATCCGCCACGACCTATACCAATGGATGGCAGAGTCGGGCTGTTAAGTTATAAAATAAGTATTCAACCTGTGCGACAGAAGCCCCACATAGTCAAACAGGGAGTGAGTACACCTGTTTTTAGGAAAATGGAAATAGAATCAGACAGGAAAATCCACTAAATCAAAAAGATGGGACTTTTTTAAACAGCAGTTTCAAGAAAAAAGTGACAATCATGGTTTTTATAGGGAGACTAGGTGGATTTGGCCTGCTTTTAGCATCCCCTGTTGCTTAGTGAAAGCAATAGTGACGCTCATCTCCTCGCTGTGCATTCCTCTTTTTAACACCTTAAGCTGAAATGTCTCCTCAGCCTTCGTTAGTTTCTACGGGAGTGCTTCATTACTAAATCAAACAAATCAGCTGTATTTATGATAGAAAACATGCAGGAAACACACTGGAAGCAGTCTCCGGCACTAGCACGTCCGTTCCATTTACTAAGTCCAACAGGTGGTGGCTCCCCACTCTGAAGTTGCAAGTCCGGTATTCTGGCCACAGGGTCTGAGAGTTATTTCATTAACCCTGTTAAGGGTTATTTTAGACCATTCTGGCACAGGAAAATGATTTTAAAATATGAAAAAGTAGCATGATATCGCTTTAATATCATTTGGAAAGTTCCAATTTATTTTCTGTTCAACTGGAACAACAGTGTGTACAATAACACAGTTTCACACACAATACAAAAGATAATGTTTAAAACTATCAATACAGAGAGAATCCAAAAGTCGTGAAAGGTCTTCCTTTGGAGCACTTTGGATAAAGTTTTAGCAAACATGCATCAGCTCTTACACAATGTGCTGTCAGAATCATCGTTCTTCCAGCTGAGCCTTAAACTCGTCTAACACACTGTGCTGATAAAATTTCACTTTACAGATGTTTTGTTTTTTAGTGAACATCTAAATTAAGCCTTTAACTTTGTTGTCTTCCAAGTCGGAGCTCATTTGGTAGAAGCTGCTGTGACTAAATCATTTCTGGAGGATAAAAAACAAAAACACAAAAATGTTGAAATGGGGGACATTTTGTTTTCATTGTGTAACTAATTTGTTTTAAAAACAAGTTAAACCTCATTAACGTCAGTACTTGAGCTTCATCCTCCTCATTCCAGCAGCCATGCTATGCTAGCAGCTGTTAGCTTAGCTAACTAGCTGTAGCTGAAATAAGCTAGTTAGCTCAGAAAACTGGATCAGTGGGCATTTATTTAAAAGAATATTGGACAAAAAAGTGTGATAGAGGTTCTTTATCCACGTGATCTTCCTCCTCTCTCATTCTCTGTGGTGTTCAATGGTAACGTGAGAGCAGATGGTTGGTTTAGGCCTACAGAATACCAGTGAAAATCTTCCTCCTCAGTTAAAAACAAAGCAAACAAGAAAAAGTCAGACTAAAACTTGTCAACTGGGAATCTTTCTGTTGGTTGTAATGTGTTGATGATCCTTTATGATGTTTTTTGTTTCCTGTTCCTCTTTCGTATCTTTTAACTAAAAACACTAGAAACTAGCATCTGTACTAAACCACTAAACATACATTTAACCTTTTTATGACTGCTAATAGTTTTTATTGTTATTATTATTATTATCATCATCATATTTTAATACATTTTTCGATCTCTTTTGTTATCATTTACCAGACAAAAAGGCGGGAAACGTGTGAGGCCCCACAGAGAGGATTAAAACTGCCCGGGATTCGCTGAGCAAGGAGCTCTGAACCCCACCCCCAACTCCTCCTCCTCTTCCTCCTTCCTCCTTCCTCCTCCTCTCTCCCTTCATCCCCCCCCCCCTGAATAAGTGGAGTAATCTAACAGATCACCACAATGAGAAAGAGAGAATGAGAAGGATGCAGTTCATGTAGATGAGAAGTGAAAATAATACTTACTCAGAAAGCAATAATTCAAGCCCCTCCCCCATTTCATCTGCCACCCCGCCCACTCCCCCTCCATCCAAAACATACAACACATGTAAATCAGTGTGTTTTTTATTTTTCTTTGCTTGTCCATGAGATTTTATATTGTCTACGAGAGAAAAAAGAAAAATGCAGAAATGTAAAGATGCAAATTGAGCCCCCCCCCCCCCCCCCCCAACCCCGCTCCCTGTTAACCTCTGATTGGTGAATTTGAAGATGAAAAAAGATAAACAAAGACTGTAGTTTTATATCCTTGGCCAGTTATCTTTGTAGCCCCCCCTCCCTCCCTCTGTGCCCCGCCCCTCCCATTGTCCCAGTAGATATTTGACTGCAGGGCCGCGCTGCTCCAGTACATAAACTGCCCCGAGGACTGCACCCCCCACCAACACTGCAATGTCTTCAGCTCTGTGTGTTTAATGTTTTTAGACTGTTATATCGTGTACATGGATTCAGAAAAAGAAAGAAAAGTAAACAGCATTGATTATTATATAAGACAAAATGCTTTTTTTGTTGTCGCTTTCCTGTTTGGTTCGATCTTTTATTTTTTGTTTTATTTTGTAAAAACCACCGTCTTCTCACCGTTATTGCAGTCTGACGATATGCTGTGATGAAAAAAACACAATAATCATAATGATGATGATGATGATGATGATGATGATGATGTTTTGTTGGTCCAAGTTTTCACATGTCCGCTAGCAAACTGTCAAAACAGATAGTACAATAAAGACTAAAACCTAACAACTAAACTCCACTTGCTTTGTGTGTTTTTGTTTTTGGATGAATGAGCAGAGCAGGAACACGATCCATTAATCTGAGTATCGGTAATCTCGTCTGTTTATGAAATGGGCGGAGTAATACCAGATTTCTTTGTATTAAAGCAGATCTGTGAGCGCTGGAAGTGGTTCTGATACTTCACACCCCCCTCATGCGGGTAAAGGCCTGAGTTCACCCAGAGACCTTTGACCTCCTGCTTGTATTAAACCGATCCAGAATAATAAAGCATATAAGTGTAGATTATAGCTGAGAATAAATTAGATTATATAGTCTCCTGATTAACAAGAAGTTTTAATTTCTCTCTTTTCTGGCTTTTCTCTTTTGCTTCAGGTGTTTTTTTTTTCTTCTGAACAAAAACTATAAATGAGCCGTCGGTGCTCTAAAGGATTTCCAACCAAAAAGGTTGAGCAGATTTATTTTAGACAAACAGGAACAATCCTTTAATCCCTCACTGCTCACAAAGACATGATGCCTGATTATAATATGCTCACCAATCCGCTCGCTGGATTATGATGGATGTTGTGCGCTTCATTTCTCTGAGACTTCCTCTCCGAGGTAGGTCAAATGAGCAGAGCTGCAATGTGCTCTTTAGTAACATACTTGGACCTTCTTGCTCACTGGATGCAAAATACTTTCATTTTGGCCAAAACAGACCAGCATTAACATTTCTCAGCTGGTAAACGGTCCTGATGGACATTCATTCAAATCTGCAGGGCTGGAAGCTTTAAACCATGAGAAGATGTTAGAAATCTTCAGCAGCAGCAGGAAATGGTTTTTCCTTCCTGTTGAAGCTCTTCCAGCCCCCCCCCCCCCCCCCCCAGAGGTTCTCTCAGCTGGACCTTCTGATCACAACCACCTGAACTTCAGATTAAAACGATGTTTAGCTCTGCATAACAACAGCAGGGATTTAGAACGTCACCATTTATCTAGGAAATTCAGTCTAAATGTTAAAAGGTTCTAAACTGGGCGACGGTGGCACAGGAGTTCGCCCCGTAATGGTTGCAGGTTCGAGCCCCGCTCAGTCTGTTGCTGTCGTTGTGTCCTTGGGCAAGACACTTAACCCACGTTGCCTGCTGGTGGTGGTCGGAGGGGCCGGTGGCGCCAGTGCTCGGCAGCCTCACCTCTGTCAGTGCGGCCAGGGCAGCTGTGGCTACATCGTAGCTCATCCCCACCAGTGTGTGAATGTGTGTGTGAAGGGGGGGTGGGGGGGGGGTGGTGGTTCCAGGACTCTAGAAGGCGCTATAGCAAATACAGGCCATTTACCATTTAAATGGAGTTAAGAAATAAAAATATTAAGAAATCTGAATGTAAAATGTGAATTTAAATATTTTTATTTAAATATGAAATCTACAAATTTAGATACAATTAAAGAATTTTAAATCCAATCTAAAGATTTGATTCCTAAAAGTTAACACTTGATAAAAGACTTTATATTTAGATTTAGATATGAAAAATTAAGTCTGATTAAATATTTGAATGTATTTCTGAGTATGTAAATGTGATTATTTACACCTTACATAATCAGATTTGAATGCACATTTAACTAAACAAACGCTCAGACCTGATTCTACATGTTTATTTTAAAGCAAATTTTGATGGACTACACAATTGTTAGTGCATCTGTTTTCTCTCCTAATGTGAAAAAAACCTTTAGTTTTTTAAAATGTCTAAAATATTTATTTTTTATATTTAAGGATGTTCAGATGGGAGGATGAGATGGGGACTGGGATGGAAATGATGATGGGATGACATTAAAAATGAGTTCCAGCTGTTTTATAACTTGTTTGGAGAAAAAAGACTCAATAAAGTTGTTTTGTTCGGTATTGCAAATGAAATCAAGCTCATCTTTTAAACCAAACGATCCCTCAGAATCCAGTTTATGGTTCATCAGCTGCAGCCCGGCGGGTTATGTTTATTTACTTAGCAGACGCTTTTATCCAAAGCGACTTACAATTTCTAACCTGTAGGGCATGTTGTGAAGTGGGTATCCTGCAGGCGGTGAAGGATAACCCGCTCCAACTCTGACTTCTTGGGTTTTCTGGATGATTTAACCAATTTTGAGAGCAAAACTCTATAAACTGGCCTGCTTGTTCTTCAGATGAGCTCAAGTCTCACTTCAGCTTTATTTTATTCAAATAATGTCGTGTAGTAAAATATTAAACCAGCTTTTCCTACGATGAATGCATCTTTAAATGTTTCAGACTTTAAAGAGCAAGTCACCCCCAAATAAACTTTTTTTTTGTGCTGATAAACTAAACAAACGAGTGTCTAATCATGCTGCAGACACGTGTCGTCAATAATTTGGCAGTTCAGTGCGTCTTAGTTAAAATTTTAATATTCTGCCTAAAACTGGCAGTGTTATGCCGTTGTCAGGTAAAAACTCTGCACTGTATTTTAATTTAAATCTGCCATCGCTATTGGCTAAGAGGTATGCTATGATGTAAACTGGTACATTATGATGTCACAATGCTGTTGTGAGCCTGTGTGTGTGTGTATTTGTTAGCGGCTCTGCCCTCTCGGTCTGCCTGGCAACAGCATTTGTTGCATTTTTCAAACAGGAAGTGGGAGTGGAGTTAGACTCTGGTAGGGGGTGACTTGCTCTTTAAAGTGTCAGGAGTTAAATCTGAGTGTTTCAAACCTAATAGAGCATGATGTTTTAAAAAATACATACTTAAATAAAAATCTATTATTTTTTGTTCTGTATTTCAGATTCTTGAATCTTTTTATTACCAGACGAGTTTAAAGAGCAAGTCACCCCCTACCAGATTCTTACTCAACTCCCACTTCCTGTTTGAAAAATGCAACAAATGCTGTTGCCTAGCAGACCGAGAGCGCAAAGCCGCTAACAAATACACACACTCATACACACACACACACACACAGGCTCACAACGACATTGTGACATCATATGGTACCAGCTAACGTTCTAGGGTACCTCTTAGCCAATAACGATGGCAGATTTAAATTCAAATGCAGTGCAGAGTTTTTACCTGACAACGGCACAACACTGACAGTTTTAGGCAGAAAATTTAAATGAGAACTAAAATGCACTAAAATGCAAAACTATTGACTAAACGTGTCTGCAGCACGATTAGACACGCATTTATATAGTTTATCAGAAAAAAAGATTGATTTGGGGGTGACTTGCTCTTTAACGTTTGTCCTGAGAAGTAAAAACTTTAGATTTGATCATCTTTACATCATATGCTGTGTTAAAGAGCTCCTTTTCTCAGGTTTTCACATCTTATGCTTGCATGGTGTTTGTCAGCTCAGAAGCATCACGTCTGCCGCTCAGCAGGGAGGCGTCCTGCCAGCGTGTCCTTGAGCCAGACCCTGAACCTGCTCGCTCAGTGTAAACAGATCCGTCTAGGCTGCTGACGCCTTTAAAATGAACCAAGGAAACCACAAGACGTGTCAGGCGAAGCAGAGGCGTTAAATGAAAATGTTGGCGTGTGGCAGCAGTGATGGGTCATCCAGAGGTCACATGACGGAGCAGACCTTCATCTCGGGGAGAAAGATAAAACGTTCACTGACGCGGGCACCGGAGGAGAGTTTCACAAACAGAAAACAGGGGAGGCAAAGCTTCTCTTTCTTGGGGTTCATTGGTTTAAAAATCACTTTGAGCTTTTTATAGTCCTTCACAATCCAGAGGGAAATATTTACCGAATGCAGGTTTGTTACCGTTTAACGTGACGCTCCGCCAGCAAAACAGTCCCGTTCACCAGTAGATGCAAGCAAAAACGAGCTCCGTCACGAGCTCAAAGGAGTAAAGTGGACCTCAGAAAGCCCACGAGCCACAGGTTGAGACACGACAGCAATTAGAGCAGATGTCTGACCGACTGAAACGTGTGTGGCGACGATAAATCCCTACTGTCAGTCGAAATCGGCAGCATACTGTCTTGCTGTCAGGCCAAATCTCCGGGATTATGTTATTACAGCAGTAAAGCTGGTGAACAGCACACACACACACACACACACACACACACAGTAAAACACATGTAAGGATGTGTTAATGGACATCATGATGGTAATTATCTTGTCAGTTTGGGTTTAAACGAGCAGCGCCGGGGTCGGGATGACACCTCTGAGGTTCTGTATGAAGCAGCGGATGGAGAACATGCTGACAGGTTCATCTGTTTAAACTCCTGGCTGAAGGGAGGGGAAAAGGTGGAGGAGACGGACAGCAAGGCAGGATTACAACGTAAAGACAGGCGTTCCCACACATGGAGGTCAGACGGGCCGGAACGATTACAGCCAGTTCCATCAACAGATGGAATTTAAGAGCAGCAGCGACGGATCCGTCCGCAGATCTGAGTGGAAAAAAACCGGGTGTTTATGGAAAACATAAATATATTTTAACCTACTAGGTGGAAGACTTTAATATCTCTGGCATCTGGAACGTCTGGTCAACCTGGACCACACCCAAGCGGAGATGTGACATTGTTCTGGGAATTATCTTCTCCCAGAAAAGTGGACTTTAACTGAAACCCCCTAGCTAAAGCCAAGGAGGTTTTTATTCCCTCCATCACTGAAACAATCCTCATCACAGTCTGGCTCTACTGCTACAGACAAAGGTGAAAGGTCATCAGTGCAGCGGAGGTGAATGGCTGCTCTCTCCATCATTTGTGCACCTCCAGAACCGAGGTGGGTCAGAAAGATGACTGACCGCTCCTAACCAGGAAATGGGACTTTCAGTGCTGCGCTCTTCCAACTACATTAGGCCCTTGTTGGAGATACGACGACATCGATGTCATCCCCTACGAAGTGAAATAGTTTCGGCCATATTTGAATCATTTCCTCTGACCCAGCAGCACTAGCTGGTCGAGATGTCTCAAAATAGGTTTTCAGTTCTTCCCAGAAATCTTTTGCACAAGTTTTCTCCATTAATAAAACAAGATCGTTTGATCTGACATCGTCCTTTTAATAAAGCATGAGCCCCCCACAGATCAGAAACAACCAATCAGAACGCAGATGAGTGCAAACGGCTTTAATGGCTGAAAAAGAATCTTAAACATCTGAGACCAAATGAACCTGCAACGGCAAACTCCACGAACATTCACTCACATTTTCATCTAGAGGACAACTCTGGCTCTTACAGGTTAAAAGACTTCAGATATACACATATTTACACACACACACACACCCATACCCACACACACACACCCACACACCCACACACACACCCACACCCACACCCACACACACACACACACACACACTTGTTGATGAAAAAACCTGGAGGCTTCCAGCAGGAAGCTGCTGATGAACCAGACAAATGACACGTTTCAGTAAATAAGAAGAAGGGCAAAAACGTTCTTCAGAAGCAGTCTTGATAACCGGCGCGTGACGACGGGGACGCGGACAGAAATACAAACGGGCAACGAAAAGAAAAAGGGACGACTGAGCCGCCGTGATCACGTTTACTCCCAGTGCACATCAGGCTTACAAAGCCGTCTTCGTCATGTGCGGGTGATCGGTCAGCCTTCTGCAACGACGTCAGCTTCCTGTCTGTTCACCAGACTCGTGTTTCCAGACACTCGCTCGCCACCTCTGGTCCTGATTTACTCCATCTTAGACATCTCAAACTTGGTTTTCTGGGTTTCCTGCAGCAGAAAAACCCAGCATCACTCTTGATGGTCTGCATGAAAAGCATCTTACAGTTTTAAAAACACCCATCCATCCAACCCCTGAATCCACTTAGTCCACGTGGGGTCGTGCAAGGGGGGGGGGGGGGGGGGGGGGCATCTCCAGCAGTCAACGGGCAATCAGGCGGGGTACACCCTGGACAGAGAGCCAGTCCATCGCAGGGCAACACAGGACTTCTTGTTGCCTTGCAGCAAGAAGGTCCTGGGTTCGCTTCCCGGCCTGGGATCTTTCTGCATGGAGTTAGCATGTTCTCCCTGTGCATGCGTGGGTTCTCTCCGGGTACTCCGGCTTCCTCCCACAGTCCAAAAACATGACTGTTAGGATGATTGGTCTGTCTACATTGTCCTTAGGTGTGTGTGTGTGTGTGTGTGTGTGTGTCTCTGTGTTGCCCTGCTATGGACTGGCTCTCTATCCAGGGTGTGCCCACCAGCCCAGCCCAGATCATTTGCTGCTGTGGCCCCCAGACTCTGGACCTCTCTCCCCCTGAGCCTGAGATCAGTGGACTCAGTGGTCTCCTTTAAAAAGCAGCTGAAGACTCACTTGTTCAAGCTGGCTTTTGGGATCCACTGATTTCCCTCTTTCCTGTTCACTCTCTCTCTTTCTTAACATTATTTTTTTTAATCACAATTGTCCATTTTTGCTCATTTTAAATATTTCTTTAAACATTTTCTAAATGCTTTTTTATATTTTTACATTTTTTGTTTTTGTGAAGCGCCTCGTGATTTTTATCTTGAGCGGCGCTATAGAAATGATGGTAAATGGTCTGTATTTGATATAGCGCCTTCTAGAGTCCTGGAACCCCCCAAGGCGCTTTACAACACAATCAGTCATTCACCCATTCACACACACATTCACACACTGGTGGTGATGAGCTACGATGTAGCCACAGCTGCCCTGGGGCGCACTGACAGAGGCGAGGCTGCCGAGCACAGGCGCCACCAGTCCCTCCGACCACCACCAGCGGGCAGCGTGGGTTAAGTGTCTTGCCCAAGGACACAACGACAGCGACAGACTGAGCGGGGCTCGAACCTGCAACCTTACGATTACGGGGCGAGCACTTAACTCCTGTGCCACCGCCGCCCCGTCGTCAAAATGATTTCTTCTTCTTTCTTCTTCTTCTTCTCTCAGCTAAACTCGTGTTCAACTGGAGTTCCACCTGAAACCATCCGTCTCAAACCAAAACAGTGGCGCTCTTATTTTATTCTTCAGTTGGAACCTGCAGGTTCAGAGGTTAAACTGCTTTATGAGGCTGATTTTTTTATTTTTCCCGCTGATCCTTTAAATGGATTAATTCATCATTGGGAGGAGCAGTGATTCATCAGCAGAGGGGATGAAGAGGAATCAGATTCTTCAGGAAAACAACAACAAAGTTTGGATGATGAAAACGCTATAAAAAAATCAGGTTAACAGGATCTATTCATGACATAAAAACAACATAAATGACGTAGGGCGATGCTGGTTTGGGCTGAAGGGAGCAGAGAGTAACTCTCCTTTCCTCTTTAATCAGGAGGAATTACACATTTTGGGATTACTGGGACACTGAGCTGTTCAGGCCTCAGATTTTACCTTAATTTACCTTCTAAAAAAGAATATCTTATGTAATCGGTGGCAAAGATGTAAATATTATTCCCTCAGTCTCATCCTTTAACATCACAAGAGCAGTTTTAAAGCTCTGGCGAGACGGCGGCGATGTGCTGCGCATTTTAACGACCCCATCCAAAGCACGCGAGAGGCCAACCTTCCCCTCCTCTTAATATTTTCTGTGCATTTTAATACCTCTCAGTGTTTAAGCAGCAGCTTACGTAAGCCACCAATTTCACATCGAAGGCACTTTGGAGATTGCTGGACGACTTAAAACGGCTCCGTTAGGAAGATGAAAGAGTAAATAATTTGGGAAATAGTCTGAATGAACAGTGGGAGAGGAGATGAACACATGAATCCGCCCGTCTCTGCAGGACTTACGCAGACTTCTCAGATTCTACGCGTTCAGTTGGATTATTAATGGTTGCAGCTACAAACAAGTCTGCTGACGTCAGGCTGCTCTGTTTGCCATGGCAACAAGGAGGGGGATAAACAGTGATGTAACCGTGGCGACGCCTAACCTCCTGAGTGTTTGCCTCTCCCTGCTGCTCAGAATCAGAACTGCAGGGATCAAAACTGTTAAGTTTTATTTATTCAGATCAGATGAATGTGTTGGGTCCAGGCGGGCCTAATTCCATTTATTATAATTAAACGCAGAAGCGTTCTGAGTCTCTGCCTCTGGACACACATCGGACCAGATCTTCTGATGTTTGCTCCCATTAAAATGTTTAAATCTGAGCTTTTTCCGAGCACCGTCGAGGTGAATTTTCCTAGGATTCATAAAAAAAATAAAAAAATAAAAATAAAAGCTCCAAACACTTCCTGGTTTCGTGAAAATAATCACTGCTCCAAAACCAGTTCAGTTGCAGCTTCGAGCGCCCGTCAGAGCCCAAAGAGAGCCTGCAGGTACGTTTGTTGTCCGGTATCGACTACACGACTGCAGAGGTTAAAAATCTTAAAAATAAACACCAAGGTTTTGTGTCAGATGAATGCATATTCAAGTTCAATCGTTCTGTTTGACAACAGCTTAAGATGATCAGGTTGGGTTCATTTACAGTTGAAAACATCTGGATTAAAGGGACTTTTGAATTTTTATGCTCGTGATTGCCCCCTCAGGCCAAAGCGTAACGGCAGCTTCAATAGTAGGCTCGTGCGCGAGGCGAGCATGCTGTACGTGCACACTCCTTAACGAAAATAAAGCTTAGACAGTCCTGTGTGTGTGTCTGTGTGTGTGTGTGTGGTGTGTGTGTGGTGTGTGGTGTGTGGTGTGTGGTGTGTGTGTGTGTGTGTGTGTGTGTGTGTGTGTGTGTGTGTGTGTGTGTGTGTGTGTGTGTGTGTGTGTGTGGCCCGGAGGACAGAGGACAGGAGAACGCGCAGCTAATTAATTAAATAATGTGGTTCTGTAGCTTTCTCTTCAGCACAGCCGACAAAGGTTTATGATGGGTCAGTCCTCCTGCATGCTCAGATCATTCCCTTCCCTTGCTTGAAAAATTGTTCCAAAATGAAAGTTGAACCCACATCTTTTTTATCTGTGAATTCAATGCCGTTCGGCGAGTCTCAAATAAAAATTTGGGCATCTTACTGTAAAAAATATACCATTAATGTAAAAAAGAAACTCTAAATAAACTATGTTCACATCCAGAATGAGTCCAACATCTTACTAGGTGAGCTATGGCGCCAGTAACATCTCTTGTATCTGTAACATTTATATCGTTGATCACAGCTGAAACAACGTTCAAATAACGGTTCGGAGGGCGATGCCTGAGCGTGAACGCGCATGAAGCAGCCTGCTCGACCCGAGCATCTCTCTTTTTCTGTGATTTTACAGAAAAACAGGCAATCACAGTAAAAATGCCAGGGCTCATTCTACAGGACCAGGGCATTGCAGGAGAATGTATGAAGAAGACATTTATTATTTCTACACATGTTTTGGCTGTCACACTTCCATAATGCCCCTTTAAATAAACACAGATGGGAAAACGTTTGATTTTTCTACGTCAAAAGTTGTGTTCAGAAAATGGAGAAAACTCACCTCATCTGAGTCGAGCAGCGGCGGCAGAGCCCTGGGAGGAGGAGGAGGAAGACTTGATTTATTTTGTTTATTTTACTGGGTTTTCTGTTTGTAAATGGACCTGAATGTGCAGCACTTTGATCAGCTCTCGCTGTATTTTAAATGTGCGGTGTAAATAATGCGGTACGATATGGTCAGGTCGTCCCAGAGAAGCCGACTGACTCTCAAACTCACACGTCTGCCATGGACGACGGGATGTTCTCCTCCACCCACTTCAGGTCTTCGTCCTGCAGAGGAAGAAGCGAAGCGTGTGTTTAACAGATTCAGAGTCGCAGACTGAAGAAATCCTGGTGAACTCACCACTTTGGGGGCTTTGGCCGTGCCGTTGGTCTCGTTCTTCGTCCCTCTCATCTTCATCCCTTCTGGAGAAGAAAAGAAACCAATGAAAAAGATGGAACCAGACACGCGAGCCGCCCCGCCTGCTTGCAGACCAAATGAACAGATTTGAGTGAAGAAATGACAGGAAGCCTCTGACCAAAAGCTTCGTTCACCATCAGCTCTTGCTCCTCTTCGTCGCTCTCTTCATCCACCAGAGGGCTGAAGGCGTACCTGGAACCCAGACACACGAAGACCGGGTTGGACTCAGACCGGAGGCGCAAACAGCCTGAACACACAGGTTACCTTTGATTGTTGGCCGACGGTCGCCATAGAAACATGATGACCAACAGGATGGTGGAGAACAACAAACGCCAGAAAGCGTCTTCTATCCAGAGTTCCCTCCAGTCCTCAAACACACAGAACCCAGAGGAAACCATTTAAATATGATAAAAACTATGATAAAAGTACAAAAACACAAAAATACTATAATGAAGTTTATACATTTCTTGTGAACTTTAAAGGGACTTTACTGAGTTTTGGATTTTTATGCTCGTGATTGCCCCCTCAGGCCAAAAGTGTAACGGCAGCTTCAATAGTAGGCTCGTGCACGAGGCGCGCATGCTGTACGTGCACACTCCTTAACGAAAATAACAGCTGAGACAGTCCTGTGTGTGTGTGTGTGTGTGTGTGTGTGTGTGTGTGTGTGTGTGTGTGTGTGTGTGTGTGTGTGTGTGTGTGTGTGTGTGTGTGTGTGTGTGTGTGTGTGTGTGTGTGTGTGTGTGGCCCGGAGGACAGAGGACAGGAGAACGCGCAGCTAATTAATTAAATAATGTGGTTCTGTAGCTTTCTCTTCAGCACAGCCGACAAAGGTTTATGATGGGTCAGTCCTCCTGCATGCTCAGATCATTCCCTTCCCTTGCTTGAAAAATTGTTCCAAAATGAAAGTTGAACCCACATCTTTTTTTATCTGTGAATTCAATGCCGTTCGGCGAGTCTCAAATAAAAATTTGGGCATCTTACTGTAAAAAATATACCATTAATGTAAAAAAGAAACTCTAAATGAACTATGTTCACATCCAGAATCAAACCCAGGTCTTCTACATGGGAGTCCAACATCTTACAAGGTTAGCTACACTCTAGTAACATTCACAGCATCTGTAACATTTATATCGTTGATGACAGCTGAAACAACGTCAAACCAAAGAACGGTTCGGAGTGAAAATGGCTATTTTGTTGCTAATTAGCCGGAAATATCTAGAAGAAAGTTCTACAGAAAGTAGCTAAGGGTCCTCAGAAATGTAGCTAGCTTTGTCACTAGGCGTTAGGAACAGCGACAAAGTGGCACTGCCTCTCTCTCTGCTGCTAAAGCTACGGATAGCAAATGCTACGGGCGATGCCCGAGCGTGAACGCGCATGAAGCAGCCTGCTCGACCCGAGCATCTCTCTTTTTCTGTGATTTTACAGAAAAACAGGCAATCACAGTAAAAATGCCAGGGCTCATTCTACAGGACCAGGGCATTGCAGGAGAATGTATGAAGAAGACATTTATTATTTCTATACATGTTTTGGCCGTCAAACTTCCATAATGCCCCTTTAACGTGAAGTATTTGGTGAGACACAGAGCGACTTCCTGCTGGTTCTTACAGAGCGACACTTGGACATCGTGAAGGTTTTCATGGTCCAGAAGATGAAGATGATCGACACTTTGAAAAGAAGAAAGAAGAGTCTTTCAAAGGTGTGAATCAGACTCGATAGAACTTTGGTGAGAACTTTCCAGACCTATGACAGCAAAGATGAGCGTGTTGGTGAAGTGTCTGAAGAGCGACAGCTTCACCACGTTCCTCCTCAGCTTCAGCAGCTTCATCGTCTGAGTCAGGCTTACAAAGATGTGACGTCGTGGTCAAGGAAGGCTCAGAACGATGTGAGCCTCCAGTTGGAGACCCACTGGTCTGATAGAACAAGAACTAAGATCTAATTCTGTTTAGCTACGCTTTGAATCAACTAAACACAAAGTAATAATATTAAAAAATAAACAGAATGAAGGTTTTAGACTACAGAGGAAAGTGTAGTAACGGATATCCACCAGCAGAGGGTAGAGTCGAGCACAGCCAGAGGGATAGCAGCCAGGAGGACTACATCATCTTCAGCCTGAAGAGGAGGAGGTGGGAGAGGAGAGGGGGTGGGGGCAAGGAGAAAGAGGAGGAAGAGGAAAAGGAGAAGGGAGAGGAGGAGGAAAAACACGGGAATAACAGAGAAGGGTCGAGATAAAAGATGAGACACAAGAAGGTGGAAGTTTGATAATGGGAAAACCAAAAAACACACACACACACACACAAGTCTGCTGATTGGTTAACGGGTCTTAACAGGCTCCGCCCACAAACAGTAAGACCTATCTTCAGCACTGATAAGTTCTGGTTAAAGGATATCCACCAGATAACACAGGAGTCGATGAAGGCCAGCACCACGGCACACAGAAGGTTGCTGCTGTTCCCTCGGTCCTACAGAGACACAAAGTTTACACACACACACACATTCACACACGCACACGCACACACACACACACACATTCACACATGCACACACACGCGTGCACTAGGGTTGTCACGGTAACCGGTGTAGCGGTAAACCCCGGTAAAAAACTTGACAATAATAATAACCGTCTTGTTTTTTTAAAACTATATTATCTCGGTGGATTAGCGTGGCTGCGGTGTAGGCGCGGTGACCCTTACCAGCCACCGTATCATCTGCTGAAGTTGCCGGCGGCACATGCGCACTTTGTTGTTTACAACCAAAACTTTCTTGAAGCTAAAGCTGAAATAATGGCCAAAGGAGGAGACGGCAGCGCTCAGGACATTTATTATCCCTCAAAGAAGACAAAGTGGGAAGTACGGGCATTTTTTTGTATATTTGAAGAATGCCGAGGGAACGCTGATAGAAGACGGCTATCCTGTTTGCAGCACGAGCAGAAAAAGTGTCTGTGAAAGGCAGCAACGCTTCAAATCTCATGACACATCTGCGTGACCATCACCCACAACTCTACAGTCAACGCAAGGCAAGCTAACGTTAGCATTTTAGCTAAAATGCGTGATCCGAGGATTTGGGTTGAGGGAGAATGCAACGAGTCGCTATATAAAGCAGCCGCAGCGCCGCTACCTGCATATAAACTGTGTCGCGGACACCCCCATGTTGAAATGACGCTATGCATTACGGGGCTCCCAGGGGCAGATAAGAGTTGGTCTCTCTCAGAGAATAATTATGAATTTAACAACGATTACTGCCTGATGACATTTTCCCACATCTGCAAAGCTCACTGGAAGGACACAAACCGAGGACGATGTTTTCCTGATATAGGGTTTATTACTCAAGTAAGGGTAAAAAAGTACCTGATTAGAAGGCTACTTGAGTACTGAGTATCATCTGGTCTAATATTTTTAAAACGATGACATCAAACAGACAAAAAATAAGAAGTTATGGGCAAATATTGGTATTTTAAAGACTAAAGGGGAAAAATGTAAACAAATAAACAACATAATTACAAAATAACACATTTTAGGCAGAATTTAGACACAAACTGAGGACAATATTTTCCTGATATACAGGATTTATGTAGTAGTCTGAAAATGTAACACGTTTAAAAAAATACCGCAACATTACTGAAAACCGTGATAATTTTGGTCACAATAACCGTGAGGTTACACTTTCACACCGTGACAACCCTAGCGTGCGCGCACACACACACGCACACTCCAACCGGACTACAGTTCTGGCCGAACTTACCGTGTTGACCCGCAGGATTCCCTCGAAGACGGAGAAGATGAGGTAAAGCAGACCGACTGCCACCACCCGGTGCAGCAGAGCGCCGAGCCGGGGCCTGATGCAGACACACAAAACAACACAATCACTGTTATCGATTTACCAAAAGCACTTAATCACCACTAAAGGAGCCTGAATCTGCCTCTTTCTACAGGCTGAATGTCCCACTGGCACATTCTTCTCTAGCGACTACGGGAGGGAGGAGGTGCGACACAGGCTCAGCAACTAAAGGGATCATGTGTGAGCCATGACTGTTTATTACACCCACATGGAGCCAAAAATGGTCATTTATTATGGAAGCCAGTGGGACACTTTAGTCTCATCGCATCTGAAGGTTTTACTCACTTAACAATCCCGTAGCCCAGGCTGGCGATGATGACCAATACCCTGGCCAGAGTTCTCTTCACTGCAGAGAGCACCTCGGCGAACACCACCGCCCCCTGGACTTCAGGAGGACACACAACAGCAGCTCATTTCCCAGCAGCAGCACCACAGCAGCTGTGACCAAGGCGACGCTCCGCTCGCCTGAACCTACCTGAAAGGCCTTCGTATCGGATGTTCTGGAACTCGGCATAGTAAACGGCTTTCTCCAGCATCCCCAGGAAGATGACGCCTCCGATCCAGAACTGGATCCTGAGCAGGTCCCTCCAGTAGCAGGCGGACAGAACCAGCCACAGCAAGGCCATCAGCACGTAGACGATGCACATGACCATGTAGAACTCCCCGACACAAACAGAAAGGTTCCTATTTCATCTGAAATCCGCTCCCAAGCTCTTTTAAGTCATTATTACCAAACAGCTTAGATTTGTTAGTGGGGCGTGTGTGTGTGTGTGTGTGTGTGTGTGTGTGTGTGTGTGTGTGTGTGTGTGTGTGTGTGTGTGTGTGTGTGTGTGTGTGTGTGTGTGTTCTTACCACCATCAGAGGCCATTCGGTGGCAGATATAAAGCCGTGAGGACCTTTCATGCTGACCAGAACTGTGAACACAAACAGCTGATCTTAGACCTGCTCTTTAGATCTAAACACCCTTAATTATTACTATTATTATTAACAACAATAACACATTTTACTATTCATTTATTATTAATAAAAATACCAAATATTATTTAAAATATTTAAATTAATAAAATGAATATTAACACCATCAAATAAAACAATTAATTGAACACCATTAAACATGAACATGCAGGGTAGTGTGTGTGTGTGTGTGTGTGTGTGTGTGTGTGTGTGTGTGTGTGTGTGTACACTGACGCTGCAGACTCCAGGGCGCGGTGCCGCTCGCCGAGTTCTTGCTGGTATCCTGGACTTTAATGATGAGGATGTAGGGGCCATCCTCCCAAGTCTCCGCCACCAGGTCGACGTATGAAGACGACTGAGCAGCCAATCAGAAACATCGAAATAAAGACACCAAACAGCATCAAGTTTCCTGATTTAGGATTGTTTATTCTCAGTTCAAACAAATATCCTGGTTCAGAAACTCATCAACCGAGTTAGTTAGACTCTCACCTTGTTAGTAGAGCCGCCAGCAGCAACGGGCTGGAAAATAGAAAATTGGTCAGCTGAGAAAAATATGCTCATTTATCATTTGAAAAGGGGACAAATAACAAATAAATGAAATGACCAGTTAAATATGTCACGTTTCACCTAAAGCCATGAGAAAGCAGCTCAGTGATCGCTCTCTTTGGTCTGAAAACAGAGAGCTCCAGCAGAAACACCCTAACCAGTGCTGAGCATGAGCAGAAACACCCTAACCAGTGCTGAGCATGAGCAGAAACACCCTAACCGGTGCTGGGCTCCAGCAGAAACACCCTAACTGGTGCTGAGCTCCAGCAGAAACACCCTAACCGGTGCTGAGCTCCAGCAGAAACACCCTAACCGGTGCTGAGCTCAGACAGAACAAGTTTACTACTGCTGTAATACCCTTTTCAAACACTAGGGGGAAGTCACACAAACAGCTGCAACACTGATCAGTTTTCTGGTTGGCTTTTAGTTTTTCCTGCTTTTAAAGTTCGTGTGTGACAAAATTAGATTAAATCAATTAAAATATCAACAAATAAGAAGCCAGAAAATAAATATTTTATTGTTTTCCCATCAGTGATCCTGACTTTTACTGCATTGTTTTAAAACTAATCATGAGACTTATGAGGCAAATGACTTTTACAATAACTCTAAAAGCCCTGATGTGTGTGTGTGTGTGTGTGTGTGTGTGTGTGTGTGTGTACCTTTGGTTTGGGATGACTCGCGTCTCTCCTCCTCCTCACTGAAGATTTCTGGAAAAACAGACTTGAATAAATAATTGTGAACGTTGAGAGATAAGGAGCTGATAAATGATCAGGTTTCAGTTTAATCTGAAATTTGTGAAATGAGCTAAAAGTACGTGTTTAATCTGGGAAATCTATAAGGAAACACGACCTAATCTTAATCTGAATCGATGTTTATTTTCAGCATAACTAGTCTGAATCATCGACTTCCTGGAGCTGAGCTGCAGCACAAACCTGCTCTGCTACGACAACAATTAAGTGACCAATAGGGATGAGCGAGTACTAGCTGTACTCAGAGTGGGCGCAGCATAACCCGGAAGTGGGTGTGATTTAACTGGAAGTGGGTGTGGTTTAACTGGAAGTGGGTGTGGTTTAACCGGAAGTGGGTGTGGTTTACATCAATACGTTACTTTAAGCTTGATCAGAAGTTGCTATGTGTATTGTTTATTTGAAAACTAATTACAGAGCAGCCTCAGTGTTGAGATTAAATGTTTTTGATCACAATAGTAAAGAAACTATTACAGAACAAGTTTTTCAGTAAAATCAGAACATTATTAAGTGCATGAATTGAGAGAGAGAGAGAGAGAGAGAGAGAGAGAGAGAGAGAGAGAGAGAGAGAGAGAGAGAGAGAGAGAGAGAGAGAGAGAGAGAGAGAGCCCAAGCAGAGAGGAGGCAGTGACCGACGCATGCATGAGCCGTTTTCAGCTCTGTCTTGTCAAATGCACCACGCACGTTACGAAAAAAGTAACTTTAAATATTAAACTGAAAAAGAGGCGAGCTGAAGAAAACCTACGGAGTTCTGAAGAAACGTGAGCAACAGTGAAGCAATCACAGAGAGATCCGTTACTGTGTGTGTGTGTGTGTGTGTGTGTGTGTGTGTGTGTGCGCGCGCGCGTGGATGCACGGACTGAGCTCCCGGCTGCAGAGTTTTGTGTGTAGGGAGGGGCGGGCGCTCTATGTGACTGGCCAATCACAGAGCGTGAAGACAGTCAGTCACCCAATGAGGATTTTCATTCAGCACCATTACAGATATTTACGAGTTTTACTCGTTTCAGTGATCGTATTTGTCAAAAATGCTTTATCCGTACCGTCTGAAACGAGTATCCGGCTCATCCCTAGTGACCAAATCAAAACTGGTAAATAAGCTGAAGTTGTTGTTGAAAATAATCTTTCGGAACACTTATTTTGCAGATTTAATCCAGGGATAGATTTAAATATACATTGAAATTAAATTCTAAAGCACCGAGCTGCCCGGGGACGTGCCTGACTTTAAATTGGCTTTATTACAGAAGTATATAGGCCAACGCCGATTTATAAAACAAAAGGTCGACCGATATTTCGGAGTACCCCTACTAGGTATGTGTGTAAACACTCATGTGTGCTCTGTGACTTCTGTATGTAAGCAGATGTCCGACACTATTGGTTAATGCTGAGCCACGCTCAATTCAAATTGCATGGGGCTCTATGGGACGGGGGGGGCTATCTTATATCACAATACAGGTCGAGACCGTCGCTTTTACAGATTTCTAAAAGCTTATACCCAATTCTTAAAAAGGGAGGAAAATTATGAATTTCAGCTTGAAACATTATTTTATTATCATCGGATCAAAAGTCTGGAATCAGATTCTGAGTGTAGGTGAAGTGGATCCATCAGAACCACCCAGAACTTACCGAGTCGACCGGACTCGCCTGCAGCGGCTTCAGTTGCGTCGGGCGAGCGTCAGCCGGATCCACCCTGAACTGAGACTGAATAAAGAAAATCATCACACACGCTTCATTCTGTGTGTGTGCGTGCGTGCGTGCGTGCGTGCGTGCGTGTGTGTGTGTGTGTGTGTTCCTCACAATGTCTGGCTTCATGCCCTGACAGCTGATGTTGGGATAATGGTGAAGAAGGTAGAATCCGCTTCCTCCCTCTATTATGACCTCCTTTGACCCAAAGTAAGTTGGAACCTGACTCGACTGGACAAACGTAAACAACAACAAAACAACACAGCGGTGATGTGACACATAAGGACTTTCAGCCAATAGACCTTAGACTAAGAATATTCTTCTTTTCTGTTTCTACACCCACTTACTTTTATTTTACTTTTTTCCAACAATCATTTATTACGAAACTTTTTCCTAGCTAATAATTTCAGATCAAAAGTTAACACAGCTCAACAAATCTGGATGACATAACAGATCAAATAAAGTGAACAGATGAAAAACACGTGTTTGTTAGGGCAAAAGTTAAAAAGTTAGAGGTTAAAAATAGAATCAATAAGATGATGAGTCAACTCCTTACATCCAGGTTAAAGATTTCGTTGTAGCATTGAGAGTTCCTCAGGTACCAAGACACGCTCAGCTGGACGGGAGGCGATGAGGGACAATCCTGAGCCAACACTGAAAGCACAATCAGGAAGGATTAATACACGAGTCGTTGTTTAAAGACAAGAGACGTCTACGTGTTTACCTTTGAGGTGGATGGAGCTGTTGCGGAACAGAGTTTTTCTAAAGTGGAAAAAAGACGATTCCTTCTCTGCGTCCTTCTTCAGCTTTTTCTGAAATAAACAAATATTTAAAAAGCAAAATTTAGCTTCTTTACATTGAAATAACTTCTTAAATCAGGTCTTTGTTTTTATGAGGCAGTTTGTGACCTCCCAACTGTGGACCCACCACCCGCAGGAGGAACATGAAGGGTCCGGTGCAGTGTGGATCGGGTGGCAGACCGAGGCGGGAACCTTGGCGGTCCGATCCCCGGACAAGGAAACTGGTTTTTGGGACATGGAACGTCACCTCACTGGCGGGGAAGGAGCAGGAGCATGTGGCAGAGGTTGAGCGGTACCGGCTAGATGTAGTCGGACTCACCTCGACACATTGCATTGGCTCTGGAACCCAAGTCCTTGAGAGGGGTTGGACACTCTCCTTTGCCGGAGTTGCTCCGGGTGAGAGGCGGAGGGCTGGGGTTGGCTTTTTGTTAGCCCCAAGACTCTCTGCCTGTGTGTTGGGGTTTACCCCAGGGGACGAGAGGGTAGCTTCCCTGCGCCTTCGGGTCGGGGAACGGGTCCTGATTGCTGTTTGTGCTTATGGGCCAAATATCAGTTCAGAGTACCCACCCTTTTTGGAGTCCCTGGGACGAGTGCTAGATAGTGCTCCATCAGGGGACTCCATTGTCCTACTGGGGGACTTCAATGCTCACGTGGGCAATGACAGCTTGACCTGGAGGGGTGTGATTGGGAGGAACACTATGGCCAAACTGCGGCCTGCACAGAAGTCCAATAACGAAACACCACTCGAGTTCAGATCAGGTGAACACCATGTTCGAACATAAGGATGCCCATCGGTACACTTGGTACCAGGGCAGCCTAGGTCACAGGTCGATGATAGACTTTGTAGTCGTATCATCTGACCTGCGGCCATGTTTTGGACACCCGAGTGAAGAGAGGAGTGGAGCTGTCAACTGATCACCACCTGGTGGTGAGTTGGATCAGATGACAGGGGAAGATGCCGCGTAGACCTGGCAGACCCAAATGCATAGTGAGGGTCTGCTGGGAACACCTGGCAGAAGAACCTGTCAAGACGGTCTTCAACTCCCACCTCCGGCAGAGCTTTGAATGTGTCCCGAGAGCAGTGGGGGACATCGAATCCGAGTGGGCCTTGTTCCACTCTGCAATTGTTGAGGCGGCTGTTGCTAGCTGTAGTCGCAAGGTGGCCGGTGCCAGTCGTGGTGGCAACCCCTGACTCCGAGTGGGCCTTGTTCCACTCTGCGATTGATGAGGTGGCTGTTGCTAGCTGTGGTCGCAAGGTGGCTGGTGCCAGTCGTGGTGGCAACCCCCGTACCAGCTGGTGGACACCAGAGGTTCGGGGAGCCGTCAGGCTGAAGAAGGAGGCCTACAGGGTGTGGCTGGTCTGTGGGTCTCTGGAGGCAGCAGACAGGTACTGCATAGCCAAGCGGGGTGCAGCAGTGGCAGTTGCTGAGGCCCCGTGGGCAGATGAGATTCGTCCTGGGTATCTCAAGGCTATGGATGTTGTAGGGCTGTCATGGTTGACACATCTCTGCAACATTGTGTGGTCATCGGGGGCAGTTCCTGTGGAGTGGCAGACCGGGGTGGTGGTCCCCATCTTTAAGAGGGGTGACCTGAGGGTGTCTTCCAACTATAAGGGATCACACTCCTCAGCCTCCCTGGAAAGGTCTACTCCAAGGTACTGGAGAGGAGTGTCCGATCGATAGTTGAATCTCAGATTGAGGAGGAGCAATGTGGTTTTCGTCCTGACCGTGGAACTGTAGACCAGCTCTATACCCTTGCAAGGGTGATGGAGGGGGCATGGGAGTTTGCCCAACCAATCCACATGTGTTTTGTGGATTTGAAGAAGGCTTATGACCGTGTCCCCAGGGGCACCCTGTGGGGGACACTCCAGGAGTATGGGGTGGGTGGCTTTCTGTTAAGGGCCATTCAGTCCCTTTACCAGAGGAGCGTGAGTTTGGTCCGCATAGCCGGTAGTAAGTCGGACCTGTTCCTGGTGAGGGTTGGACTCCGCCAGGGCTGCCCTTTGTCACCGGTTCTGTTCATTACTTTTATGGACAGAATTTCTAGGCGCAGCGGTGGTGTGGAGTGTGTCGAGTTTGGTGGCAGGAGAATCTCGTCTCTGCTTTTTGCGGATGATGTGGTCCTCCTAGCTTCATCCAGCTCTGACCTTCAGCTCTTGCTGGGTAGGTTTGCGGCAGAGTGTGAAGCGGCTGGGATGAGGATCAGCACCTCCAAATCTGAGACCATGGTTCTCGACCGGGAAAGGGTGGCTTGCCAACTCCGGGTCGGGGGAGTGGTCCTACCTCAAGTGGAGGAGTTTAAGTATCTCGGGGTCTTGTTCACGAGTGAAGGTAGGAGGGATCGGGAGATTGACAGGCGGATTGGTTCAGCGTCTGCAGTGATGCGGACGCTGAACCGATCTGTCGTGGTGAAGAGGGAGCTGAGCCAGAAAGCCAGGCTCTCGATTTACCGGTCGATCTACGTCCAAATCCTCACCTATGGTCATGAGCTTTGGGTAATGACCGAAAGAACGAGATCTCGGATACAAGCGGCCGAAATGAGTTTCCTCCGTAGGGTGGCCGGGCTCAATCTTAAGAGATAGGGTGAGGAGCTCAGAGATTCCGGAGGGACTCGAGTAGAACCGCTGCTCCTCCAGATCGAAAGGAGTCAGTTGAGGTGGTTTGGGCATCTGGTCAGGATGCCTCCTGGACGGGGAGGTGTTTTGGGCATGTCCTGCCAGCAGGAGGCCCCCGGGTCGACCCAGGACACGTTGGAGAGGTTACATCTCCAGTCTGGTCTGGGAATGCCTTGGGGTCCTGCCGGAGGAGCTGGTGGAGGTGGCCGGGGAGAGGACGGTCTGGAGCTCCCTAGTTGGGATGCTGCCCCCGCGACCCGGACCCAGATAAGCGGAGGAAGACGAAGTGTGTGACCTCCTCTCACCCTTAACCCATTTGTGCACAGATTTTTTTCAGCGTCGTAATGCATAGCATTGTTGCCAGTGGTCACATTGCTTGTCAGTAGGTAAAATGTCACCTAATAATAGGAATAGAGAAGTAATAATAATATCGTCATAACCAGGGCCGACCCTGGGGCATTATTTTCCCTGGGCAAATTTTTTCCTAGCCCCCCCCCCCCCCCCCCCCCCACACACACACACACACACACACACACACCTGTAACCCCACCCATGCATCCCACAAACAGGACACTGCTCTGTTATTTTTGGCACACCCCATTGCAGCAATACATCCCCCTGCATAGGTGGCCTGTGCCAAGGGCCAGCCCTGCTCATAACAAAGTAATAGCCTAACAGTATTATCATAAAAACAAGAAAGGACTCAGGTTCCCCCTGTATGAAATTCAAGACAAGACACAATTTGAACTGGTGCCTTTATTCACTTTTTTAAAACTCAAAATCACAACAAACAAGTTTTTTTAGAACATCTAACACATATTCATGACATATTTCCCACACAATCCATCATTTGTTATGGATGTACTACTCAGCGTGGTACTTTTTAAAGCACTCCACATGTGGGGTGAGGGGGGGGGGTGCGCATAGGTGTGTGTACTGGGTAAGCTCTTGTGTGCAAAGAAAAGTGCACCCCCAGCTGCACATCAACATCTTCACTAGCTTTTTTGCTAGCTAGCTAGCTATCATTAGACTGTGAGACACAAGCTAATGTTTGCTAGCAAGAAAATGATGTATGGTAATGTATAAAAATGCTATACATGTGAAGTTATTTAGCTTGGAAAAGTATTCTAAGAGGACTAAAATGAGCCATTGTACATCATTCTAATATTTTAAATAAGTAAATTAGGAGCAATCCTGCAGAGAGTGTTTTCCTTTAGTTAGCGACATGCTTTGTGCCCACTGGCAACTATGAATGCCACTCACAGAAATAAGCCTATTAAGAAAAAAATGTTTATATTTGGTGCAATTTTTTGATGGAGGGTTACTCTAGAGACTTGAATGAGTAAATTATTACAAATATGTTTTGGGGCAGTTCATCAGAAATGTCTAAAAATGACCTGTTTCCAGGATGATTTGCAGTCGCCATGTCTTCAGCGGGAAGGAGATGATGTCACTTGGTAACAATTTTTTTAAACAAAACTTTTGTCCAAGTTGTTTACTAGCAAAGAGGTGGAAAATGTTGGATTAGTAACACTGTATTTTTTTATTGTGAGTGAAAAGTGAGGCTAAACGGGTTAAACATGAAGTATAATTAAGATTACTCAGAATTTAGAGAAAGCGCTGCTTCGTGTCACAGCTTATCCCAGCTATCAGCATGGGTGGAAGGGTGATGGTTTGGGCTGGTTCTGACCCAACTAGTCAGGAGACTGCAGTGGTCCAGTCAGAGTCCTGACCAGAACCAGCCTGGGCGGTGGGACTTTGAGAGAGCTGAATGCTTACAAGCTTCAAGAAGAATGGACCAGAACTCCTTCAGAGCCGTGATGAGGTCAAACTGAAGATGGCCAGACAGTTACAGCTGCTGAAGTAAGTTCTGTTGGACCATCAGGTGGATGAATCACACACAGGTTCTGGATTTTATTTTGAAAAACATTTTTTGTTGATCTTTTTCATTGTTTAAGAAATTGGGAAGATTTCAGCTGAACACAGAGCAGATACGTAAACCCGAAAAAGCCTCTTGAGAACTGAACATTTTCTACTTGGACCGCGCTGGTTCTGTGGACCCCTCCGGGCTCTGGTTCTGTTTCCTCCTGAGTTCCACTTTTACTGTTTCCTCTGTAAACACGTGACCATACAAGTTTTAGGAAGGCCAGTTTAAAAATCCTAAAGGGACCTGAACGTTACACGTGTTTGGCGCAGAGCGATAACCGACCAAGAATCGGCTCCAGGAAACTGCCAGACCTCTGAAAATAAATGAAAACCGAACTTTTGCTCCAGTTGGTCATGAAATGCTTTCAACCGTCCGTTAACCGTCCGACAGTTACACATCAGCACGGATAAAAGACGCTAACTCACACTGTCAATGTCCACGATCCATTTCCCCGGTTCGGACACGGTCGACACCGGTCCGCTGATTCCCGCCAGCAGCAACAGAAGGAGCAGCCTCCGGTACCGTGGTCTGGAGCGACCTGGACCCACTGAGCTCGCCATTTAGGACAATCAGGAAGTAAGATCCGCGACAGCTCACAACAATCTGGACGCTTCCGGATTCCGAAGACGTAACAATGTGATGCGTTCATGAGCCCTGGGACGTTTGATGTACGTTTTAAAACTTGAAGTAACCTCGAACGGTTCTGTTAAAAAGCTTTGATAGTTACTCCATATTTAACTTTTAGAACGACACAAAAGGCCAGAGACCCAATCAAACAACTACAGTTATAAATATGAATGAAAACTTATCAATAAACATTTATTTATCAATGTATTTATATTGTATTTTAAATGGTTACATGTCTGTCCTATTGTGGTGCTTTTTATTGGTGTACACCGCTTTGTTTGTCCATTTTGGTCACGTGAAAGCGCTTTATAAATAAAGTTGATTTGATTTGATTTATTTAAACAATAAATGCATATCCATGTTATTAGAATTGTGTGCCCCTTTATGAAGAATCATAATATCTATTTAATATTTTGGATATGGCGCTGTTATCCCCCAATTCCTTTGTATTGAGTTCATTGACAGTAAAAGCTTTTGATTCAATTCAGAAAAAAGAGCCTGTTGAGAAATCCTTTCCTATTTGTTATTCAGAAAAATCATAATAGAATGTGTGCATAGAAAAAATATTAAAGAACTTGAGAAATAATCACAATTTCTTCTACTTTTAAGATAGGAAAGAACCATCACTGTTGAAGCTATTTAGTTTATTACAGGCTTAAGTTATAGCCTAGTTTATTTTATGCTAAAGTTAATTTGTTTGTTTTGCATTATGTTTTTTATTTATTATTTTGGCTAATTAGTCTATTGTTTATTGGTCAGGTGTGGGTGATTATTTGCATAAATAGGTCAGGATGGGTGGAGCAGCGAGGGGACATGGTTTTTTACCACAGAGACAGTGAGGACGCAAAACATCTGTGCTCTTGCTTCTTGTGTGACTAAACCACCAAACACAATTTTGGCATGGACATTGTTTGATTTAAAATCTTTTTACCCGTGTGTAAAGCCTAACCCTTGACGTAGCCCAGTGGCCATTTGAAAGTATTTGATTATTTTTTGTTTAAGTTTTATGGACAAATAGCCACTAATCACGTTTTTGAAGCAGTAAAAAATATTATTAATGATTTAATCTAGTGTAAAATTTAAGAAATAGTCACAAAGTATGAAATTGGGAAAGCGTTATTTATTCAGGATGAAACAAAATAGTAATAGAATACTATTTATTTAGCACTTATTTTTATATTTGGTTTGTCAACACGTCCTGAACATTATTTCAGAGCTCTATAGTCAAAGCAGATATCTAGTAGCTGCTGTAGACCCGCGGTGCTCGGACTTAGAACCACTGAGTCATCTGCATACATCAGATGATTTGTGACATCATCACCAGCTGTGCAACCATTCCTGCTGGCCTTTGACCCTCTGGAGGCAGGCAGGTTAAAACCTACCTACCGGGTTACTCCACATATGTTTTTCATGAGCATTTTTTAACTCAGAAGTGAAGGACTTAGTTCAGAGGGTTAACCTCACTGATGGGTCATCCATGTGCAGGTTAAAAAGAAGGGGGGGGGGGGGGGGTACAACTCCTCCTTGTCTGTCTCCATGGCTCTGAGATACTGTTGCCCCATTTTACCTGTTGCTGACCATACCAATAAACCAGGATGCATACAATGTATTTTGGGACACCTCTTTGCAGAAGCTTTATGAATAGTTTCCTATGGTTAACTCCATCAAAGGCCTTAGATGCATCCATGAAGCACATAGAGACTGAGGAGTTCTGGTTTCTGTATTTGGTCACGATCTCCTTTACAGCATATGTACATGTCTGTACCAAGCAGACTTTTGACTTGCTGATTTTGGTAAATCAAACATGTTTGGACCAGCCTGGCTTGCCAGACTCGCCCTCTTTTTTCTACAGAGGACCCAAAAGGAAGGCATGGCTGGCCAGGCTATGCTGGGACAGGCTGCACGATTAACCTGATGTTTGACCACCAGGTGGCAGTAAGCTGAAAACAGTTGCGTTGCAGTTCTAAAATCAACCACCGGAGGGCAGTAAGAACTAACTCAGCCGTGGGTGTCGTTAAGTTGTCTGGAAATATGGAAATATATAAATAAAGCAAACCAAAAACCAGACGTGAAAGGAAGAATACTCGAGTGACATTTTGTCCTCAACCCTGACCTCTCTCTCTCTCTCTCTCTCTCTCTCTCTCTCTCTCTCTCTCTCTCTCTCTCTCTCTCTCTCCCCCCTCTATCTCTCTCTCTCTCTCCCTCTGTGTGTGTGTGTGTGTGTGTGTGTGTGTGTGTGTGTGTGTGTGTGTGTGTGTGTGTGTGAGGGAGATAGGTGTGTTTATGTTCAGTGTTTGATTGCAGTCAGCCACTTCCTAGTTGTAGCCACTAGGGGGCAGCAAGGAAACAATAAATGAAAAATTAAATGTTAAAATAAAACAAAATATTTATGGAAGGAAACTAAAGCTTAATTTCTACATCCAGTACATACTTTTACATAAACCATAAAATTTTTTAATTCAGAAAAAACAGTTAAAATGCAAAACGTAATTTATTCAGCTGTTTTGTTCCAGGTTGATAAATGTAGTCCTGTGAGATTTTAACATGTATTCTGTATCTGTCTCAGATTATGTTTTTTTGTCTGATTTTAAAAATAATTTCTCAGATATGAAAAAGTTCCAAACAATCCAGACAGAAATGTCCAAAATTAGATATAGGAGAGTGAGATCAAACAAAGCTAGAAAGAGTGAAAGCAGAATTAATAACTCAAAATGGGAAAGAAGTGTTTAATGAAACTGACACTAACATAGAATATGAAGCATTTCTGCTCATCTTCAAATCACTGGATAATAAATATTGTCCAACTATACAAGAGAAAGAACATTATAGAGCAAAAGCACGGATGACTAAAAGTCCACAAAATGCATGTAAGAAAAATAATACATTACATATGTATTTTATAAAACATAGAATGAAGGAAGCAGAAGATTAATATAAAGCATATAAAAATTAATGTGTTAATATTATGAGAAATGTAAGAAAGATTATTATGAAAATCAATTAGAAAATAAAAATAATATTATGCTTTAAATAAAAATATTAGGATTAGGTCCAAAAGTTAAAATTACCCTCTATATTTATGGAAAACGAGGTGATTATGCACGACATGAATGATGTGGTACAGGAGTTTAATTATTACTTTGTATGTGGGACCAAAACTGGCTGAAAAACTTTGTACTCCTCAGTTAGAGGGGGGGGGGGGGGGGGGGGGGCTGAGGACCTAAAAGAAATCAACCCAGCTTCTATGTAACAGAGAGGGGAGTGGGTTAGGGTTATGGCATAATATAAACGTGTCTTTGATGAAGAAGGTTACAGGGCTTATTGTGCAGCCACTGACATGTTTGAAATTTGTCCTTCACAGCTGCTTATTTCCATGTAAAATGGAAACGGCTAAGGTTGTTCCATTATACAAAGAGGGAGACAATAAGCAGTTCACTAATTATAGACCGGTTTCATTATTATCACAATTTTCAAAAATTTTAGAAAAGTTATTTGTCAATAGACTGGATGAATTCAGTTAAAATCATAATCTGTTATCAAACAGTCAGTAAGGGTTCAGAACAAATAGATCTACATCAATGGAAATGGTTGAAGACATCACTAGTCCTATAGATAAGAGGGAATATGCAGTTGGACTATTTGTAGAAATCAATTTGTACAAATAAATAATTATGAGTCAGCACTGCTTAGTAGCAATTGTGGGGTACCACAGGGGTCAGTTTTGGGTCCAAAGCAATTTATTTTATATATTAATGATTTGTGTGAGGTTTCCAAAGCATTAAAATGTGTTTTATTTACAGGTGATACAATTTTTTTGCTTCGGGAGAGAATTTGCAGGATCTTTGTAAGTTAGTAACAACAAAAATGGCTGAACTGAAGGTTTGATTTGAATAGATTATCATTAAACTTTAACTAAACGCCTCTGTCAGTGCGCCCCAGGGCAGCTGTGGCTACATCGTAGCTCATCACCATCAGTGTGTGAATGTGTGTGTGAATGGATGAATGATACACTGTAGTGTAAAGCGCTTTGGAGTCCTTACTCTGAGAGGCGCTATACAAGTGCGGGTCATTTATCATTTATCAATATAAACTAAAGTTATGTTGTTTGGAAAACACACACATATGACAATAACTATAAATGATATTATTATAGAAAGAGTGTATGAAAATAAATTTCTGGATCTAATCCTTGATCACTAATTATGTTGGAAACCTCACATAAAATATGTTAAAGGAAATAGCACTGAGCGGGGTGTTGGGAACAGTAAGGCACTGTACTGTACTGCACACTGAAATGTGGGGAAACATCCATAAAACCACCCTATAAGCACTTTGCATGTTACAAAAACGAGCCATGCGGTTGGTCAGTCACGTGAGATGCAATGAACACACAAATAGCTTGTTTATAAAATTACAAACCTTAAAGTTCAAAGATTTGATAGAATTTAGGACGGCGTTATTTATGTACAAAGTAAATAAAAAAATACTGCCTGAAAATGTTCAAAAACTGTGTGCAGAAAGACAAAAAATAAACATAAACAAGGTGGATATAATTTGAGAAGTGAATGAAATGTGAAGCAGCATTATGCTCAAACGAAATTGAAAAGTATGTGTATTTTAATTAGTGGAGTTGTTTTACGGAATAGTCTTGAGGAAAGAATCAAAGAAAGTTTAAATATTCAATTAAAATTAATATTCAAAGATACTTTATTAATCCCAGAGGGAAATTAGAGTTTCAGTACACACAGTTCTGAGATCAGACATACATGGGCACGTGACAAGAAATGGTGACTGCGGTCATTCACAACCCGAGTCGCGCTACCTTAACAGAGATCAGAGGGTTACCATGAGGATTGGTTCAGGTGGAGGGAAAAAAGGCACTTCAGAGTTACCCTTTCTGCTATGCAAAAAACACCTCAGACAGAAATGCAGCAGACTTCAGACGTTACACAACATCAGTGTCCACTAGGTGGGGGAGTAGGGTTGGGGACTCTCACATCAGTGCGTGCTGGACAGGGGAGGAGGTCGTTGGGTTTTAGAGAGCACAGTGACTCCTGGAATGATTCAGCGGCCTTCGGTCGCAGTCCCTCCCAGGCTGGGATAGGGAGACAGAGTTGCCATGGCGACGGCAGCATTCCACATTTTTTCTGAGGGGGAAGTACTCGCTTCAGCCTCACAGGCTCAAGGGCACGAGATTCAGATAAGAACTTGTTTTGGGGCCAGACAGAGATAATTTCCTCTCTGTCTTAAAGTTCCGTTGGTCCTCAACCTCTCTTAATCCAATAATTGGTGTAAATTAATCTATCCTAATTTGTGCTGATTCGTCAACGTTCTCCTTGATCAAATCCACCTTCTGTGCCAGAGTCTGAATCTCAGCCAAAGTTCCAGGCTTACGACTCATCTCAACAATTATGTGAGTCTGTGAATTCACAGCGTGGTGTAATCCATCCCTGAGCTCCGGGATTAAGCCAATATTCCTCAACAGCTCGTTAATTGTCTGGTAAGCCAGATAACCTCCCAGGCCAAAAAGCAGGAAACCTGACACCAACACCACGAATATCCAGACGTCTTCAGAATCCTCCACAGACAGTTGAGATAAGCAGATCAGGTTCCACTGTTTCCAGGAGTCCATGATGTGTCCAGCTGGCTCTGTCCCAGAGGGGCAACCAGGAGCCCCTTCTCCCATTCTCATTGTTGAAAAAATGTTGTCAATCGCGTTGAGAGACCAACTGACCCGGTCCATTTTAATAATTTCCAGTTTCCAGAAAAAATGCAGAAGCGCCGTACAACCAAAGACAGACAAAGAGCCTTGGGGATAAGACAGGGAGGAGAGGAGGAATAAAGCGTCTGAACTCTCCAAGAGCCGGAAGAACAAGAACAAATATAGTGCAATTTAAGTAATTATATAAAGAATTAATTTTTTCCAGATATTGACAAGAGGATCACTAATCTGTATATGTACTAGTGATAATATAAATTAATGTTGTTGTAATTGATGTTGATACGTTTGACTTGTTGTATTCTGATGTTTAAAATGTTTTAAGTATGAGTAAATTGATTTAGGGAAAGGTGAAATAAGCATTGCTTCTTCTTTTTCCTGTTCGAACAACTATGGTTGTGATAAGTTATCAACGTTAGAAATTATTGTATGTATTGTTTTATTTGTTTGAAATAAAAAGAGAAAAAAAAGACAAAGAAAGAGATCAGCATGCAGCAGGTGTGGTTCTGTTGGAACACCAAACAGGTCCGTCAGCACCCTGCAGGGCACACCTCACATGAACCAAACCAACATGTTTAAATACTTGTGCTTCAGAATCTGCTGTGAATAAGTGACAGCGGAAATTGTTACTTAACGATTTTTATCAGATTCATAAATCACAACCAAGTATTAAAAAGATCAAACTGAGTACATGAAAGTTTTTTAAACACCTGTATTATTATTATTTATTATTATTATTATTATTATTATTATTATTATTATTATTTCAGGATGAGTTCCCAGCAGAAAAACAAAGACTCAACAGTTGTGCAGATGGAATATTTCTACTTACTATTAAAAAGTATAATTTATTAAACATTCTGATTTTCGCCTCTTTGCTGTATTTATCCTGTCAGCTGAATCTATTTTACTCGTAAAAATAGAAAAACCAGAAACGAAAAATAAAAATAAATAAAAGAATGATTTAGGTCAGAATATTCACAAGAAAATGTCTGTGACATTAAAATAAATGTGTTCAATTTAATTATTTTGATGTAAAGATTAATGTTGCGTTTGTGGAGTCACGAATCTGTAAAAGCCAGATTATTCTGTTGAGCCTGAACGCATCACCGGTTCAGAAGGCGTCAGAAGGCGTAGACCTGGAGGTCCCCCCCACCCCGCCCCCCCCACCCCCGCGCGTGCGTGTGTGTCGTGGGCGGGGCTGGAGGTTTTAAACAGTGGAACTTTTCTCCGCTCCGGTCCGTCCGTCTGTCCCGCTCCGTCTCGTCTCATCAGAAAACTCCTCTGTGAGTATAATAAACGCTTCCGGTTTACTCTGATAGACTCTAGATGTTGTTTTTGTTGTTTTGTTGTTCTGCTGAAGCCTGACACAGATAACCAGAAGGTCTGCAGGTCGCCACACCCGCGGGTGGAAACACGACGCAGTTCGGTCACAAACCCTGGAACAGAAAAATTCTTATTTCTGACCCAGATCTGAGGTGTTAGGCAGCAAATTCAGGCAAAGCAGAGTCATGTGGCCTAGTTTTAGTATTTAGTCCTAAATAAGAGCCAGACAGCTTCAGATAAAAGCCTTATAAAGATTTCAAATCATCATTAATATTATTGTATTTTCATTCCCATGAAGGATCAGCTGATGTCGTCCTTATAAAATAAAAACAATTTCATCCAGTCTGACCTGTAAACTCAGTCATTTCTGTCTCTCTCTCTGTCCTAAGAAATAAAATACAACAATCAACATGAAATAAACTTTGTTTTATTTAATCTGATTTGGACTGGATAAAAACAAAAACAGTAAAAATAAAGAAAAATGTGAGATTTTGGGTAACAACAAACCCATTCAAGCACAAATGGCTTCTCATTGATGGTTAGAGTGCACTATATGACGTAACAGCTTGACATACAGTGCAGCTCATTGCTGCTGCAGATCCAACTGTTCCTCAGCTGATGAACTGATGGATCTTTAATCTCCAGCGAGTTCTTCTGTTGCTCTGAAGCCGGTCCTTTTGTTTGATGTAGGGAACTTCCCTTCGTCCTGTTTTACAGCAGCTGAATGGAAAGTTCTGCTGCTCCAGGAGGACCAGCGGTGGCCGTAAAGCTGGAGATGGTGCTCCGTAGTTCTGTTCTGGGAGGGTCTTTCTGTGGACTCACCTGGTACCAGAACATTTTCAGAGGAACATTGTTACCCCTAAATCATTGAAAAAAAACTAACTAAAGGGATGAGCCAGATAAAGAACACGTTAACTGGGACATTCATGGATCTTGGAAAATATTGTTCAGGTTTCAAGATATGAAACTATTAAATAAGATCTTTTGTTTTTTTTTCTTCTGCTTTAAATGCTGATTGAAGTTAGTTTTTTCCTGCTTTGAGTTCAAATTTATCATTTTATTATTTTAAAACATTTGTTTTGTCTCTGCTTTTCAGACTGTCGGTAAAATGTTTCTCACTAAAGGTTTAATCGGAGGCATTTTGAACGTTGTGAGGTGAGCAGCATGTTCTCCTTACGCCAACGCCTGCTAACAGTTTCCATGCACTTCCAGTGTTAGTGCTAAGCTAACAGCTTCCTGTTTCTCCCTCCAACAGCAACTTCGACCCGTCTCAATTCAAGCCTTCACCCCCGGTAAGTACCGACCTCGGAGAGCCTGCTGAAGCTGAAACCCGGATCAGAACTCACCACAAACTTCACTCTGCTCATCCTTTTACTCGCTGTCAGATTTTTACATTTATCAATCAATCAATCAATCAAATTTTATTTGTAGAGCACCTTCCACAACGTTATCGGAAGCCCAAGGTGCTGAACAGCATCATCATAAGAAAAACATTCCCAGTACATGGGCATAAAAGCAAGATAAAAACATAAAATCATAAAATATCAAGCAAACACTATTACAAATAAAGAGAGATAACGGAAATAAGACTAATCGATCAAAAACAAATGGTGGACAAAATAAAATCAAGCATCTGGGTTAAAAAGAAGAAGAATTAAAACCATAATGTCAGGGCAATTAAAAGAACCCTAGCGCTAAAACGCAATCAAATAAAAATGAGTCTTTAAACGAGACTTAAAGACTTGAAGGGACGGTGCCTGCCTAATGCTCAGTGGCAATTCGTTCCACAGAGTTGGAGCCAGATCAGAAAAAGCACGACAACCCCTCGATCGATATTTCGACCGGGGGACAACCAGAAGTTCCTGCTCGGCTGAGCGAAGAGACCGAGACGGAGCATACCTCTGCAAAAGTGCAGTAATGTACGAGGGGGCACTGCCCTGGAGGCTCTTATAAACGAGAGTTAAGATTTTAAACTTAGCTCGATATTGCACCGGGAGCCAGTGCAGAGCACTCAGCACTGGGGTAATGTGCTCTCGACATCTAGTACCTGTCAGGAACCTAGCCACAGAGTTCTGCCACAGAGTTATTTATTTATATAAATAATCCACAATCAAAGTACTCTCCAAACGCGTCACAAAAACCCCAAAGATTGATCATCGATCGTAGACGTGTGTAAACGTAAACCGAGAGTCTTCACCTTGCTGTTGAAAAGTGAAGCCATAAGACCCACCTACAGGAGCAGCCATGTTGGTTTTTGGAGGGTATTTATTTTTTTTAAAGAAGTTGCACTGTTGACCGAGTTAAATCCGTTAAATGTTCAAGGCCGTTCTTTTTTTTAATTAGTTTTGTTGTCTTTGTCTTCATGCTATTTTCCACTTTTACGTTCAGGCTACGATGATTGTTAGGGTTAGGGGCTCGAGACACGGGAGGCGACAAACGACCGCGATCAGCGAAATTTGTCGCTGTCGCTTTTATTACCTGACACACGGGAGGCGACCCAGCGGCAAAGCCGTCTACGCGTTCTGTTCCATGGCGAAGTCGACTTCCGTTGTTTTGATTGGCTGTGTCAGGTTGGAGGGAATTAAGGTTATTTAAGCTGTTCAGAGTTAATAAAGCGGTATATATGATGTTTCACAAGGTGCTGCTAGAGTTATGTGAAATCTTACTTCTGATTTTACTATAAAACATAATAATAATCAACTTCTCCTCCATGTTTGCTCGGAGGTGTACGGAGCATCCTGTCCGCTCATTGGTCAGTGAATGAAACCTCCATTGATTGGTCCTCGTCCGAGCGACAGCGATGAAAAGTTGAAAATGTTTCAACTTTCTGGGATCGCGTCGCTGGGTCGCCTGTGCACGACACGTGCACGAGCGCAAAATTTCACACGCACGTTTCACTTGGTAGGAGGGAGACCCGCGATTATCGCTTTGTCGCGCATGTCTCATTGAAAATGAATGGAGGAGAGGCGATGTCCCCTCCGGTGTGTCGAGCCCATTAATTAGGGTTCCAGAAAGAATGGCAGACGTCTGGATTTCATTACTGATCAAAAGAAGAAAAATAAACAGTTCGACTTCTGTATTTGAAAAGAAATCAACAAAGTTCGAGTGACAAAAAAAAAAAATAGAAATCTTATGAAAAGAATCGCACAAAATCTGTCCATCCAATCAGATTTTTTGTTTAATTTTACTCCAGTCCTCGGATGTGCCTTCACTCAGCATCGGTGCTAAGGATGACCTGGATTTCAGGTTAACTCATTCACTGCCAGCGTTTCTCATCATTTTTACTGATTTTTTTAAGAGTCACAGGACGTTGCGCGCTAGGATGACGTTGACGCCAAAACAACCAAAACAAAGTGGAGACTCACCTCTTGCATCAGGAAGAATCCGCGCGTTTCGAGCATTATCCGTTCTTTCATAATCCGTTGTTGAATTGTGATCGGCAGAAGCTTTTCCGGTTCGCGCCTCACTTTTTTTTTAACAGCAGCGGCCCAAAACGATCTCCTAACACATGAATTTTCTGCTTCCTGATCACGTGACGTGTGACGTATGTGGATGAAGATCGGCTTTAGAGCTGTGATGTTTGTTCACACGGTGCGGGGGCTCGTCCGACGCTCACACAGTAAAAAATTGCAAATCAAATCAAATCAACTTTATTTATAGAGCGCTTTCACATGGCCAGAATGGACAAACAAAGCGCTGTACAATAATAAAATGCAACACAATAGGACAGAGATATGACCATTAAAATACATTAATAAATCCATTAAAATACACTAAGAAATCCCTGTAAAATACCGTAATAAATCCTATAAAAATACAATAAGAAATCCATTTTAAAATACAGTACAAAAACCTGAGTGCCAGTTCACAGTCCATATCCGGCCTACTTCCCCCAACTTCAACGTCCAAAAGCCAACGAGAACAGATGTGTTTTCAGTCTTCCTTTAAAGGTTTCTTATGACTTGGCCTGTTTTACATCAGCTGGCAGCTCATTCCAGAGACTTGGTCCAAGTACTGAAAAAGCTCGACTACCACGAGACTTCAGGCTGTACCTAGGCACAGTTAGTTATCTCTGGTCAGCTGACCTAAGGGAACGCACCGGGACATGCTGGTGGATGATATCGGAAAGATATTTTGGAGCCCCTGTGTTTAACGCCTTAAACACAAACAGGAGGATCTTAAACCTGATGCGATAAAAAACAGGGAGCCAATGCAAGGCACGTAGGACTGGTGTTATATGTTCAGACCTCCTGGTAGATGTTAACAACCGGGCTGCAGAGTTCTGAACCGCCTGGAGGCGTGCTACTGGAGCTTGTCTAAGCCCCGCATATAGCGAATTACAATAATCCAGCCTGCAGGTAACAAAGGCATGGATTACAGTTTCCAAATGATTATGGGACAGAAATGGCTTAATTTTCGCAATGCGGCGTAGATGAAAAAAGCAAGATCTCACAACACTGTTCACCTGAGCATCAAATCTGAGATCTGCGTCCAGTTTTACCCCTAAGTTAGAGACCACCGCCTTCTGATGCGGTGCCAGAGTGGCAAAATCAAGCCTTTGGGCACCTCCTGGGGTCTTTGGTGGCGTGAACAGAATAACTTCAGTCTTGTGTTCGTTGAAACACAAGAAGTTCTGAGCCAACCATTGCTTGATGTCCTCAAGGCAGTCCAACAGAGGTTGAATGGTGCATAAACAAGTCGTCATTGGCAGTGAATGAGTTAATGCCAAAACAAAAATTGGATTCTAATGATCAAAATCTTTAAATCAACACGAGTCTGCCCAAACTATTATCAGGTCACAGGTATCGGTATCAGCGGACAGAAACAGAATCGGTGCATCTCGCATACAAACCCATGAAACGAGTTGTGCAAAAATCAACTCTGCTGGTTTCAAACATGCTTTTCTATATTGTTTCTTTTCCGTCAATCAAAAAGCTTTTTGAGTCCAAACTCTAAAGGATGGTTTATGCTTGATGTATCCGCGAGGTTCGCACGGCTCCGCGCGGCGAAATTGCGTCATTTTAACAACCACGCCCCTCCGCCACGGCTCCGCGCGGCCCAAACTTTCCGCACCGCGCACCTAGGGAATGTTCTAACCACGCGGACAGTCAAACGCGGAAAAACATGGCAGACTGGCAAGAACTAGTATGGCAGAGGTTGGTAAATACAGACATTTGTATGATTCAGCTCTCAGAGATCACCGTGATCAACATGTTGTTAATAATTCTTGGAGAGAAATAGCTCGCACTGTCGGAAAAGACGAGGACGCTGTTAAAAATGCTGGAATGCCATGTTGTAAACAGTAATTTCTACTTCTACTATGGTGTAGTGTTGGATGCATGCCGTAGAGCTCCATGCTGCCCCCTACAGTTTGGGAGAATATTGGCTCACCACAGAGACGAGCCGCATGAACCATAAACGCTGTGAGTTGTGAAGCGCGTTCCATCCGCGAGCCGCATCACCAAGCGGAGAGTGAATGCGTCAAGCCTAAACCAAGCTTAAAACAGCCTTCAGCCTGTTTGTGTGTGTAGCCAGACCCTAAAGTCAGACTTAAACCCTGACAGGTTTACAAAAAGAGCTTCCTTCAGCTTGTTGTAGGAGAAACTCGAAGATTTGAGTTTGTTTTCATCGATCCTAATTATAATAATTAGTATTAATCAGTAAATATTTACCAAAAAGCTTCACAAAGTCTTCGCTCTAGTATTTTTCTGGCTGAATCTAAAGTTTGGATGAATAAATAAACCTTGTGAGGATGAGATGAATCAACAGAAGCTTCTTCTGTGTTTCTGCAGCCGCCTCCTCGCCCTCCCCTGCAGCGCGCCGAGGCGCATGAAAGCGACGAGGAGAAACAGTTCCGCAGAGTTTTCCAACAGCTGGCTGGAGACGTGAGTTCAAACGTCGTCTTTTCCCCTCGCGGAGCTCCGCTCCAACACCTCCAGGGTCTGGGTCGGATCTGCACCTCCTAGTCTCGCATCCAAACGCGGGCTGTGGTCTGATCCGTAATCACAGGAAAATGAATTGTTCACATCAGTGGGTTTTCTAAAGTGGAGCCAGTCAGACAGATTTAACCCTTTATGACCCAAAACCGCAGAAACGGAAATATGGGGTCTCCTTTATGGCAAGCCAACAGGCCACGAATCAAAGATAAATAAAGAAATATTTCTTTTGATCACGTTTGTGTTATGTGAGCATCTCATGTGCGATATTTCGCGGGTCCATTTTGTCATTTGACAAGTCCCATGATGGAAAGAACCCTAACCCTGTTGAACTTTATTCTTTTTTTATTGCAGATTTTTAGGATTAGATGAACCCGATCTGGTGATTTAAGGAAAATCCTTGCAAATATTTAGCATTTGGAATCATCTTATTTCTGCTGCGGTTGTCCTCAGAGCTCAGCTGTTCGGTTTTGGTTTGTGTTGGGAGCCGGCTCCTCGCTCTTGTCTCGTCCTGCAGCAGGTTAATCTGGTTAATCCAGGCTGAACATGGGGCTTGTTTCTGAACGCGGTTCCTATAGGAGGTGATCACACCTGTCTACCTGCTGACTCCACCCCTTACCTCAGGGTTTCTCTCGGAGTCCAGTTCTTCATTCCATCAGACCAGTTCTGCAGCCAGAGCCTTCATCACTAGATAAATAAACCCCTCATCATCATCAGAAGAAGAACTGGGCCAGGAGATAGATTCTGGTTCTGAGTGCTTATGATCAGATGTTAGGAGACTCTCACAGTTGGTTTGTGATGAATGATTTCATCTGATCTCATCCTGGAAGCTTCACTGAGCAAATGAACCTCGGAGCTGCAGACACGTTGATCATTAAGGTTTTTAATGACCTGCACTGAGAAGTAAGACGGTTCAAGCCGAAAGGGCAGAGTTCACTGTGAGGTTCTGGCCCGTCTGGAACGTTTTTCTTTCTCCGTCCTCCTTCAGAAGCTTCTTGTGTCTGAAGGGGAAGCATGAAGCTGCAGGGCGTTTCAGTCTGCTCTGCATTCCTGTCGTCTTTTCACAGGGCAGCGCTGTGTGTGCGTGTGTGTGCGTGTGTGTGCGTGTGTGTGTGTGTGTGTGTGCGTGCGTGTGTGTAAGAGAGAGGGAGAGAGTCACCAGGGTGTGTCCACCTGTTAAACCAGCTCTTACTGGGTGGATTTACTCTAAAAGAAACAGCCCGGCGATGATGGTGATGATGAGGATGGTGAAGTTAAAGATGAATCTCACCTGTCTGAGACGTAGGTGGGTGGGGCCAGGTGAGGGGGGTTAAGGACTGACTCCTGGTCCAGGTACCAGCTGGTTTTGGTTCATGTTTAGAGGTGTAGAACCAAACTGGGACACAGCAGCTTGTGATGCGTTTAATTCACCCCCAACCACGGTGGCACAGGAGTTAAGAGCTCGCCCCGTGATCGGAAGGTTGCAGGTTCGAGCCCCGCTCAGTCTGTCGCTATCGTTGTGTCCTTGGGCAAGACACTTTACCCACCTTGCCTGCTGGTGGTGGTCGAGGGACCGGTGGCGCCCGTGCTCGGCAGCCTCGCCTCTGTCAGTGCGCCCCAGGGCAGCTGTGGCTACATCGTAGCTCATCACCACCAGTGTGTGAATGGGTGAATGACTGGTTGTGTTGTAAAGCGCCTTGGGGGGTTCCAGGTCTCTAGAAGGCGCTCTATCAAATACAGGCCTTTTACCATTCACCATGACATGTAGTCACCAAGTCACACGTTTCTGTTAAACATCAATGTGGGGAAAAAGTCTGAGCTCCAAACCTTCTCAAGTCTCTTAGGAAGCGGTAGAAAAAGCTCAGATTGTCTACGTTCCAGCTCAGGGGGAATCTGTTTTATTTGGCAGCAACAGTAAATCTGAGGCTCAGAGTCAGAAATGGGATGAAAATAAAAGCGAGAGAGAAGGAAACGGTGTGAGTCGCGCTCGGTTCTGGTGTGACACCCCCTGTTTGTGGGACTTCCCCCAGAACCGCTCTGATGTTTTTATTCCACTGAACTCTGAGATGATGAAGGAAACATGCAGCAGCAGCTCAACAGGTTGAGCGGGTTGTCCAGTAATCGGAAGGTTGCAGGTTCGATCCCGGCTCCGGACACTTAACCCACGTTGCCTGCTGGTGGTGGTCGGAGGGACCGGTGGCGCCAGTGCTCGGCAGCCTCGCCTCTGTCAGTGCCCCCAGGGCAGCTGTGGCTACATCGTAGCTCATCCCCACCAGTGTGTGAATGTGTGTGTGAATGGATGAATGATACACTGTAGTGTAAAGCACTTTGGAGTCCTTTCTCTGAGAGGCGCTATACAAGTGCGGGTCATTTATCATTTTACTGTCGGATTTAAAGGTGCGCTTCACTGAAAAAAATGTTTAAAATGATTATTTTTGATTATAATCAGTTACTGAGTGTGTCATGCAGGTTTAACATGAAAATAGTCTCCTACACCTACCTCCTGCAGTAGCTTCTGAAAGAAAACAGACGGTGAAACTCTAGGATTAGAAAATCTTGACAGATCTACGTCACCCTGTCACTAACATTCATGGATTCATCCATCTGGACTCACGACGGGGAAAGCTGTTGTTGGTTTAGCGTCCAGGAAACCGCAGAGACCGTCTCTGGAGCTAACCGTTAGCATTAGCAACTCCACCACACAGCAGAACCCCTCCAGGATTGTTTATTTGTGGAGATAAAACATCAACGCAGCAGAGCAAACGGAGTCAATGGTAGAGTCCTGTTGCTGTTAGCCAATCAGAGGAGAGATGTTCAAACATCGGGCAATCAGACTCCAAAACCTGCCGTGTGAAGCTCAGCTGTGACGTGTGCAACTTTTAGGTCAGAGAAATGGAGCACATGTGTAAATTCAATTCATAAATACTTTATTAACCCCAGAGGGAAACTGATTGCTGTAGTAGCTCAGAATAATAATAATAATCAAGTCATCAAAGAGTTGTTGTATATTACAATGGCTGTTGGCAGGAAGGATCTCCAGTAGCGGTCAGTGTTGCAGCCAAACTGAAGAAGCCTCTGACTGAAGAGGACGCTCAGGGTTGTCCATCATTTTCTTGATTCTCTGGAGAATCCTTCTTCGCACTAACTCCTCCAGCGTGCTCCCGAGAACCACGTACAAGGCCTTCATTCCTACCAGACCACAGCAAATATATTGATTAAATGATTTCCCCACATCTTTAAACATCAGGCGTGTCACTGAGGAGTTCAGCTCCAGAGGGAGCTTTGATTCTGGGTCCGAGAGCAGGTTGGAGTGAAATCCATCCGTTTCCCGGTTTGTGTTTGAACAGGACTTGGAGGTGAGCCCCAAAGAGCTGATGGACATCTTGAACAAGGTCGTGTCCAAACGTGAGCCAAACACGTTTATATTTTATCCTCTCCTCCTCGATCACTGCTTCAGATCAAATTCATAAAGATTTTCTTGATTTTTTTCTTGTTTGTTTTATAAATATATAGTTTGTTCAGAAATGTGTTGACTGTAATTTTTTGATGTTCTTATCTGACAGACGGGAGCCTGAAGACTGACGGATTCACCATAGAGTCCTGCAAGAGCATGGTTGCTGTCATGGACGTATCCTCCGCCCCCGAATAAATTAGTATAAACATTAAAGTAGAACCGTGATCACGGAGGCCGCATTAAAGGGGACAAAGAATCTAAACCAACATTTTCTTGTTGTTTGTGACTAAAAACAGCTTGGGGGGTCAAAAGTAGCACGCCAAAAAGTCAAATCTGTGTGTGACCTACTTTTTATGTAAATTAGAAAGTTTAAAAATAATAGAGAAAAACTTCTTTTCTGAGAAACTTCTCATAAAAACGTCACAATGTGGAGGAGCCCTTCCTCCTCCAATCTGCAGTCTCCAGTGACTGAGGCCTTCTGGTTTAAACCAACCAATCAGCAAGCAGCTCACTAGCATATTCATTTCCTGGCCAAGTGGGAGGAGTAAACGGCTCTTTTCACAGCAAGGCTGACTTGGGGGGTGGGGGGTGGCTTGTATCAGGGCTCCTGGGACAGTTGAAAGCCAAAATTCCTGTTAGGCCGGGCGGACACTGTGCGACTTTTTCACTCGCAGCGTTCAGCTTCAGCTCAAACTGTACGACTTCCTCACAGGGCAGATCTCACGAGTCATGCGCTCACACTGCGACCCAGTTCTCGGATGCGACCTGACTGCTCACACTGTACGTCTGGTAGCAACACGTCGGCCCTAAAAATATGCTAAAAATAGCAGTTTTTACACAACACATCAGACTTTTTTGTCTTGTTTTGCCTGTTGTCCTTCGGGAGTGCTGCAGGAGGACACACAGGGATTTATGGGGGTTGGATGAGGAAAACGAAATAAATAAAGTAAATCTGTGTTTTGTGATCAGTTTAATTTGACATGAACACGACAAACACGCTTTCTTGACAATCTTTGTGAGTAAAAAATGTGTAGAAATTAAAACGAACAGCGTGTGTTATAAGGGAAATAGTGGGGAGCGGTGTTGATGCATGATTGTGCATGCGCCTTGAGCGGTTCTGGTACTTTTTGGGTCGCAGCGCCGCTTCAACAGTGCGATACCCTCACGAGGGACGAGCAAAATATTAAACACGCCAGAAGTTTGTCTGAGCTCACGATTGCTGATCGGTAGCTGGTCACGTGGTGTTAATCGCCGCTCGTAACCCCCTGTACACGACGCTCAGCGCAAAACTCGCCCCGATCTCGTGGATTCTCGCACGTGTGGAAAATCGGCTCAGAAAAGTGAAAAAGTCGCACAGTGTACGCCCGGCTTAGGCCTAGCGGACACTGTGCGACTTTTTCACTCGCAGCGTTCAGCTTCAGCTCAAACTGTGCAACTTCCTCGCAGGGCAGATCTCACGAGCCATGTGCTCACACTGCACGACCCGGTTCTTAGATGCGACCTGACGGCTCACACTGCACGTCTGGTAGCAACACGTCGGCCCTAAAAATGTGCTGTGTCCGCCCAGCTTTAGAGAGATTCAAAGCGGTGCTGATAAACTGCACTCTTTGTCCCCTTTAACATTAAAACACCGGGGTGTCCTGCACTTGTTCCTGAGTTTGACCTTTGACCCGACGCCCTGCAGAGCGACACCACAGGAAAACTGGGCTTCCATGAGTTTAAATACCTCTGGAACAACATCAAGAGATGGCAGGTTGGGTCTTTTAACCTAAGTTGCTGTGATATCGTTGAAGACTGGTTTTCTGTGACGTTTGTGTGTAAACGTATTTATTTGTCTAGGGAGTTTATTTAAAGCACGATAGCGACCATTCAGGTACGATCAGCTCCTCTGAGCTGCCAAGAGCCTTCAAGGATGCAGGTAAGAAGAAAAGCTGCTCCATCTGAGTGTTTATGAAGAATCTGAAAGGTTCTGGTTGACCTCAGGAGGGTTCTGCTCGCAGGTTTCCCCGTCAACGACGATCTCTACAAGCTGATTATCCGTCGCTACTGTGATGAGAACGGCAGCCTGGACTTTGATAATTTCATCGGCTGCCTGGTGCGACTAGACGCCATGTGCAGTGAGTTCCTCCTCCTGCTCTCGTCTCCGCATTAATGCCATTCTTCACAAAATAAAATCTCTCATTCAGATGTTTTTGATTAATTCTGTTTTACTTGGATTTTTATTTTCCTCCAGAGACTTAAAATCACTTGCGATGCTTCTGTAAAAGAAGGTTTTAAACCTGAAACATATCAGGTGCGGTAAATGTTGCGTTTGTGTTTTTCAGGAGCATTTAAAACTCTGGATAAGGAGAACAAGGGCACCATCTCTCTGGACATCAAGGAGGTCATTCACTGTTAATTTTGATCTTATTTGTACTCAAATGTGTTTTTTTTTCTCCTGGTTTCTTACTAACTTCAGAACGTTTTTCTTCCATTTGGTGATATTTTTGTCTCATCTAAACAGAGTGAGATGGTAAATTCACCTGTTTTTGGTCTTTTCCAGTTCTTTCTCTGCAGGGTTTTCCCACCACGACTTTAGAGAGTCACACCGTTGTAAAGAATGAATGAATGCATTTAAAATGCATGTTTTAGTTCTGTGTAACATGAGAAAATAAGTAGGGTAAAATCCTTTGTGATTTAATCTAAAAATGGCCAGGAAATGAAGACAAACGGCTATGAGGAGAAATAGAAATATTCAGAGAAGACAAGGTGTCTGAGGAAATAAAGAAAAAACGACGAGATTCTATTTTTAAAGAAGAAAGTGTCATTTCTACGAGGCGCTTCACAAAAGGAAAAATTTAAAACTATAAAAAAGCATTTAGAAAATGTTTAAAAATATATTTAAAATGAGCAAAAATAGGCAATTGTGATTTAAAAATGTAAAGAAAGAGAGAGAGTGAACAGGAAAGAGGGAACTCAGTGGATCCTGAGGAAGGTGGAATAGGTGGGGAGAGCAGAATAAAGAGAGAGAGGTGAAGAAGGTCATACAAAAGCCAGCTTGAACAAGTGAGTCTTCAGCTGCTTTTTAAAGGAGACCACTGAGTCCACTGATCTCAGGCTCAGGGGGAGAGAGGTCCAGAGTCTGGGGGCCACAGCAGCAAATGATCTGTCACCTTTGACCTTTAGCCTGGTGCTGCACAACCAGTAGGCTTTGATCACTGGACCTCAGGGACCTGCTGGGGGTGTAGGGACTAAGAAGATCACCAATGTAAGATGGTGCTTGTCCATGTAAGGCCCTATAGACCAGAACCAGGATCTTGAAATGAACCCTGAAGTTGACTGGCAGCCAGTGAAGCTGGAGGAGAAGCGGGGTGATGTGGGTGTGTTTGGAGGACTTGGTCAGAAGCCGAGCACAGGCGTTCTGAACCACCTGTAGACGGTTCAGGGAGGTTCTGCTCAGACACGTGAAAAGAGAGTTACAGTAGTCTAAGCGTGAGGAGCTGAAGGTGTGGAGAACTGTCTCAAGTTCAGAGCGGGACAGAATGGGACTCAGCTTAGCAACGTTCCTGAGATGGAAGAAGGAAGAGCCAACAAGAGAACTGACATGAGAATCCAGGGTGAGAGCTGGGTCAAAGGTCACGCCAAGATTCCTGACAGAAGGTTTGGTGTGGGAAGCAAGCTGACCAAGAGAGTCTCTGACTTTGGGAACCAGCTTGTCTGGGGCACAGATGAGGATCTCAGTCTGATCTTCATTCAGCTGAAGAAAGCTCCCACCATCCAGGTTTTGATAGAGTCTAAGCAGGTGTGTAACAGCTGCAGCTTAGACATCGCATGGGGCTTAAAGGAGATGTACAGTTGGATGTCATCTGCATAAAGATGGTGGGAGATTCCTTTGAAGGAGCTCAGGATGTGCTGAAGAGGAAGCAGATGGAGGAAACCCAGAGGAGGGACCGGTTCCCACTGCTCTTTATGGATTACGTCCTATATATGCGACTATAGATTCTCCCCAAGACCCATAGACAGAGCTCAGTTGTGGGCTGGATTATACGGCTGTCTTTCAAACTGTCTTCACGTGGTTTTGGACTTCAGCCAACAGGACGTACACACCGCAATTGATGTCGGTCAACAAGGCAGTCTTCCATACTCTGAAAAAGACGCAAAAACATCCTTTTTGTAAAGAAAGGACCGAAGTACGTCCATCTGCTCTTGACCCAAGTCTAAATAGTCCAGAGTTGTTTCAAACGTGCCGTTGCCATCTTTGTTGTTTCACTGTTGCAGCACTGGTGCTAATCCCGCCCACCAATGCGATAGAGTGCGTTGATTGGCCAGACCAGACTGTTCAGGCCTGCTGAGTCTCCAACAGAGCGTGGCTAGACCGACCTGCAGTCTGTGTACATGTAGGCTAGCAGACTTTCATAACGACGATCAGAAACTGACTCGATCTTTTCTGTCTTTCAGTGGCTGGAGCTGACGATGTATTCATGAGCCGAGGAAGAAGAGCGGTTTCTCGAACATCTCACTTCTTCTCACATCATCTCTACTTGTTTCTGTAAACTCAGCATATTCTTGTGAATGGGACCACACAATTACGGCGCTACTTAGCAAAAATGAGGTGAAACTGGGACCAGACTGGAGCTGAGGCACCGCTGGTATCCTGCCTCCAGGTGGCGCTGCAGCCTTCCCCATGCACAAATATCTACTTTTAAAGTATTTTTGTTTTTCTCATCATTGATATCAGTTAAGAGACTCTTGTGTGTTCAAAAGAATAAAGTGACAGAACTGAAATAAAAATACTTTGTTTATATTTTTCTGCCAGATGAGCGAAATGTGCTCAGAATTTAATTTATTACAGAAACAAACTTCTGTTCAGTTATTTAAGGGAACCCGCCAGAGATGTAGCTTAATAAATAAACAATACTAATCCTAGAGATCTGAGAACATCTCAAAGATCCTTCAGAGGTTTTGTTCAGATAAAACGAGTTTAAAGCTTCGACAGGAAGTTGATTTAAAGTGTCAAATGTTGAAACTTTCAAAACAAAGTTAACATTTTCAGTTCGATCCGACGTACCTGCTCCAACCAGAATCAAACCAGAACGACATATTTGGAATTTAAAAAGTTACCCGACAAATCCAATAATTACTGGAAAACACCGAGTATTGAAATCTGAATCTAAACTTGCATTCACACTAGAGTCCGACCGATATGGGTTTTTAAAGCATTGTGCTGCCGATATCTAAAGCCGATTATTAAGGCCAACACACACACACACACACACACACACACACACATTTTAGCAGCACATTGATTGTGAAAGACGACACTCCCTGTGTGCAAGATAAATTAAAGGGACTGTAAGGAAGTTTGAAGTTTTTATGCTCGCGATCACCACCCGGGCCTAAAGCGTAACTGCAGCTTCAAAAGTAAGCTCGTGCATGAGGTGTGCACACTGTACGTGCACACTCCTTAACAAAAATAACAGCTGAGACAGTCCCGTGTGTGTGCGTGCCCCGGAGGACAGAAGAACACGGCAAATTAATAAAGAGAACGCGCAGCAAATTAATTAAATAATGTGGTTCTGTACCTTTCTCTTCAGCACAGCCGACAAAGGTTTATGATGGGTCAGTCCTCCTGCATGCTCAGATCATTCCCTTCCCTTGCTTGAAAAATTGTTCCAAAATGAAAGTTGAACCCACATCTTTTTTATCTGTGAATTCAATGCCGTTCGGCGAGTCTCAAATAAAAATTTGGATGTCTTACTGTAAAAAAATATACCATTAATGTAAAAAAGAAACTCTAAATAAACTATGTTCACATCCAGAATCAAACCCAGGTCTTCTGCATGAGAGTCCAACATCTTACTAGGTGAGCTACACACTAGTAACATTCACAGTATCTGTAACATTTATATCCTTGATGACAGCTGAAACAACGTCAAACCAAAGAACGGTTCGGAGTGAAAATGGCTATTTTGTTGCTAATTAGCAGGAAATATCTAGAAGAAAGTTCTACAGAAAGTAGCTAAGGGTCCTCAGAAATGTAGCTAGCTTTGTCACTAGGCGTTAGGAACAGCGACAAAGTGGCACTGCCTCTCTCTCTGCTGCTAAAGCTACGGATAGCAAATGCTACGGGCGATGCCTGAGCGTGAACGCGCATGAAGCAGCCTGCTCGACCCGAGCATCTCTCTTTTTCTGTGATTTTACAGAAAAACAGGCAATCACAGTAAAAATGCCAGGGCTCATTCTACAGGACCAGGGCATTGCAGGAGAATGTATGAAGAAGACATTTATTATTTCTATACATGTTTTGGCTGTCACACTTCCATAATGCCCCTTTAAATAAGCTCAATTGATCTCTTAACAGTTATTTAACTTCAAATATAAAAACAAACTCAAACATTTTAAAAAATGGCGTGCTGGGGTCCTTCGGGTCCTTTCTCCAGTCTAGTAGTGTGTTGACCACACAGGTGCCTGATTTTTATTTAGTTTTTTATTGTCTTAAAAATAATTTCGGCTGATGATCAATATAGACTCATTTTAATATATCGGTCGACCTCTGATACACACACACACACACACACACACACACACACACACACACACACACACACACACACACACACACACACTCACAAAAGATAATTAGTTGGTCAACAGGGGCTGGTAATGCTTTACACAGCACAGCCATCATAAAAACGGAGGATGGTGAATTATTTATTAACTAAACCTCCACATGAGTCACTAATAATTCTAATAACTTTATTCTTTACAACAATTTTATATTTTATTAAAATAAATGGACTTGGAGAGAGATGTTAGATTAATTTGAGTTTAGTGGAGACTTGTTTGCTCTGACTCCTGCTAAACAAGGTGTGTTTTGTGAGGGGGGAGGAGCTAGAGCAGCAGAGGAGGAGGAGGAGGAGGAGGATGGGGAAGCTGGGATGCTGAGGAAGGGGAACCGTGGAAGAGCAGCAGGTGTCGGACAACTCGGACTTGGCAGAAGCTTGATGGCTTTATTTAGAAAATCTGGAAACTAAAGAGGAGAAAAAAGAAGAACTGAAGGTAGGAGAGAGTTCAGAAAAAGAAGCGAAGCGTTGAAATAAGAATATTTTATAAACCCAGTGAGTCCTAAACGAGGTACAAATGAGATGAAAATCATTTTATTCTTCTGCTTCAGTGAAAAACCAAGTCTGCAGAATAACTGTGCAGCTTGAATCACACAATTCAGATTGGTATTCAGAACATCTAGAATCTTCCTTTGCTTCAGCTTCCTCGTCCTTAAGAAGGAGATGATGGGCAGCAGCTGGACCTATTTATGATGCTGCAGCCCGTCTGAGAGGCAAGGCGAGGGTGGAGGAGCCACGCTTTAATTATCACCATGAAGATCAAACACCAGATCTGAGTCAGCATTAGTGACTAAACCTAACCCACTGGGAAACTTCCTCAGCCCGCTGCAATTTAAAATGTTGTTCATCAAGAACAAACATGTTGGGATGGATAGGATGAACAAGCATCAGTCTAATGTTCAATTGTAAGGCTGTAGGTTGAAGTCCATCTGTTGCAGTTGTTGTGTCATTGGGCAAGGCACTTAACCTTCCTTGTCTGCTGGTGGTTATCAGAGAGAACGCCAGCGACTGGCAGCTGTGGCCACGCTGTAGCTCATCACCACCAGGGTGTGAACGTTTGTGTGTATTCATATTCATTTATTTATGTCATAACAAATACATATAAAACACATGAAAAGGAAAATAAATATCTAATAAAGAACATAATAATAATTATCACAGGTACAAATTCCTCTTGTAAATTAAACAGTTTCTTTAGATATAATTTATGAGCGAAAAGGTATAGGCTGACGTTAAACTTATTTAAGCCTACCCATTAATTCATTACAAAAAATCAACATTGTCATAAATATCAAAAGTAAATAAATATATAAACAATACAGTTATTACATGCATCATCCTAATTTCAACAAAATCAATCAAGAGGTGTAAACATGAATAAAACAAAAACAATTGAAATCAATCAAGAGGTGTAAAACGTGTGACAAAACTAATTTTGGTGCACTTGGTAATTACGTAAGGCATTATTTTTAAAACTCTTTTTGAATATTTTCAACGAGCATGAATTTTTTAATATATCCTCGAGGCTATTCCATAAACTCACTCCTCTTACTGAGATACATCTTTGTTTTTTATTGGTTCTAATATTCTTTTTTTTTTTGAAAATCCCATTTCCTCTTAGACTATATCCACCTTCCCTTTGTTCAACCATCCTTTGGAGATAAGGTGGAAGTTGAGCCTGATATGCCCGATATACTACAACCAGTGTATGCAGGTCAATAATATCGTAAAATTTTAGAATTTTTTAATGGATGAAGATAGGATATGTTGGAGCAAAATAGTTAGCATGGGAAATTATGTGTGAGAAGGGTTGTGTTTTCAAGCGCCTTGGGGGGTTGTTGTAGCCTAGTGAACTAGACCAAATTCTTACTTTGCAAAGTTTGGTCTAGGCATGCTCCATTGGAACCTCCGCAGCTCCTACCAGGACTGGCTAGCCAATCACAGCTCTCAAGAGGGGTTTCAAACACATAAAGAGCTGTGATTGGTCAATAATGGTGGGCCAATCATAGTGCTCTATCTGCTTAGTGAACAAATCACAGAGCTTTATCCACTTTGTGGGCCAATCAGGGCACTCTATATGCTTGGTGGGCGGGATGATGCAACAGAGTGAAACAAGATGGCGACAGCTCGTTTGAAACGGCTTTTACATCCATGTTGGACTATTAGAACTTGGGCTTCATTAGAATCAGGAGCAGATAGATGTATTTAAGTACTGTTTTTTAGAAAAAATGATTTTTCTCCTTCTTCAACTGCGGACCACCCCATTTACCGATGGCTGTTGCGGTTAGTATGTCACATTCATTGTCCAGTAGCATGCAGAGATCATTTGAAAGACAACGGTAGAACCCGCCCCACAACCGAGAGCCGTCAATGGAGCGTGGCCAGACTAAATAATACATTTATTTAGTCTGGCTTGCCAGGCTAGGGTTGTTGTACTCTAGAAGGCGCTACACAAATGCAGGCCAGTTACCATTTTTAAAACAATTTCTCAAGTTTTCTCTCTTCTTCCTCCTGCGTGTGCTTCAGACCCATCACAGGTGCAGGAATGATTGTTAAAGGAAACAAACTAAAGCTGCATCTTCTCTCACCTCAGATCAAACGACCAGCTGATGCTGTAGCCTGGTCAGATCATCTAGTACTGGAAACACACACACACACACACACACACACGGACACACACACACACACACACACACACACACACACACACACACACGGACAAATGGCCAAGAGCCGTGAAGACCCGCCCATCCTGACGGAGCAAGAGGAGCTACAGAGCAGAGCCAATCAGGTCACAGATGAGGTAAACGTCTCAAATGATGTAATGTCCGTTGGGTTTTTCAACCTTGAAGCATCACTGTTGTTGTTTGGCTTTTGTTCTCTCTGCTGGGCGTTCTCTTTAAATGAAACTAAATTAAAATTATTCCCACGGATTCCGACTCTGATGCTTCTTCTTTTTCTAATGAAGGACTGACAGGAAAATCTGCAGCAGACTTGCATCAAAAGCTTTTAATTCTCCTGTCAGAGGTTTGCAGCATGTGTAAAAAGTGGTTTTCATCTGGGACAAAAAGCTTCTCGTAGCAACAGTTCTGAAGTTCGGCGGATGTTTTTGTGACCGGCTTTAAATCAGAAATGTGGAAGAAAGGCAGCTTCGCTCCTAAACGCGTTTCAGAAGCTCCGACTTCTATCAGCTTAAAAACACCTTTGGCTCAATTCCAAAATCTCAGTCTGGGTTTTACAGCTCGGAGGTGAAGGAAACTCAATTTAACACCACGTCAAACACAAGAGATGTGATCACAACCTGTTCTAAACCCAGGGGGAGTTCCCCTTAACGACACCTGGCTCACCTGGTTGCCATGGTGATGGTTAGTCTCCCTGAGTGATATGGATGAGGTCATAGGCTGCAGACGTGAGCTCTGAGGAGAGTTATGTTTTGATGCTCATAGAAAATGGGTTTATTCATAAAACGGTCAAATGAACGTATATTTTTCTCTTTTGTTTTCACCCAGAAGATCTCAACGCCCAACTAGGAAATAAATACAAAACATGTACATCTTAAATGGGAGATGGTCTTTGGAGCGTGTTTAATGGTACAATCTGGCATTTATTCAATTTCATTTGTAACAAGGATGTTAATTACATTTAATTAAGGACCATAAGACGTTAAATTTCATATCTAGTATGAAATCCATCTTATGGACCACATCTTATTTAAATCAGAAGATTGGGTCTTTTTATTACAGGGATTTTAAATAACACTTTGTATTAACTGAGAGACAAGAGAAGAGAGAGAGACTTTCAACGTTTAAGGAAATTTATTACTAAATAATTTTAAACAATTTAACAAGACTAACTCTCTAATGATGGATGTTCTGTTTGAATGAGGTGTGTGTGAACGATGTCAAATTCAGAACCTTCGTATCTGGAGAAGCAAAGTCTGAGTGGGAGATGATGTTTTGCTCCTAACTGATCAGAGTTTGAGACCTGTAGTCATAAACACATGAGACGCCATTTGTGTCGCATCCACATAACCTCAGTGAGACCTCCGTACAGATCCGGATGCCAGGTCCACGACCCTCCTCTGGTACTGGAGCCGATGAAACAGCGTCACAGCACGACAAACCAGTCTTTGGATAGTCTCCAGGTAAAAGCGACAGGTGGTTCACAGCGTCAAAAAGAGACCCTCCTTGGGTCAGCGAGTTCAGCTTTTATTCTGAAAGGAACCATTGCTTGGTTGGTAAAAACGACAGATTTTTCCCAGCTTGATGGTTCTCAGCTTAAAGAGAGAAGTTCGGATGGCCGGTCCGATTACTCCGCTTTGCATGTGGTGAACTCATGGGATCTTGAGAACTGAACTTAAAGAGCAAGTCACCCCCGAATCAACTTTTTTTTTTGCTGATAAACAAAATAAACGAGTGTCTAATCGTGCTGCAGACACGTGTCGTCAATAATTTGGCACTTCAGTGCATCTTAGTTAAAATTTAAATATTCTGCCTAAAACTGTCAGTGTTGTGCCGTCGTCAGGTAAAAACTCTGCACTGCATTTGAATTTAAATCTGCCACCGCTATTGGCTAAGAGGTATACTATGATGTAAACTGGTACATTATGATGTCACAATGCTGTCGTGAGCCTGTGTGTGTGTGTGTGTGTGTGTGTGTATTTGTTAGCAGCTCTGCCTTTTCGGTCTGCCAGGCAACAGCATTTGTTGCATTTTTCAAACATGAAGTGGGAGTGGAGTTAGACTCTGGTAGGGGGTGACTTGCTCTTTGAGATGGTGTTGGAAGGGTTTCTTGATGAAAACACAATAATTAGGCCGTTTATAAAAAATGAAATACTTCGCTCAGCCGAGCAGGAACTTCTGGTGGTCCCCCGGTCGATATATCGATCGAGGGGTTATCGTGCATTTTCTGTTTTGGCTCCAACTCTGTGGAATGAATTGCCATTGAGCATCAGGCAGGCACCGTCCCGTTGGCCCGGGAAAATTCCAGGCCACCCAGATATGTAAACAACCTACGCTGCCCGGCCCGGGCCGACCCGGTACAGATGGGAATGGCCCATTAGTCTCGTCTAAAGACTCATTTCTATTTGATTGTTTTTCAGCTCCAGGGTTCATTGAATTGCCCTGACATCATGGTTTTTAATTCTTCTTCTTTTTGATCCGGATGCTTGATCTTATTTTGTCCACCATTTGTTTTTAATTGATTAGTCTCATTCCGTTACCTCTCTGTGTTTGTAATATTGCTTGCTTGTTATTTTATGATTTTATGTTTTTATCTTGCTCCCATGCCCAGGTACTGGGAATGTTTTTATGATGCTGTTCAGCACCTTGGGCTTCTGATAACGTCGGAAGGTGCTCTACAAATAAAATTGATTGATTGATTGATTGATAGAGGAAACAATTCAGGTTCAAATTTCCTTCCTGAAGGGTTTAAAATCCAGTAATAATCAAGGCTCATTATTTAAAAATTAAACATGTTGATCCAATAGGAACTAAAACTGATTTTGTCTGTTTTTAGTCCCTGGAAAGCACGCGACGGATGGTTCAGTTGGTCGAGGAGGTATTCACTCACTCACTCACTCACTCACTCACTCACTCACTCACTCACTCACTCACTCACTCACTCACTCACTCACTCACTCTGTAATCTCACACGAGTCAAAACAAAGAAGACTAAACTCATCAAAGTAGATAATTAAAAATTATGGAACCTGATTTTTAAACAAGATGGTTTTTCAGTCATTTTTAGGTGTTTTTCTACGTAAAAGTAAAAAAAAAATAATAACTTTTTCCCCACAAGCTACGTGAACAGCTTCTGTTCATGCAGGCTTTCTACAGTCGGTGAAAAACTTCTACACAAAAACACATTTCAGAATGACTGAAAATGTCTCAACAACTGTTTAAAAACAAAGATCGTTGAGCCTCTCAGACACGTCACAGAAATCCAGTCAGATTGTTTATGTTTGTTTTTTATTATTTATTTAAAGCACGTGAAGCCATTGTGTCTCTTTTTATATATTAGTCAGATTTGTACTTTATTTTCATGAAGTGTTTTTATGTTCCTCCTCCAGAGTAAAGACCTCGGGATCCGGACTGTGGTGATGTTAGATGAACAAGGAGGTAATTATGATCCAGTTTCATCCAAATAAATAAATATTCTATATTAACTTGATGTAAAGTTGTCTACATCATTATACGACTCATTCAAATATTGGTCCAGTTTTTGTTTATGATACATTTTGTCACGCTGACCGAAAGGCAGGAGGTTTGAACCCAAGATGCAGAACGCCAGATCACTCAGACAGGAAGATAATTCTTTATTTCTTCTTTATTTTCAAGCTGGAGGCTTAATCCAGCGGTCAAACACGAAAACAGAAGCTCAAAAACATGAGCAAGGACTCAGGCAAAACACGGGAGGAGGGAACAGAACAGCACATACACATACAACGGACCAACAAACACTGAAGGACAAGACAGGGTTTTAAACACAGAGGGAGGTGATCAGGGGAACAGGTGACAGGTGTGAGTAGTGAGAGCTGGAGGGAAGGCAGGTGCGTACAATAATCTAAGTGGTGGAAAGAAACAAGCAGGAGGGCAGATAAACCTATAAAACACAGATAACTAAACTTAAAGACTGAGGGCAAATGTAAACAACTAATAACTAGAGGGATGAGGAGAACTAATAAAAAATCAAGTGGGGACTAAGGCCTAGTCCACACGTAGCCGGGTTTTTTTTTAAAAACGAATATCCGCCCCTCCAAAAACTTGCATCCACACCACCTCGTTTAAAAAACAAACTCTGTCCACACGTACCCGGATAAATACGTTGTTAAGGACATGCCAGACCTGTAGGCGGCAGTACTTCCCCCGTTCTTAACCTCGTCCTTCGTCTGTGGTCTTCCACAAGGAGCAGTAATTCCTCTTGCAAAAACAAACAAGCAGAAAGCGCTTGGACAATTGATAAAGCGAGCGCAGCTCTGAGGGCATCCATGCTGTCGGCTAGTGTAAACACAGGTCGCACACGTGATGTCAGCATTGTTTTGTCGCGGAAAGTGACGTTGCGGACCTTAAAACTCCGGTTTTGTCCGTCCACACGCAGACACCCAAAACGGAGAAAACGCAGATCTTCACTTTGGCCGGAGTTTTTAAAAAGATCCGTTTTCGTGTGAAAAAACTTCGTTTTCGTGTGGATGACAGGCCAAAACGTAGAAACATATCTACGTTTTGGCAGATCCTCGGCTACGTGTGGACAGGGCCTAACCGGGAGTGATTAGGAGGACACCAGAGGGAAGGCTAGAGAGGGCTGAGGAGAACCTGGTGGAACCGAGAGCTTGGCAGGGGAACAGAGGGAGACAGAACATGACACATTTTTACAGTACATTCATGAAATGAGCTAATTAGGTATTTTACCAAATATTTATAGCATCCATATGGAATAATTCACCATGTGATCATTTAAACTCATCAATTAAGTCCCATAATCCCACTGGTTATATTTCGGTGTATTATTCATAAACAATATTGTTTTTATATTTAAAAAACAGATCTGTGGAACAGTTGGGAGGTTTTCTAAAATGATACCAAACCTGGAACATAAAATAAATGAAGTTTTATCATCGAGCAGAATTCTTCCAGATGAATACAAACCGACTGTGTAGATTAAACGTGAAGAAGAAACAATCTTCTATAAAGCGCCTATCATCGTAAAGATTTTGAGAGCTGCCAGGAAAATGTCTCATTGATCAGGTAGGTGATGTGATCTTAATCAGAGTGTTTTCTTTTTTTGAACGAATCTTCCACAGCTGTCGCTTTCACATTCGGATGAATCGAGTGCTTTTTATTTATGGGTTATTCAGCTCTGCACACAAACCTCAACCTGTGACCAGAGCGCACACTGCTGGGATGTGTGGAGATGACGTCAGTACCACCACGGTGTGCGTGACTGATAATTTAAAAGGTGTGTGTGGACAGCTTCCGCCCCACCCGAACAAACCCCGGATCAGGCGATCCACAGGGAGGGAGACTCCGTCAGAAATAACCACGCAATGTGAGCCTTGTGTCTTTTTAAAAGCCAGCAGTGCACTTGCGGTGTTGGTTTATCTCGTCTCTCATCTTCTTCCGCCTATCCGGGTCGCGGGGGCAGCATACCAACTAAGGAATTCCAGACTGTCCTCTCCCCGGCCTCCTCCACCAGCTCCTCCGGTAACACCCCAAGGCGTTCCTGGGCCAGTCCGGAGATGCACTTTCTCCAACGTGTCCTGGGTTGGCCAGGGGGGCCTCCTGCCAGCAGGACATGCCTGAAACACCTCCCTGGGGAGGCGTCCAGGAGGCGTCCTAACAAGATGCCCAAACCACCTCAACTGACACCTCACGATATAGAGGAGCAGCGGCTCTACTCCGAGTCTGTCCCGAGCTCCTCATCCTCTTCCTAAGGCTGAGACCGGCCACCCTGCGGAGAAAACTCATTTCGGCCGCTTGTATCCGCCATCTTGTTCTTTCGGTCATCACCCAGAGCTTGTGACCGCAGGTGAGGACTGGGCGGTAGATCGACCGGTAAATTGAAAGCCTGGCTTTCTGGCTCAGCTCCTTCTTCACCACAACAGACCGGTTCAGCATCCGCATCACCGCAGACGCCGCCCCAACCCGCCTGCCGATCTCCCGCTCCCTCCTTCCCTCACTCGTGAGCAAGACCCTGAGATTCCTGGACTCCTCCGCTTCAGTTCATGTTGGTTGTCGACCACTCTGAGCCACTAACACCAAACGTCAGGTTTCCACGATGATGTTTGCACACAGCTCCGATTTCTCGTGCATGTCTGAAGTAGATCCGATTGGTGAGTTGTTGGTGCAACACCCTAAATCTCTCCATCTTTAAATCCGGTGTTGCTAACAGAACAGTTGGAGCGAATTGAGGAAGGAATGGAGTCCATAAACAGGGACATGAGGGAGGCAGAGAAGAACCTGACGGACATGGCCCAGTGCTGTGGTCTGTGCATCTGGCCTCTCAGGAAGTACGTCGGCATTAGCTAGTGTCCAAACACACACGCCAGTGCCCAGTTCCATCAGCTGTCATCTCTGTAAGCAGAGGGTTTGGGCTCTAACTGACCAATCGTGTTTGAGAAAATCGGACAAGGGAACGTTTACTAAAGTACACAAAACGTAAACCCTCCTTGGGGAAATATTGGCCAGAAATGATCGGAGATGAAAGGGCTTGATTATCAAGGGCTGCACTCCACTTCCAGGAAGTTCTGCTTCTGTGCGCGTAAGAACCAGACGGGGAAGTAGCGAAGTTCAAAACAAGCAGCTGGTAGTGGTAGGTTTAAAGCCCCGCCCCCGATACAAGTATCTGTTATTAGTACCTTTTTTCTGATCCTGTCCTGCAAACGTTGTACGAATCCACAGTCACATGAGACATGCATGGGCGCAGACGTGGAACGTGGCCCAACCCAGGCCCGTAAAGGTGAACACCCGTTATTATTGCTGTTTCTGTGTTTAGACATTAAGGCCTAGTCCACACGTAGCCGGGTTTTTTTTAAAAACGAATATCCGCCCCTCCAAAAACTTGCATCCACACCACCTCGTTTAAAAAAACTCTGTCCACACGTACCCGGATAAATACGTTGTTAAGGACATGCCAGACCTGTAGGCGGCAGTACTTCCCCCGTTCTTAACCTCGTCCTTCGTCTGTGGTCTTCCGCAAGGAGCAGTAATTCCGCTTGCAAAAACAAAAGGGCAAAAAGCGCTTGGACAATTGATAAAGCGAGCGCAGCTCTGAGGGCGTCCATGCTGTCGGCTAGTGTAAACACAGGTCGCACACGTGATGTCAGCATTTTTTTGTCGCGGAAAGTGACGTTGCGGACCTTAAAACTCCGGTTTTGTCTGTCCACACGCAGACACCCAAAACGGAGAAAACGCAGATCTTCACTTTGGCCGGAGTTTTTAAAAAGATCCGTTTTCGTGTGAAAAAACTCAGTTTTCGTGTGGATGACAGGCCAAAACGTAGAAAAATATCTACGTTTTAGCAGATCCCCGGCTACGTGTGGACAGGGCCTAAGATGGCACCACTTACAGAAGACAAAATGAAACAAACTAACATCTGCTTGCAAAAATGAAACATTGATTCAAAAATTGGTCAGTTGGAGAGAAAAGCAATGAAACTGGGCTCTGAGGTCGGACTGCAAACCGCTTGTTGTAGACGTTGGTGCAACGTGACTTTTTATGATTTCTTTAGAGTTTTGTGGGCTTGTGGCTGCTTCATAGCTTCAGCTTTTTTTGTTCTTTTGATTTTGCATTGTGCTCCTTGCCCTGCTCCTCCTGTAGAGCAGTTGGAGCGTATAGAGGAGGGTTTGGATCAGATCAACTCCGATATGAAGGAGGCAGAGAAAAACCTGACTGACCTGGGAAAGTGCTGCGGGCTCTGCACCTGTGATAAGTAGGTGTGTGTGTGTGTGTGTGTGTGTGTGTGTGTGTGTGTGTGTGTGTGTACTCGTCTATACATCAAAGCGAGGATCAATGACAAGCTTTTTACCTGTAAACTGAGGACATTTTGCTGATCCCCACTTTGGTGTTGCAGAGCCTTACTCGTTAGTTAGTATGGCGCACATGACTAAGTTAGGTTTCAGTTAAGGTTAGGGCTAGGAGTAGAACAGCATTGGCTATGGTTAGTCAAAGGACGGTCCTCGCTATGATGGAAAGACAGGTGTGTGTGTGTGTTTCAGTTGCTTACTTGTCTGCTATATGACACATTTTATTATATATTTGAGCCCACTCTGAGCATCACCTCACTCAGGAGTCTGCAACCTTTACGACTAAAAAAGCCATTTCCTCTTGATGTCCTACTGACTACAATTTTAGTCACTTAAGTCATAATTATCTTAACTAGGCACAAGAAAATTGGTACTTTGTTGTTGGGAACTCTGCTCTACTTCAGTTTTTCTATAGAAAAAATCAACACCATGACATAAATAAAGCTTTGAGGTCCTTATTTTCCTGAGACTTGAGCAGGACACTTTATAATAATAATAATAATAATAATAATAATAATAATAATAAACAAGGAATAAAATGTATTTAAAAATAAAATCAAATTTATCTGATATTAAATAACAAAAAATCATAACGATTTTATTTTACATCATTTTTTCTGCCACTTATTACTTTCCATTGTTTTAAGAAGTTAGGCTTAATGAAAATACACATTTTCCAATGATTTAGAATAATTTGTTCACTAGTGTCTCGATTTACACAGGCAGCCGTTCCATAGTAGGACTCTGCTGACTTTTGTGCATTTATTGCAACAAGTTGAATAGAAGAAAAGTCAACTTTCTCCTTTAGAAGGGCCACGTGTGGGCCCAGAGCCACAGGTTGCAGACCCCTAACCTGTTAGGAGACGTAGTCTCACCAGGTGACTTTCTCTCCTCAGACTGAAGGCCTTTGAGGAGAGCGGGGCGTACAAGGCGGTGTGGGGCGGAGCCTCCAATCAGGACGGTGTGGTGTCCAATCAGCCACCATCGTCTCGGGTCGTTGACGAGCGAGAGCAAATGATCATGAGCGGCGGACACATCCGCAGGTAGAGAGAGGGTTCAATGAGCCGTGTGCTGTGTAGAGAAGGCAGCTGTGTGTGTGTTTGCTTCGCTTTTCAAACACCTGACAGGTGACTCTATCATTCAGGCAGCTGAACAAACATGGGACACACACACACACACATCTCATGCAACTCACTCCCGTTTGTTTCAGGGTGACCAACGACGCCCGAGAAGATGAGATGGAGGAGAACCTGACTCACGTTGGCAGCATCGTGGGGAATCTGAAGAGCATGGCTCTGGACATCGGCAACGAGCTGGAGTCCCAAAAAGACCAGATCGATCGCATACGAGAGAAGGTGAGGTCACGTTACCATGGTGACCTTGTTAGACGTCCCGGTGTGGCAGCATTCTCTTCTGGTTGTACCGCGTTGCGTCACCCGAGGGGAAATGGATGGTTTCAGTTTCAGCCACCGCTTGGATCCGTTTGCTGCCAAAACAGCCCTGAATCAGGTCAAGTGTTGCAAGATGCAGATGAAAGTCCCCAAGTCAAGTCAGAACATTTAGATTTTTTTTAACACCAATAACGCATCATGCATAATAGTCAATCATTTCATATTAAGGCCTCATTAAATGTGTGTAGCTGTGAAACATCAAAGGTTCTGGTTCCCTGGACCTGATGCTTTTCTGGTCCGATACATCAACATGAGTCTGTTCAGGATTTTATTTCCAGAAAATTACATTAAAAACTAAAATAATGCGTAGTTAATAGACTTAAAAATGGACCTGAAGCTTTTACACTCTAAAACAATTCACCTACATTTGATTAGTCATCACGTGATCTAAAAAGGAACATGTTTTGTTTTTTATGTGTATTTTATGTGAGCAAAGACTCCTAACTTCTGATACAGAAATAAACTTTTGCTATTAAATGTAATTATCTTAAATTAAACATTAATCTTTGGATTAAAAATAGACCAAGTAGGTTGGTGTATGAACTTCTATCGATTAAATAAGTATCTTAGATATTTATACATGGTATAAGCTCATATGCTAATGTGCTTGATCTTTCTCAGAATTAACAACTGATAGCAAACAGTGTTGATTCTAGTATGTGGTCATACGCTACATATGCATAAATGTTTGGCCACCTGATTAACCACCACAGAGAGACGGACCGGAATCAGTCCGTGTCTAATGTCCTCTTCCTGCTTCCGTCTCTCCCTGCAGGCTAATCTCAACGTGTCCCGGATCGAAGCCGCCAACCAGAAAGCTACCAGCCTAATGAAACGATAGAACTGCCCTTCACCCCTCCTCAGTTTCTGCCACCCTGAGCTTTGTTTCCCCTTACTGTGCTGTTGGAGATTCACGTATTATCCTCAGGAACTTCTGAGATGATGATGCTGATCCTTTGTGTTAGATTTGTTCATATCAGAGACCAACTGTTAGAGGTCTTCAGCCTGCGGCCCTGGAGCCATGTGTGGTTCCTCAGCTCTTTGTAGCTGTGACCGAGGAAAACTCAAACCTGACTAATGTTTAAATTGACAACATAAAAGGCGTTTTAGTATTTTTCACCTCCAGAATTTGAAGAGTCCAGACAGACTGAGCTTTCCATCAATTTATTAGCAGAAAAAGCTAAAAGTGACTCTTTTTTCCACTAAAATGCTTTTTAAAAATATTTAGTTAAACTGTTCAGACTGAAAAATCTGCTTATCGGAACCAAACAGTGTCATTTTCTGACACAGGCCTATATGGTTTATAGGCATCGTAATGAAACTTTATAAAAGATTGAAAACATTTTAGAGGACCAGTGTATTTTTAGCTTTATACAAAAAAACAAAACAAAAAAATCATAAAATTAGCACTTGCATGCGTTTGTGTTTCCTCCTATAAGGCAGCCTAGTCACTCAGCAGAATTCATGGGAGCTTTTAATGACCCGTGCTGGGAAAGTGGGTCGCTGCGGCAGAACTATCACCAGCAGCAACAGCAGGAGCAGAACCACACTGATGATCTATAAAATCTAAAATGTTAACGCAATAATGTGAATAGCGCAGTGTTGATAAGCTTCCTGGGTGTGACGTTAAATTCTAAGACCAAATCTTGTTTTTTTTTCACAAATAAAATAATTAACCATTCAAAGAAAAAGATAAATTAATGTCACAGCTGTCAGATGAGATCCCAGTATAGATCCACCTTCCAGCACCCAGTTCCCAGTCTGAGACACGTATGTGTGGTGGTGCCCTCTGTAGGCCACCGCGGGTATTGCTCTGAGGAAGGAAACACGTATTTATTTTAAGAAGATGGTCTCTGGCGACACCAAGCGGACAAACCTGGAGCTGCGCCTCCTCGGTCTCCACATCTGCCACTGCGATGCGATGGGATTATGTAAATAATCTGTAATTTCAAGAGGAATCTATTCTAATCAAGGTTTTGCTAAAAATACCAAAAGATTTCTTAGGAATGATTTGCACAGTATGGTTGGTTTTTTGAACACATTGTATTTTATAAGTGGCTAATTTGATTGATTTGCACTTTGATCAGTTTAATGGCATTTTAGTTTATTTTCTTCTTGACATAAACTCACGTTCTGAATATTATTTAGCAGTTTTTAATAATCTGATTAGTGATTGGTTGTGCATTTCTTAATTCCTAAAATTGTTGGAATACATATTTTATGGTATAAAATCAGTCTGATTTAAATGACAACTAACCAAGTTACTTACACTCTAGTATGGGGAGGCTATTGTTGTTTTCTGCTAAACTAGTTAAAATGTGAAATAAAATGATTTGACCTAGCAAGTGGAACTAATGTTATCTAAATTCTTTTGAACTTCTCTAAGGTTAAATATCAGCCTGTGAAACATAATTATAGAGAAAAATTACCAATCTCGTGAATTAATTGTCTTATATGGGAATTGTGTTTGAACTTTGGGAGTGTTAGTGCGGACTGTTTCCGTGCCAGATGGGGGCGCGCAGCAGGATGAAAATATTGCGCGTTCAGGGTGACAAAAAAAAAATCTCACGCGCTGCGGAGTCTGCGCATTTCTCGTCATTCCGAACTTTCGGGAGAGGGAGAACCTCCGAGGAAAGAACAACGCCATCTTTTTTTCCAAACCGGTAATTATTTCCCATCGATTCTATTTGACCTCTGCGCCGCACATCGCACTTATGAAAGTAAAACACAACGCGCAAAGCCAAGTAGAAGCGAAAAGGTAAAAACCGAGCCGAACGCTAACAGAAACGTCGCCCTCCATCTTGGCCGCCGTTCGTCGCGTGTTAGCGCTGAAAGCAGAGGAAAGACGCATTATTACAACCCTTAGCTTCACCGCTACACTCACAATAAATTCGCGGACTCGCACCGACATCCTCTCTGCCGTTGCGTTTCTGACTGTCGCCGCTAAACAACGTACTTAGTCGGTGTGGTTAGCGGAGATGGCGGAGCCGCTGCGCTCCGAAGAGGATCAGGTTTGGACTCAACAAAGACAGGAGAGGAGAGCAGCCGATTGGCTCAGACGCACCACGTGACTTGACGATTTTCCCCTCATTTAAATAACTAAAAAGCTAATAAACAAATGCGTAACTTTGGTAAATTGCGTTAACGTTACGTTTTTATCAGTAATACGCTATAAAACAAACTTTACTATTTAGAATGAAAACAAATCTAAACAGTAATCCCAGGAAACAACGAGGGTGTTTTTTTTACATTTGGTTACTGCTCTGAAACATATTAAATACACTGTTATTACAGTTGTACCATTTTAACATTAATAAAATTAGTAAACATACGCACCGGGTGTTTGAAAAGCTGAATTAATACCAGGACCTTGCTAAGTTCCGAGTGGCTCTTCAAAGGTTTGTTTATGTGGAATTGAACCAGCAGGGGGCAGTAAAGGGTTAGAAACAGGAAACAGTATCCTGAAAAGCGGCTCTAGTTAAATATTTATAAATGCTAATTTTATAAGTATTTAATTTTGATTATTAGCTTTTAAGACTTTTTTTCTGAGTGTATGGATAGTTCTCACTCAGGTACAAAATCTGTTTTCCTTCTGAATCTGTACCACCTATAGTTATTTTGCTAATTCGCTGCATTTTCCATTAAAATGTAAGTCAAATATTTAATAAAATTGATAGAAACAATGTTGTTTGTATTTTTTTTTTAAGTTCCTTAATGCTAGTGGCATTTAAATACTTATTCACAGACACGTTTGGCTTTGGATTTAGTTTATTTTAATAGGTACAGTAAAAACATACCAGGTAATTAGATTTCTAGAGATGATTTAAGGATGCCTACCTGGTCGCTCACCTATTGTGGGTCTCTGGGTGTGGATATGACTACCTCTCCTAGTGGTACGTAAACACTCCACAGGGGGCAAGTGGAACTATTTAATTATAAATTTAAAAAGTTTGTGTATGGGGTCTTTTTTTCTGGAGGATTGTCACAAAGGTAAATCATTCACGAGTCAGACAGGATGTGAGACGTGGTTCAGTGTTGGGTAGTTTTAATGAAATGATCTTTGTTTAATAATCAGTTGTGCGCTCTGCTTTTGGAGAATCACCGATACGTTTGACTAAGGGGATGTTCGTGCGAGAAAATGGCTCATGGGGTGCACAAGTAAGAAAAGGTTGGGAGACCCTGACCTATAGGACAGAAACGGAGTGTTTATGTAAGGCTTTATTCTGATTTGTTTTATCTGTTTTTTATATCAACATGTAAACAAAATTCACCTGGATGAGTTTGTGTGAAAATGGCTTCACTGTTGCGGTTAAGTGACATTTTTTCCTCCTCTCTGCGGGGAGGGGAACCCGGATTTTTCTGACGTTTAGGTGAGGAGAGGAGCAGGCAGCGGGAGAGCCATGTCAGTCGCGCCGGCCACGTGGCGCGAGGAGGACGAGGAGTTTAGGGTAGGAGAAGTGAAAGGAGCGCTGAAACCCAAACCCAGGTTCTCCTACCATGAGATCAAGACGCTTCTGGATGCAGTGAAGAGGAACAGATTCATCCTCCTGAGTGAGTTAGAACGTTTCACATGGATAATGGGATGCTGTTTGCGCTTAAAAGTTCTTATTTGATCTGAATTTCTCAAGATCAGCTGCTTACCGGACGTATAGGTATGTGTGCAGTAGTCCACGGTTGAGATGGCCGTGAACAGGTTCTTTAGAGAGGAACCCTCCTGCTTGTGTCTCGGCTCAGGTTTCTCCACGGATTCTTTGCTCCGGTGCAGTTTTCCTCTAGTTTCAGAACCGTTCCATGAAATGTTTTCTGCTTTTAGGGAAGTTTAACCAGGGAGTGTCGGCAGAATCCAAGAAACAGACCTGGGCTGAAATCACCGATCAGGTCAACGGTCTAGGAGAGAATTACAGAGAGGTTTGTGACCGAGCCTTAACGATTTTTACTCATTTTAAACAACGCCACATTAAAACGGATATCTGTGTTTGCAGTTTTTCCACAAACATCTAAACATAGAGATGATTTTCATCCATCTCACTGAGCTAATGTTCACTTTTATATCCTAACGAGCAGGTAAAGGTCTAGATTTGTGACCTTTTCAGTCCAGAATGTTTTGGTTTAAAGCTGACCATCGTCTACTCTCACAGATGATGATGAAGATGATGATGATGATGGTTCTTTGTTCCTGCAGGTACGTCAGATTATGAAGAAATGGACAGACCTGAAATGTGACGGAAAGCGCCGGATCGTGGCCCTGCGGGGCCCCAACGGCATGAAATTTAGGAAGAAGAAACTGGGCCCGGTGGAGAAGATGGTCCACAAAATACTGATGATGAGTCCATCAAGAGGTGAGGCGAAGGGAAGAGCGAATCTGGAGAAATGTCAGCAAAGGACTTGGAGAATGAACCTGAAGCTTGGAATTGTTTATGGGCTCGACACACGAGAGGCGACTGCGATCAGCGAAACCTTTCGCTGTCGCTTCGATAACCTGACTCATGGGAGGTGCCGTGCGGCCAGCGGCAAAAGCCAGCGACGCGCTCTCAGGGTGTCCGCGGGTCCTTAAAAAGTCTTCAATTAGCTTTTCCAAATTTAAGGCCTTAAATATCCTTAAATACAGTTTCCAAAGGTCTTAAATGACCAAAGACCCAATAAACAAGATCATTTTATTTCTATAAAATTTTAGTGAATTTCTAGCTAGCGTTCAGCATTTTTTGTGCGTGGTGTTGGCGTTAGCGGAACCGTACACATTCAGTTGGTTGTGAAAGGGGGCTGTTTTTAGATGAGCACGTTAAGCTAGTGGGAGCTTGCGCCGCGGGGAAGTGCAAGTTTAATGGTAACTGGATGGCTAATCCCACGTTTGCGACGTGGTTAGCACCGGTTCCAGGCAATAGCTGGAAATTATAGCATAAATAAAATTTTAAAAAGTTGCTTAAATTGGCAAAATGGCCTTAAAAAGGGTCTTAAAAAGTCTTAAATTTGGTTCCTTCAACCGGCAGATACCCTGGCTCTGTTTCAGGGCGAATAGCCAATCTTCCGTTGTTTAGATCAGCCGTCAGATTGGAGGGAATGTTGGGTTTTTACTTCCTGACTATGTTTTATGAAGTTTTTGTGTGTTTTTATTGTGGATTACGCTTCTATTGCTGTGTGTCCCATGTTTTAATCTGTACAGCACTTATGCCAGCTGCCGTGCTGTGCTTATTAGTAAGCTTGGTACGGCAAAGCAGTTGACACTTAGAGTTAAGTGAAGTCTCACTTCTGACTTACTATAAAATACGTGAATGGGTTCATCCCGCGTTACAAACAGAAAAAGAAACTGTGGTGATGAGACCACACTCGCAACCAACCCGCCAACACGCCGCTGCCTCTTTGTGAACATCTCTCTTGTAGAAATGTTTTAACGCTCTGGGAAACCCGACACGGCAAGTATTAACTTCTCCTTCGTGGTTGCCCGGAGATGTGCGGAGAAGCATCCTGTCCGCTCATTGGTCCTTTTTCTGAGCGACAGCGATGAGAAGTTGAAATCTTTCAAATTTCTGGGATCACGTCGCAGGCTCGCCTGTGCACGACGCACGCACAAGCAGGAGGGAGACCTGCTTATGGCACGTGTCTTGTTGACAATGAACGGAGAGGCGGTGTCGCCTCCCGTGTGTCGAGCCCGTCGCTGAAGCTGCTGAACGTTGGTCTTTTACTCCTTTTTAAATTGTTCGTGGCTTCTGTAGAAAGATGATTGTCTCTAAATCCAAAAAGCTCGTTTTACGTCTCATTAAAGAGCAAGTCACTCCAAATCAACATTTTTTTGCTGATAAACTATATAAACGAGTGTCTGATCGTGCCGCAGACACGTGTAGTCAATAGTTTGGCACTTTAGTGCATTTGAGTTAAAATATTCTGCCTAAAACTGTCAGCGATGCAAAAACTCTGGACTGCATTCGAATTTAAATCTGCCATCGCTATTGGCTAAGAGGTACACTATGATGTTAGATGGTACATGATGATGTCACAATGTCGTGAGTGTGTGTATTTGTTAGCGGCTCCGCCCTCTCGGTCTGCTAGGCAACAGCATTTGTTGCATTTTTCAAACAGGAAGTGGGAGTGGAGTAAGAATCTGGTAGGGGGTGACTTGCTCTTTAAATATAATCTCTCATCTCTGCTGATCGGGGTTAGGATTAGCAGCCCCAGCACAAGCGGGTGTTTCTCAATAATTTACCAGGTTTGCTTTATTTCTTATCCCAGATGGAAACAGCGATCCAGACCTGAGTCAAGATGAAGATTTTTCTAATTCCTTCTGGAAAGGTCCGACTTCGTCAGCGCCGCCCTACTCCTACCTCAGCATGAATGAGAACTCCCAGTCCTTTCCAGAAGGCTTCTCCATTGACCTTTCACCCCTGTCTTCCCCAGAGAAAGAACTGGGTCAGTAACTCCCGTCAGATCTGCATCCAAAACGTCCTTTCTGCTCAGGTTCACTGGAGTCTTAAGTCAAATGATGAAGAGTTTTGTTGTTTAAAGTGTTTTTTATGAGACATGCACCTCGATGTTTACCTTATCCGTAACCTCGGATGCGAGGATTTTCTTTGTAACATTTAGAGAGAAACGGTAATCCTGCAGAGTTTATTTGAGGTTGGTTTAATTTCCTGGGAATATTCAGGATTTTTATTTGCAGGAAATCAAATGAGATTAGAGTCGGTTTGGTCTGGTTTACATCCACATCGAGCCCACGGCAACGCCGATGCTGGTTTCTTTTAGCAGCTTAGATGTTTAGATGTGGATGTTTGTATTATAGCGATGGAGACATTCGGTTTGAGCTCAGCTGTTTGTGATGCTTCTCAGGTGATCCTCTCCAGTCCTCTTCTGACTTCGACCTGGCAGAAGACGGAGGTAAGAACAAAACGCTGTTTGGAGTTCTAGTCAGAAAAGTCTGAATCAGAAGGCCTAAATGACACGAAAGCAAAAATCCATCCATCTGCCTCCGCTTTTCTGGAGTCGGGTCATGGGGGCAGCTGCCTGAGCAGAGGCCCAGGCTTCCCTCCCCTGCCACTTGGAATCCCACGGCGTTCCCTGGCCAGGTGAGACGTAGTCCTGGGTCTTCCTTTAGATCTCCTCCTGGTTGGACATGCCCAGAAAACCTCACCAGGGAGGCGTCCAGGAGGCCTCCTGACCACCTGCACCAGCCACCTCAAAAGTTAAAGTCAGATAAATAATCTGATCAGATGAGGCGGCCATCTTGAATTGGGCTGACCCCACAAGCGAATCAGCTGTTTGGACAGTTTTAACCACAGTGGAGCGTGATGGCCGATGCACGTAGCGCCGACTAGTGGTGGGGAGGGGAACTGGCCCAGTTGAGACCATTAAAGGTTAATTCACACTAACTAGAAGCGGCTGTTCGTCACAGCCCAAGTTCTTGGTAACTTGGTTGATGATCTGGTTCAGAACCAGGCTAAAGTCCAGAGCATCAGAACAACCACTGCTCTGTTTTCTGTTCTTCTGAGTAAAACTGGATTTCATTTTTATTCTTCAGAGCAAACGATGGATTTTGGTGAAAACGACGACTCCATGTTCTCCTCCTTCCCTCCCTCTGCTCCACCTCCCTCCACCTCCCACGACCTGCTGCCTAGCAACTCTCTGCTGAGGATTAGACCCATCTACACGTACTCCAGAACCAACCAGAACCAAAACCAGAACTCTGCCAAATTATCTCCTGGTCCCTCCTCCACTGCTGCGCCTCCCTCTTCACAGTCCCTCACAGGCTCCACTGTGACTCCCTCCTCTCTCCCCCCTCCCCCCTCTTCTCTCCCGCCTCCTCCCTCCCCTCTCCCCCCTCCTCCCTCCTCAGCTACAACCAATGGTCTGATTTCTCTCCCTGCAGCCTCCTCTAACTCCATCCCTCCTCCTCCTTCCACCAGAGCTCCTTCTGCCCCTCCCCCCTCCTCGTCCTCTAACCCCACCGACCCCCTTCCTTTGGGGTCTTCTCAGCGCCGGTCCCAGGAGCAGGTGGCCCAGTTGTCCTCCCAGAGCCTCCAGCAGCAGCGGGCCAGCCGGATGCTCCTGACCTCGGTGTCCCAGTCCCTGGAGACGCTGGCCCAGTCCGTCCAGCAGCTGGTGGAGAGCCAGCAGGAGTTTGTCCAGGAGTCTCTGCTGCTGCAGAGGGAGACGGTGGACATCCTGAGGGATTTCTCCAGCACCGCACTCAGGATGCTGCGGGACAAGACCACCACTGGACCACCACAGACATGTCCTCCTCCTCCTCCTCCTCCTCCTCCTCTTCATCACCTTCCCACACCACGATTCTGAAACTGATCAGAAACTTGTAGGTTTTAAATGGGGGGGGGGGCTCAGTCCTGCTGAATCCCATCTGGACGTTTATCTTCAGACCCTGCTGCTGTTTGGAGATGGAGACTTGTCTAATCTGACTGTGAACTCTTAAGTTGTATCTGATCATCAGAACCAGACCAACCAGGAGAAGGCCCGGATCAGTCCCAAGCCTAACCAGCAGCCACGTCTGGAGTGAACGCCATGCACAGGTTCACCTGAGACTAGCGCTGAAGCATAGCTGTAATCTGAGCCGTCAGATTATCGGTCTAAATGTTTCCATCTGTGCGTCTCCAGCTGTTAAACCGACTCGTTCAGGAAGTTCTCGTTAGTTCATAAACGGTTCAGTGTCGGCTCGTTTAACACTAATAACAATAATGATTTTAAAGTGTTTTGGAGGATTCGGTTCTGGACCAGCCGGATTACCGGTTCTAGTTTTAATCGCACCTGTTAAACATTAATATTTCAGCAAACTCTCCTGATGCTTAAAGAACAAACTGCTGCATAGAATCCTGTTTTTATTTAAGAAGTGAAACCTAATAAATTTAAAGTGATTGGTCATCCTGCTCTGGTGCCCTGAGGTCTAACTTCTTTGACTCGGTAGAAAGTTTTTAACGTTTCAGAATAAAGTCCAGACCAACGACTAGAACATATGGACTAAGTCCGCCACTCGTGGGGTTTTGAAGAGCTGAGTTGAAGCCCAGTGGGCGGGTCCCACCACCGCCACCTTGTCCGCATCACGCATCTTGCCTCTCATGCAAAAAGAGTTGAATCGTTCTGTGATTTAAGATTTCAACAACATTTGTAGTTATAGAAATGTACGTTTATAACTCATATTTCAGATTCAAATGAGTTTTATCTTGACTGTTTATCTGTAATCTGACCTGCTTAAGGGGTTGTTGTTTATTTGTTTATTCCAGCAGGTGTATTTTATATAAATGATAAAACCCTTGAGGGATGTTAAGGTCTCCCAGTAAAGCACAGCAAACACTTCAGATAAATCTGAAAGTCTAAACATGTCCGATGTTGGGCTGGGTGGTTTGTGGGTAGTTTTATTACCGCTAGAGCTGCTCTCTGGAAGACTAAAGTCAGCAAACACAGAGACCGCAGAGAAAAGGTCCTACTCACTCGAGATGGAGCTTATGCTGAAGTCTGAAAGGTTCTGGCCTTAATAATAAAGCATTTTAAATGATGCACCTGAGCTGTAACTATGGTAACGCAAGATTCCATAGCTTTACCATAGTGACAGTATCATAGGTGACAGACAGCGCTCCACCAGGCGTACACTGTGCGACTTTTTCACTTTTTTGAGCCGATTTTCCACTCGTGCGAGAATCCACGAGTTTTGCGCTGAGCTTCGTGTCGTGTACAGGGGGTTACGAGCGGCGATAAACACCACGTGACCAGCTACCCATCAGCAATCGTGAGCTCACACGGACTTCTGGCGTGTTTGATATTTTGCTCGTCCCTCGTGAGGGTACCGCACTGTTGAAGCGGCGCTGCGACCCAAAAAGAACCAGAACCGCTCACGGCGCATGCGCAATCATGCATCAACGCCGCTCACCCGCTGTTTCCCCAATAACACACGTTGTTCATTTTTATTTCTACACGTTTTTTTACTCACAAAGATTGTCAAGAAAGCGTGTTTGTCGTGTTCGTGTCAAATTAAACTGATCACAAAACACAGATTTACTTTCTTTATTTCGTTTTCCTCATCCAACCCCCATGAATCCCTGTGTGTCCTCCTGCAGCACTCCCGAAGGACAACAGGCAAAACAAGACAAAAAAGTCTGACGTGTTGTGTAAAAACTGCTATTTTTAGCATATTTTTAGGGCCGACGTGTTGCTACCAGACGTGCAGTGTGAGCACATGACTCGTGAGATCTGCCCTGCGAGGAAGTCGTACAGTTTGAGCTGAAGCTGTGTTTGGCCAGGGGCGTGTTTGGAGAGGGTCTGCAGCTAGGTTGAAGCCAGTGTTGCCAGATCCAAAATCCCACAATATCGTACAGAGAGGCTTAAATTATCGTTTTTCAGTACAAATTATCGTACATTATAAATTTGATAATAACGTTCTATAAACAACTTCTCACTCCAATATAATATAACAAAGAAGGTGTTTTATATTGCCCTGTTTAAATAAACATCTTTAAAACCAGTAATATAATGCCTATAAACGTGCAGAGTGTGTCGGCACCACTCCGACCTCCACGCATTGACACAGTATGCACATTTGTGCGGTCCTATTTATGTCATTTCTGCATAGGTTAAAAGCACGTGACAAAACATCACAGCAGTGGAAAAACTGACCCAATAAATGACAAAGCAGCCTACTCACCTAGTTGCTGATCTCTATCTCCTCATCGAATTCACTGTCTGTCGCAGCAGAATGCCTTTAATCACCTGTACTAAGTGGTCTGTGCTTCTCATTGCAATGTTGTGCTGGGCTAAAAAGCCACATAGCTTGATTTCAGCGTTTTTCACATCATTTTCAAACTTCTCTTTTTCATTAGTTTGTGGGAGACATTTATAAACCTGTAAGCACTGAGGTGAAATCTGACTTCAGAACAGTTTAAAATTATGTAATTGACTTGGGAAAGCCACAGCAAAAGACGGTGTTACTAGATGCAATGTGAAATTATCGTACATTTGAGGATTTTTGAAACTATTGATCGTACATCATACAGAGCCCAAAATTATGGTACAAATACGATAATTATCGTACATCTGGCAACACTGGAAGCTGAGTGCTACGAGGGGAAAAGTCGCACAGTGTCCGGCCGCCCAACTTAAGTCACGCCCATCTACTTCCGGACCACGGGTCCCAAGAAAAACAAAAAAATGAATGCAAGTCAGCGGGGCTAAAGACGCTATTTTCTAATTCTGCTTGCTATGTGCCATGGATTTCACATATGATGTCCGTGAAGATGCATTTTAACACCAAGAACGCGCTTATTTTTGAAAGGGGGGGAGACGTTATTTTAAGTTTTGTGTAATAAGTCCAGGACTACAAATGCGCTTCATGAAAGTGACATCATCGAAGCAGACACGGAGAAAAACAGGGGAAATGGCAGATATTCTGTGGTGACGTCATATATGTTAACGCGCCGATGTGGGATTTGTAGTCATGCTAACATCGAACTTTTACAAGCTGATAAATTTCAAAGTACGTGACTAGCGTGATTGAAACACCCATCGTTGGATTACATTTAAATTGAAGTACAACATATTTGTGTGATCCAGGAGGAAAGGCAAAGCGGATTAGAAAACAGCGTTTTTAGCCCCGTTGACTCGCGTAGCGTTCATGTTGTCATTCTTCCGGTGACCCGTGAGTCGACCGGGAACAGAGGAGACCTAGGCTCCTTATTGTAGTGAAAGAAGATGATACAATCCTCTTCAGACAAATAACAAACCGTATGACATCAAAGAAATTTCTCTTTGGTCTTGATGCTCATATAGCAGTAAAGGTTATAAATATAAACAGAGATTTCAGTTTTCCTGGTAGTGTTTAATCAAAGAGCAATGTGACAAAAACTATAAGTTACTCAGAAGTTAAATACGTACATAAAGATAACCTGCAGTTGAGCCTCTTGACTTTTCTGTTTGCTAAATCAAGCCAAATGACTCTTCTATTAGATGATGGATCCATTTTTAAATGTATACAAGTCAAAATAGTTTGTTCACTTAATGTTATTAAAGTTATAACTTATTCACTGATGAAAAAGTGGCATTTATTTATATTTCTGACAAACTGGTGCAGAAATGAAGATCAGTCCCTTCTCCAGACACCACTACTGTACACGGCAGACAGCATGTAGGTCTAGTTATAGAAATGTACGTTTATAACTCATATTTTAGATTCAAATGAGTTTTATCTTGATTATCTGTAATCTGACCTGCTTAAAGGGTTGTTGTTTATTTAGTTTTTCCAACCGATGTATTTTATATAAAACCCTTGAGGGATGCTAAAGTCTCCCAGTAAAGCACAGCAAACACTTCAGATGAATCTGAAAGTCTAAACATGTCCGATGTTGGGCTGGGTTGTTTGCGGGTAGTTTTATTACCGCTAGAGCTGCTTTCTGGAAGACTAAAGTCAGCAAACACAGAGGCCGCAGAGAAAAGGTCCTACTCACGCGAGATGGAGCTTATGCTGAAGTCTGAAACGTTCTGGCCTTAATAATAAAGCATTTTAAATGATGCACCTGAGCTGTAACTATGGTAACGCAAGATTCCATAGCTTTACCATAGTGACAGTATCATAGGTGACAGACAGCGCTCCATAGGGAGCCTAAGTCACGCCCATCTACTTCCGGACCACGGGTCCCCAGAAGAACAAAAAAAAAATGAATGCAAGTCAGCGGGACTAAAGACGGTATTTTCTAATTCTGCTTGTTATGTGCCACGGATTTCACACATGATGTCTGTGAAGATGCATTTTAATGCCAAGAACGCTCTTATTTTCGAAAGGGGGGGGGGGGGGGGGGGACGTTATTTTAAGTTTTGTGTAATAAGTCCAGGACTACAAATGCGCTTAATGAAAGTGACATCATCGAAGCGGACACGGAGAAAAACAGGGAAAATGGCAGATATTCTGTGATGCCGTCATAAATGTTAACGTGCCGATGTGGGATTTGTAGTCATGCTAACATCGAACTTTTACAAGCTGATGAATTTCAAAGTACGTGACTGGCGTGATTATCTGAATCTGGTGCCCTTGAAGCCTGTGAGGCTGAAGTGAAAACTCCCCCCTCAGAAGAAATGTGGAATGCTGCCGTCGCCATGGCAACCCTTTCTCCCTATCCCAGCCTGGGTGAGACTGTGACCGGTGAAGGCCGTGGAACCGTATCTAGGAGTCAGTGTGCTCTCTAACCCATTACCTCCCTCCCCTGTCCAAACAGAGGAGATGAGCGCTGCTCCACGCGGCTGCACGCACTGAAGTGAGGAGAGTCCCAACACCACCTCCCCACCTAGTGGACACTTATGTTGTGTATCGTGTGAAGTCTGTGTGTATATCTGTCTGAGGTGTTGTTTTTTTTGCATAGCAAAGCTGCCCTCTCTGTCAGGGGTAACTCTGAAGTGCCCCCCCCCCCCCCCCCCCCCCCCGACTCTATCCTCATATAAACCCTCTCGATGTATAACGGTAGCGTAACTCGAGTTGCGAATGACCACAGTCACCAATTCTTGTCACGTGTCTATGTATGTATGTCTGATCTCAGAATTGTCTGTACTGAAACAATAGAATTTCCCTCTGGGATTAATAAAGTATTTTTGAATTGAATTGAATGCAAATTTTTTTGAGAAGGACCAAAACTCAGGTTTATTTTATTTTGCAATTCTATAACATTTAATCAGGAATAAAACATGTCCAGCAGACATGTAACACTAAATAAAACAAGCCCTTTTCCACCTGCAGACCCTCCACCAGGGGGCAGTAGATCTTTCTGATGAAGGTACTAATCCTGATGCTTCACCTGGATGCTTTAAAGTCAGAAGTGGTTTTACGAGTCTGTGACAAAAATCTACAAGGGTTAGCCAGCGCCAACCAGTATGAAGTCAGGTGATTTCCAATTTCAAAACAGAAGATGTTTTTGTTTTTTTCATAAAGAAGATCTTTGTTTTCTGGGCAGAGAGAGACATGTCATGTTTTAGGAAGAATCCTGCTGTTTATCTTGTCTTTTGCACCCAGATGTTTGTATGACTTTGTTGAATGTGGAGAAAAAACGATCCAAAGTCCAAAAACCAGAGCCAGATGTTTCACCAGCTCTTTTCTTTTGGACATGTTTAGTGTCGATGGGGCAGACCTCCTCCACAGATTCATCACTGTTCTGTATCACCATGGAGTCCTCATCAGGTGGTGTTGGGCTGGTACAACGTCCAGTGTGTAAAGAAAGAACATTAAAGGGCTTAGTCTACGACCCTGTGCAGGCCCCATGTTAATTAATGCTTAGGAGAAGTGGCCCCCATCCTTAAATGAGAAGGTTTGTAATTCAGCAACAGGTGTGCTGGTTCACAGATCAGGGTTAGGGCAACTCCTTTCAAATGAGCTTCAATTCTAGTAAAATGTGAAAAGTTTAGATTTCTGTAATAAACCATGATCACTTCCTGTCGTCTCATAAAGACGCTGAAAGGATAAACTTCACGCAGCACCCTCATGTGAACACACAGACGCTCTTGACTGTTTCAGTAGATTTTTCTTTGGGTCAGGATCAACTTTCTGTCGAAAGGTGGAAAAACTCAAAACTATGAAAGAATCACTTTGTTTAAAAAAAAAACAAACAACAAACGGACTTTAAATGAAACAGATCTATAATCAGCTTTTGTTCCAGGAAACATGCGTCACATGACCAGAAGTGCAGTATCTGGTGTTCTGATTAAAAGATGGAGACTGTTTATCTGACATGACGAGCAGAGCTGACATGTCCAAACAGTTTTTTCTTCTTTTTTGACACCATGTTCATGTTTGTTATACTGTTAGTAGAAGCAGAATAATAAAGTTTGATGTTAAAATGCAACTAGTGACTGTTCATAATAGCAGTCAAACCAGAATAGAAGCACTCCTGCAGCCGGGTCCACAGAGCCCCTGGGTTAAAGCCCGGTTACCTCGCCCCAACTCCCCCATCACGGTGAGGTGGCGCTTCAAGAAGGTAGAAAAGGTGTTGGACGTGTAACATCTGAGATGATAAGCTAAAAAAAACGCCTAAGACAGGATTTTAAAGACAAAAGCATCTGTTGTAGAAAAGAGGACAGGACTAAAGAGAAATATTTAAGTACCAGAGAGGATCGGTACATCTCACTCAGAATTGAAAATCTCTGTTTCTTCACAATGAAGAAGACAAAATCTGGATCTCTCCTCCTTCTGATGCTTGTAGCACAAAACCCGTAATACCTACAGCAAAACCGAAGACATCTCTTCGAAGCCGACAAACGTACTGTTTTCGAGATAATCATTAATGTACTACCAAAGACGTGGTCATATGCGACAACTCTACGATGTTCATCTTTGAAAGAATCCTGGGCTTCACTGAAGGTCACATGACTTGCACAGTATGGAGACAGAAACAATAATCTCAAACATTCTCAGAAAAATGAACACGCTGACCACATTTTTTGGAGTAGCTTCACAAATTATACCTGAAAACGGAGGTAAATCAGTCGGCTCTCATCCGGTGCAAGTCTCTTTTTGATAGGAACTACGGTTCTCTCAGGAGAGGGCCTAAAATGGAGCAAGAGAGGGTCATCGCTCCTATCTCTTCCCATTATAATTTTTGTAAATTTTTCTGAAAATTTGAAGTCGGATCTCAACTTCTACCTGCGATTTTAGAAAAACCATAAACCATATCAAAAAGCTCCTTTATTGTGTTAAATAATAAAGTCTTGTGAATTTGATAAACTTCGAATGAAGTCTACGTTAAAGGGAACCCTTTAACATGATTTTGCTGAAAACTGACCAATCCCATTCATTTCAATGGGACATTTTTCACAGAAAAAGCGGAATAACTCAAAAAATATTAAAGATTTCAATGCCAAAAGTAATGCCCGGAAAGAAGCTGAACGTTTTGATGTGAAATTGTTGAAATAGCTGAAAAGATTCAAAAAGCAGAAGCAGAATAATAAGAAGAATAAAGAGAAACAGGATCACTAGCGTTCAAACAAATAACTCAAACAAATTGCGTCAAGAAAAAAAAACTTCTTCCTCAGCATTGATTTTTAGTATTAGTGAGTTTCCTTCAAGGGTGACAGCTCATTAGGGAGCACTGACACCTGCTGGACATCTGCTGTGAAGCAGCTTTACTGTGGTGACCTTTAGCTTGTGTGTGTGAGTGTGAGTGTGTGTGTGTGTGTGTGTGTGTGTGTGTGTGCGTGTGAGATTTTTTTTTCACTCAGAATCATTTTCCGTATTTTGCAGTTTTAGCAACACAGGCCGTCACGTGACTCCATAGAAATGATTGTCTGCGTTTTGGACTCGGCCATGCCCCTTTCGCTCCTCCAAACCGTCCTCAGGAGACTTTAGTATGAGTATCAGTGAAGACCATTCCAAATAAAAGACAGCGTAGTTATAGCATTTATGCGTATTTATAGCAACGCTTGCATGATGAGTGCAGCATCTCGGCAGGAATATCAGAAGCTCCAGGTGGGCCATCCAGGTTCTCAGGACAGCGACTAGAGGGGAGATCATACACGCTGGTGTCTGTGGGGAAGACGTAGGGCAAAGAAAGAAACAGAATAAACGTGACCCAAAAACAACAACAACAACAACCCTGGTCTGGGATTTTCAGGACACTTCCTGGAGCTGTGTTCACAGCAGAAGATGAAACTGCGGATGAACTTTTTCATCCTCACCCTCCTGCTGCTGCTGCTGCTGGTGTACCATCACATACACAGGTGGGTGCAGGTGATCCACTTTCTGTCACGGATGTAAAGGTTGGGTTCAAATTGTGCGAAGCGTCAAAGGAAAAAAGAGCGGAGCAGTCTGATTACGTCTGATAATCAATTTCCCTCTGGGATTAATAAAGTATTTTTGAATTGAATTGAATTGAATTGATTATAGACGAATAATAAGTTATTCATCAGGAAGAATGTCTCTGATATTCACTCAAAATCAAAATGTGTGTTTGTGGTGATGGAAACAGGTTGTGTGTGTGTGGATAGAAAAGGTTTAGAAAATGTTTATTTAATTATTTGTTTGTTTATTTATTTATTAATGCAGTTGAGATGTTTGTGTGAATATTGAAAAACAAACAATATCAATACCCATCTGTCTGCACGTTCGGTTATATTCATGTCAAAACTTCAAAAGGTTCGCTGACACACTCCCGTTCTGTTTCCGGTGCGTGTGTGTGTGTGTGTGAGCGCACACGCTCGAGTGTTGGAGAGGAAATGTCCACAGAACTTCCTTCTATAGTTTTCCATTTCAAACACATTTTTACTTTAGTCAGCACAAAGTAGCTGTGCAAATATTAACTTATTCTAGAAACGTAATAAATAAACAAATAAACAGCTTTTATATGTTTTCTAAAGTCTGACCACAAATGCCAGAAACGTATTCACACCTACGACTCATATTTAGTTTTATGTTGCCATGTTTGCTCATCTAGCTTCAGCTTTTTATTGATTTATTTATTTAGTTCGTGGTTAGTAAGTAAACACTCAAAATTACTACAAAATTGTAGTAATTCAGGCCTGGGATGGTTTAATCTCCCGTTTGTTTGTTTGTTTGTTTGTTAATGAGAGGGTTTTGCGAGTATTGAAAAACTTCCTGCTAGCGAGAGTCTCGCTCTTTTTTGCGTTCAGCTCATAAAAACTTTAAATGGTGGAAGGAACCCACAGTCAGACTTTTGTTTTGCCAATTTTTTTGTGTCTTCTCCCAACCTGTAAACTTAGATGCAGGTAAACTATAATTACATGTAGTCATGTCATGAGTGAGCACATCACCACAAACAGACTTCCACTGCAGGAAATTGTTTATAATTAAATGAGTGTGTTTTTTATCGTATTTATGAATATGATTATGGATGCAGCTTCATGGGTTCAGCGTGTGAAGTGGAGCAGACACTAAATACCCGAGCCTGTTTTGTCTCTGGAGAACATAAACAATAGAGTGTCCGCCCATATAAGGACAACAGGAGTCCCCCAGGTCTCTGTACTAGGACCTCTTCTCTTTGCCATATACACCGCCTCACTGGGTGAGATCATTCGATCACATGGCTTCTCCTACCACTGCTATGCAGACGACACCCAGCTCTATCTGTCATTTCCACCGGATGACCACAGTCTCTGCACGAATATCAAACTGTCTCTCTATCAAAATGGATGAAATCCCACCATCTCCAACTCAACCTCTCTAAAACTGAACTGCTTGTCATCCCAGCAAAACCATCCATTCAGCACAATATCTCAATCCAAAATGACTTCCTATCTCTGGCTCCTTCAAAGGCAGTTCGAAATCTGGGTGTTGTGATTGATGAACACCTGACCTTTAAAGATCACGTTGCCTCTGTTGCTCGTTCATGCCGCTTTGTGCTGTAAAACATATGAAAGATCAGACCATACCTAACACAACATGCCACCCAGCTCCTGGTGCAATCTACTGTCATCTCCCGCCTCCATTACTGCAACGCCCTTCTAACTGGTCTTCCAGGCTGTACTGTGAGACCTCTTCAAATGGTCCAGAACGCAGCGGCGCGTCTGGTCTTCAATCAGCCAAAAAGAGCACACGTCACCCCTCTGTTCATTGAGCTCCACTGGCTACCGCTAGCAGCACGCATCAAATTCAAATTGCTAACGCTAGCATACAAAGTCCGAGACGGTACGGCTCCCATCTACCTGAATCCTCTTGCAAAGGCTTACGTCTCGGCCCGCCGCTCCGGTCATCACAGGATCGTCGGCTAGCGGTGCCTACACCACGCTCAGGACAATCCAGACTCTTCTCATGCATCATTCCACAAATGTGGAATGACCTACCAAGCACTACCAGAACAGGGGCTTCCTTTTCAATCTTCAAGAAACTCCTGAAGACCCTGCTCTTCAGAGAGCATCTTCTAAACTAGCACCCTCCCTGCACCCGTCCCCCCTCTCTACTGTCCACTCCTTGTTCCCTCCTCTCCATGGTTGATGTCAAGTTGTTGTTGTTGTTATTGTTGTTGTTAGCCTCAAGGGCAACATGCCGATTATCACTTGTAAGTCGCTGTGGACAAAAGCGTCTGCTAAATACATAAGCATAAACATAAACAACAGGAAGCCAGCTGGACAAAAAAGATGGGGGTGGGGGGTTGGTTAGAAATATGGCAATGGAAGATCGTTTTCGATTTTATTTGATTTCTGGGGATCATCTCAAGACCCTTCACTGCCAAAGCAGGTTTATTAGGTACAGTTTTAAGCCCTCCATGTAGGTGAATGGGACACATTGGTTAAAGAAGATGAAAACACGCCTGGCATCATCTTGACTCAAAGTTGGGCTTTGGAGTCATCTGACTCAGAAAGGTGCTGCATAACTGCAGGTGATTTATTGAACCTGACTGTTTTTTGTTCCTGTAGGCCTTATCAGAACCTGAATCCACTTTCTATAAACCTGCCCTCTTCCGAAGGAACCACACGAGAGCCAGGACCGTCGGAACAAGTCCAACATACAGGTCTGCTTACAGCTGCTCCACACAACAAACCTTTATTAACCTGTGGAAATGCTCCCGACTACCAGGACATGCTCGCTGTAAGGTATTTAAAAATCACATTTGATGGATTTAGCTTGTTTAACTCCTGCAGTTCTGCAAGGAGAACCAGCATCTCTTGTGAGGGTCAGAGGCACAAAAACACTGCTGATATCTGCTTATCTGGAGCACCAGACCAATAAAAAGGAAGTAAGTTAAAATAGAGGAACTCGCATTCTAAAAATCAGTATTTGCAATAAAAAACCGAGAAGAGACATAAAAAACGATAGAAGATGGATCTCATCTGTTTACATAATGATTATCTTCCATTTTATTAAAACCCCTAATGCCCTGATCCATTAAAAAAGCTAAGAAAGTATTTTGTTTCTTGTTTGTTTTGCCTAAACTAACTAAATTACCTTTGTAATTCAGTGATTTACGCTGCAAACAGACAACCTCTTTGTTGTCTTCAGTAATCAGGGCTACAATTTTAACAAACGTCTGCTTTGCTTTAAATTCACTCTTTTATTAGACACGTTTCATTTTTGTAACAATTGACTCTCCTGCCTTGCACCAGGTGCGTGTGATTTCTGTAGCGCTGCGGAGCGAGAGGGCGGCGTTTCGCTGCCATCTTCTCTGTCAGGGGAAGCTGCTCATCTCCGATGGCGTCATCGACTTCCATAAAGATCACTTTGGCTTTCCCTATGGGACGGCTGACATCATGTGTCCCCTTCCTCCGGGCTGTGAGACGCCAACTAATATCAGTCTCACCTCAGCTGGATCCAAACCTGAAGGTACTGAAGTGCTAATCTGTAGAGAAGGGCTGACACAAACAGGACTGTATCAGAACCCGGAAGTGTGATTTCAACTGATTTCTAACATGTTCTTTGTTCCATTAGAACTGGATCATCTTGACCTAGAATTTCTGGAGATCCAGAACCAGAAGACAGAGACGGACACTTTTCAGTACAAATTCACCGTCTGTTTCACCACCATGTACGAGTTCACCAACGTCCTGCAGGTAACGCCGCGTTTTGTCTTTATTAGAATGACACAACAAACAAATGTTGGTAAAGCTTTATTAAAGTGACAGTGTGTATTTTTCCTGGCGATAGGGGGCAGTAGATGCCTAAATCGTTGCAAGTAAACAGTATTTTTGTGTTGGAGTAAGACCTTACCAACAGATGCCTATTAGGGTCAAAAAGCCCTGAGGAGTGCAAACTTTAGCTAAATAACAAGCACATCATACTCTCTTTCATCACTGGCAACAAGTGAAGAGGTAAATGTGTAAAACAACAACATTTAAGAATGATGAAGGTTTTGTTAACGTTTGTTGCAAATCAGTTAATGCATTTTGTCCTCATGGACTTCCGTAGAAGGAAACATGGCATCTAATATGGCGTTGCCTAGAGACTTAGGGTGTTTCTCAATGCTGAGGAACCTTGACTTGATGTCTTGGCCCCGCCCTGGTTGCCTAGGAGATACGTCATCAGGAGCCGCCAAGACGTGTTCCAATGTTCATGTTCTACCGAGGCGTGTGCTCTCCGTTTGTTAGCCGTTTAGCTAGCTGAGCGAGGATACACGCAGGTGTCTTGTTGCCTAGCCTTGGTCAAAAATTACCCAGAATACACCGCGGTATTTTCAAAAGGACGGCGGATCAGAAGCCGGCAGCTACTTCGTGGGTTAATTTCAAGTTTAAAAGTAAATCAACTAATTTAACATGTTTTTTTTATCCAAAGAAGTTATCTATAGTTGGTTAGTTGCTTAGTAGCTGCCGCTTTGGTGGCTAACTGGTAGTAACCCACTTATATTTTTAGTTAAATGAACATATACACAATTTACAAAGTAAAAGGCTTGTTATATATTTATATTGAAACTAATACGTATAAAATATAACGTTATCTCCCGTGTCACGTGACGTTACGTGACCACCGTGAAAGTGTTTTCTTTGACCAAGGAAGGACCGTGTCCTCTTAAGCAAGGCGCCTGGCCTCGCAAGACATCGCCTCGCAAGGCCAGGCGCCTTGACATTGAGAAACACCCTTAGACCTGCTCTTGTGTATTTTAGACCTGATTTTTATGGTTAGATGTTATGAAGCTGCCAATATTTTTCAACAACTGAGCATCGTTTCATTCATTTTTAACAACATTTTGATGGATATTTCCAGAAATTAATGGTAAAAACTACACATTGTCTCTTTAAGAATTTAGAATACTTGATCTTTGCGAATTTGCTTTCCTATAACCTGGTTAGTTTTAGTCCGTTCTCGACCATCCTGTCCCCAGCCACCTCCACCAGCTCCTCCAGTTGGGCCTTGATCCATTCCAGCCTGGAGAGAAAAGTGTCCTAGGCCAGTCCCAGGTTCTTCTTTTGAAGACCCCCCCCCCCCCCCTCGTAATCTGGGTTCCTCCTGGATGTGAGATTGGTCAAAAATAGTTTTGTGGTCCCACTGGAGGAGCGGTACTAACCCCCTGTTCACCATTGCAGACCAGTCCAGCCCCGATTCACCTGTAAATCTCCTTCTCGCTCTTTTCCTCTCTCCTGTGAATGAGATCCCAAAACATTCAAGTCCTCTACATGAGGTAGGCCCTCTTCCCAGACCCGGAGTTGATAGCCTACGCTAACCCCGTCAAGAATGATGGGTGGATATTTTGAGGAGCTGGTCCTCATGACACCTGCTTCCCCCTACGCTACGAACCCCCCAAACAATTGCTGATGGTCCTAGTTTGAAGAGCACCACATCATTATTAAAGCAAAGACGAGACCCATCCGTGACCAACGTTGACCTCCTCCAGCCTACAGCAAAGAAACTCAGGCCTAGTCCACACGTAGCCGGGGTTTTTAAACGAATATCCGCCCCTCCAAAAACTTGCATCCACACCACCGCGTTAAAAAAAAAAAACTCTGTCCACACGTACCCGGATAAATACGTTGTTAAGGACATGCCAGACCTGTAGGCGGCAGTACTTCCCCCGTTCTTAACCTCGTCCTTCGTCTGTGGTCTTCCGCAAGGAGCAGTAATTCCTCTTGCAAAAACAAACAAGCAAAAAGCGCTTGGACAATTGATAAAGCGAGCGCAGCTCTGAGGGCATCCATGCTGTCGGCTAGTGTAAACACAGGTCGCACACGTGATGTCAGCATTTTTTTTGTCGCGGAAAGTGACGTTGCGGACCTTAAAACTCCGGTTTTGTCCGTCCACACGCAGACACCCAAAACGGAGAAAACGCAGATCTTCACTTTGGCCGGAGTTTTTAAAAAGATCCGTTTTCGTGTGAAAAAACTCCGTTTTCGTGTGGATGACAGGCCAAAACGTAGAAAAATATCTACGTTTTGGCAGATCCCCGGCTACGTGTGGACAGGGCCTCAGACAGTACAAACACACAGTAGAAGGTTCAGTTCGTTTCTAAAGATTAAATTAAACTTTTCAAATACATCTATTTACTGGAAATGAAGAATAAACGATTAAACACAGCAATTATAATGTTTTCTGTGTTATCATTTAGCAGATGTGTAAATGAGACATTGTCAACAGGAGCATCTTTTAGGCATGTAGAATGAATCATATTGTTTTGCAGCTGGTGCAGAGTCTGGAGATGCTTCAGCTGCTGGGAGTGAACCGAGTTGTGTTGTACAAGACCAGCTGCAGCGCTGATGTCCAACGTGTTCTGGACTCCTACACAGAAAACGGTTGAGTACGGTGGCTAATCTCTGTGTGCACATGAACTCCACCCAGATCTAACTGTTAACCATTACTGAAACGGAAATAAAGGGGTGGAATATTTTAATGGGTGACACGAGCGTCTCCTTCTTCAGCTTTTAGAGGAGGTTGTCTGAAGGCAGAAAACAGGAAGTCCTTAGAAAGGCTCCGTTGGATGAATGTTTAAACTGATTATCTTGGAGTCAACCTGAGGGCTGCCACAGCTAATCACCAATAGCAGACACTAAAGTGGCTCCAACATGCTACAGATGAACTAAATATTCATGTGGTCACATGAAGCAGAGAGTCAGAACCCTAACTCTCTTTAATTTTTGGAGTTAAAAAACCCTACAGGTCTTGTTCACTGATCTTGTAATAAACTAGGTGTGGTCTCTAGTATGAATGAATGCCTTGAGTTGCTTTCTATGGAAAAAAAGGCTCCGGGGCTCCTTTTCAGGCGGGAAGAAGTAGGAGGAATTGGGAGCGCTAAAGGCAGGGATTATGATTTTCCTCATCAATATTCATGATATGCAAATGACTCACATCTGATTGGCTAACAACAATGTGACTCTTCTGCTCCCAAGTTGTGGAGATGCTACTGGCTAGTGTGCCGGCTTGTTCACAAACACGAGAGACGCGAGCGTTTCTTTTACTGATGTTTAACGCGGCCTTGCATCTTCTTTAACTTTACACCACATGAACACCGTAGAACTACTGAAAAAGCATAAATCGTGTACAAATTAACAAGTTTGTTGCCTTACGTTTGCCAACATATAGAGTTTATAAATAAAAAATAAACATACCACTTTGGCCTGCTAGTAGACAAGCCGGTAGACTTGAAAACACTTAACTTTCTTCTCAAATGTTCTTAATTGGCACACATTTGTCCGTTCGCATCAATAAAATCTCCGAAGCTACGAGAGACAGGAAGTGACGTCACAGCGCTCTTAAACACACCTTATCAAATAAACCAATTCAAAATTACTCAAATATCAAAATGATTAATTCTGTGCACCTGTAAATGCTACAAAATGTATTGAAAACATGAAAAATAATACTTTAAATAAACATGTTAAATAAACTTTCTAGGGCATTCACAAAGTCACAGTGCCATCTTGTGGTGAAACCTTGAAAAAAAAGTTGCTGCCTTTACAGTTAGCTTCTGCTAGCTTCAAACTGTCTCCACATGATATCCACATCCACAATTCTGTTCTGTGGGTGGTCCAAAGCCAAAGTGGGCGGGGTCATGAATAGTAATTTTCCCTGTGACATAGAGGAGTCTGGCTTTTTGTGACTCAACCATTTACTCATCTATTTCCATTCTGCAACTATCGACGATGATGGGGGTTGAAGGATATTTCCACTCTTAGCATGTATAAGCAGCTCTGAGCCACTGATCGTATTTCAAAAAAAGTTTTACACGGTTTCTATGGGAACAAGACCTTTAAATCTAATTTTGCCTAAATCAATTTATTTGTTTAAAGGGACAGTGTATATTTTCCCCTGGTGATAGGGGGCAGTAGATATCTGAATTGTTGCAAGTAAGCTGTATTTTTGTGTTGGAGTAAGACCTTACCAACAGATGCCCATTAGGGTCAAAAAGGCCTGGGGTGTGCAAACTTCAGCAAAATAACAAGCACATCAGACTCTCTTTCATCAGTGGCAATGAGTAAAGAGGTAAATGTGTAAAACAAGAACGTTTATGAATGGTGAAAGTTTAGTAACCACTTGTTACAAATTGGTAAATGCATTTTGTCCTCATGGGCTCCCGTAGAAGGACACAGGGTATCTAATATGGCGTCGCCCAGGGACTTAGACCTGCTCCCATGTATTTCAGACCTGATTTTTATCGTTATATGTTGTGAAACAGCCAACTCAGCATTATTTCATTCATTTTCAACAACATTTCCAGAGATTAACGATGAAACTACACATTGCCCCTTTAAATTTCTTTTTTCTTTACAATTTAAAATTTAAACTGGCCTAGTCACATGATAGGATAACATTCCAACAAATAAATGGGAAAATGTCCAATATTTCTCAGTTATTGAAAAACCTGCACAAAAATAAAGCCGACTCTAATTGTTGTTTGGAGATGTTTCCCCTCTCATCCAGGAGGCCCCTCAAAGTTCAGGTCTTGGGATGGGAGTTCCTGACTTCAAAGCTGTTGTTGAGCAACACACACACACACACACACACACACACACACACACACACACACACACACACACACACAAAGGCCTTTGTAAGGGTACATGTGTTTGCTGGGTCTACAAGTCTGGTCACATGAATGGCATGATAAATACGCTTTGGTTAGATCATCACTGCTACCATCTAGAAGCACGGACAGATTTCATTTAAACATTTTTGCTAACAGGAAGGATCCTTCATCACACCACAAGACTGGCTGCTTCAGAACAACATGCTAAAGCAGTTTGAGTCTTGCTCTTCTTCTGTCTCATCAGGTTTAGTTGAGGTGATCCCTTGGTCTCTATCAAAGTATCTGACCGTATCTCGAAAAGCGGACCCCAACAAAAGCCCTGGTGACCTCCACTACTTCGGTCAGATTGCTGCTCTCAATGACTTCCTGTACAGATACAGGTACCGGTCCAGATACGTGGCTCTGCACGATGTGGACGAGCTCATCCTGCCTCAGTCTGTCGACAGGTAGGCTTTTTTTGTTTCTACAGTAAAGTGACTTTGTTCAGTTTTGTCACAGTTGGCTGAAAACGTTCGTAGAGATGAGATCTTAGACACAATGTAACAGGATGCGTGGTTTATGGTGTAATTTCCTGCAGCGTAACTGAAAACAGAAGAACAGGAAATCTCTTGTCCCTCAGTGCTGTCAGAGCAACACAATTAACAACGATGGCAACAAAATATTAAACAGAAAGAAAAGGCTGCAGAGTAAAATAAAAGCAAAAAATACTTTAAAATTATACTTTGCAGCTTTTTCATATTTTTAAACACTTTTCTTGAACCAGGTTGTCCTTTACAGGATTAATGAAATGTCACTCAGATCCCACTGCCCTCTGCGGCCAGAACACTACACTTGCAACTTGAGAGTTGCTGGGCCACTCCCTGCAGGTGGAGGGAGGTGTGGGGTCTGCTTCTACGCTTTCTGCATGTTTTAGATGGTGAACACAGCTGATTCGCTTGATTTAGTGACGAACCGCTCCTCTGGAAACTAATGAAGGCAGAACAGACACTTCAGCAGTTAGATCCAGGTTTTAAATAGACGAACGCAAAGAGAGGAGATGTGTTTGATTTTCGGTTTGACCTTGCAGTTTTAAAGCTGCATTCCTTCATTTGGAAAACAAATCATCTTAAATTGCAGCACCTTTATTTCCAGTGAGTGAGAACATGAATGGAAAACTGTACAGATGAGATATGAATGAGTGCACATAGAATGACGACAGAAATTGTGCAAATCACAAAAAGCTGCAGGAGTACAAACATTGTTTACTGGATTTGTTGGGAGCAGGGGTGATTATAGAGTACAGCTGCTGGGAAGTGTCACGATGTGAGCCTGGAGGAGGTTTGGACCCAATATGCAGACACCCAGCACGACATGAGGCAGGAGCGGATGTAAGTGAAAACATTCCTTTATTAGGAAGGAAAACAAAAATGTTCCAAAAGGGCAGGAAGTCAAAAACTAATGTCCTGAAACCCTGGAGACAAAAAGCTCATTCAAAGAGCACAAAAACCTAGAGACCTAATGACGATGCACAAAACAACGCTGACACCAAACAATGGAGCGACAAATTACTGAGACACAGACAGGGTTTTATACACTGGGGAGGATGAGAGGGAGATGAACTGCAGGTGTGTGGGGAGAGAGAGAGCAGATGAACTGAGTTACTAATCAGGGAGGAAACTAACATGACCTAAGAATAAAACCTAAAGACAAGAAGAGCAGGACTAATAATCTAAGGGGGAGAAAAACCTCAAACACCGATGGGAAAAACACACTAGAGAGACTAATAACATGAACAGCTGTAGCTAAAGGAAAATGACCTAAGAGAAAAACCCAAAGACCAGAAGGGCAGCAAACATAACTAATATTCTAAGGGGGAAGCTGAAACTAAAGGAAAAAAAAAAACACTACAGAAAGAAAAACTACAGGGGCGTGACTAAAGGGGGCCACGGGAGCACAGGACCTGGGAGGGGGATACCTGAGGAGGGAAACCTAGAGGGCTGAAGATCTGGGGAAAACTGGAGAACACCAGGAGACACATGAGGAAGACGCAGACAAGGACACAAAAGGAGAACCTAGAGAGGGATGGAGAACACAAGGAGACACATGAGGGGAGACACAGACGCAGACCATGACAGGAAGGACCTCTGATAATGTTCCTTTATGCACCTTTGATGCAGCAGTCTGAAATCTAGACAGCAGTAGCCAAAGCAAAGTGATAGCTTTGCACGTCGTTCTAGTCACGCGCCGAGCCTGTACAAACAATAACCTGGCAGGGAGTAAGGCCTCATGCTAACAGCTAGCATCTCAATGTATTTACTGCAAAATGTGACTTTGATGGATACATGCCCAAAATGAGCTCACAAACCCAGCCAGAACCCTTCCTCTCTTCTTTCCACTCTGCCTGGCTGTCTTTCTACAGATGGTTGGAGTTGTTGCCTCTGTTGGAGAAGACTCTCGGTGCTGACAAGTGTTACCAGTTTGAGAACAACTGGTTTCCCATTGAGTTTGAGCTGCCTCCTCCAATGAGCCAGACTCTGCCCCGACAGGACCAGTGGAAGAACATTTCAGGTGTGAACATCCTGACTCACCTGTACCGAGAGCCATCAACCACCACGTTCAACAACTTCAAGATCATCGTAGACCCCCGAGCTGTGTTCAGGCTGACCGTCCACGGGGTGTTGCAATCCATAAAAGGCTGCGCCTGGGTCGACAGGAACGTGGCTCGCATGTACCACATCAAGTGGGTTGGTTTCTTTGAACTTTAATGACAGTTATTGTTCATTTTCAAGTGTTTATGTAACATGGGGGGGGGGGGGGGGGGCTTCACGGCTCTTGAGGGCAACAACAGTGCGACCTACAGAGCTGTGGTTGGGAGGAACGGCCACCCAAATCTGAAACAAGCGGTGGTTTATTTGATTTCTGTGCTCAAAAGTCATTGAATCCAATCAGAGCATTCACACAGGTGCAGATCTGGATGCGAAGCTCTGGAAAGTTTCTGAATGAAATCTATTTTTCTGGACGCCACATTCATATTGTCCTTAAGTCAAATAAATTGCTAGAGCCAGACAGGAAGTGAGATGTGGAAAAGTGAGGTGCATCTGCTACAGTTAAAAAATAAAACCTGCATTATCTTCTCCAGCT